GGTCTTCATAGAATCATAGAATCAAAGAGTTGGAAGATACTCATGGGCCATCCAGTCCAACCCCCTGCCAAGAAGCAGGAATATTGCATTCAAATCACCCCTGACAGATGGCCATCCAGCCTCTGTTTAAAAGCTTCCAAAGAAGGAGCCTCCACCACACTCCGGGGCAGAGAGTTCCACTGCTGAACGGCTCTCACAGTCAGGAAGTTCTTCCTCATGTTCAGATAGAATCTCCTCTCTTGTAGTTTGAAGCCATTGTTCCGCGTCCTAGTCTCCAGGGAAGCAGAAAACAAGCTTGCTCCCTCCTCCCTGTGGCTTCCTCTCACATATTTATACATGGCTATCATATCCCCTCTCAGCCTTCTCTTCTTCAGGCTAAACATGCCCAGCTCCTTAAGCCGCTCCTCATAGGTCTTGTTCTCCAGACCTTTTATCATTTTAGTCGCTCTCCTCTGGACACATTCCAGCTTGTCAATATCTCTCTTGAATTGTGGTGCTCTCGAGCCAGGCATTGTCCCCCATTCTGTATCTTTGCATTTCGTTTTTCCTGCCAAAGTGGAGTATCTTGCATTTGTCACTGTTGAACTTCATTTTGTTAGTTTTGGCCCATCTCTCTAATCTGTCAAGATCGTTTTGAATCCTGCTCCTGTCCTCTGGAGTATTGGCTATCCCTCCCAATTCGGTGTCGTCTGCAAACTTGATGATCATGCCTTCTAACCCTTCATCTAAGTCATTAATAAAGATGTTGAACAGGACCGGGCCCAGGACGGAACCCTGCGGCACTCCACTTGTCACTTCTTTCCAGGATCACTTACGCAAAGGGGGGAATTACAGTGTTCCCTCACTTATCGTGGGTGTTACGTTCCAGGGCCACCGGCAATAAGTGAAAATCCGCAAAGTAGAGACACTCCTCTTTCCCTCTCCCCTCCTCCTTCGCCACTTGCGCGGGGAAGGAAGGAAAGGAAGCAAGTCACCCTTTTCCTCTTTCCCCTCCTCCTTCCCTGCTCACAGGAGGGAGGAAGGAAAGGAAGCAAGCCCTCTTCCTCCTCCTTTTCCCCCTCCTCCTTCTCCGCAAAACAGTGAGTCTACGGAAAGCTCTTCGGTTTAGAAATGGAGATGAGCGCCAACCCCCAGAGATGGACGTGACTGGACTTAATGTCAGGGGAAAACCTTTACCTTTACCTTACTATTCATTACAATAACGAGTGCACCCATCCTGGGACATTTCTTCAACAACGAGCATACCAATCCTAACATATTTCTTTTGAGTACAATAATGAAAGAACCCATTCCAGGATGTTTCGGTTTATTATTACTATTATTATTATTATTATTATTATTATTATTATTATTGTGGTTTATTTATACCCTGCTTTTTCCCTCCACAGGGAGACTCAAAGTGGCTCACATGAAAAGTATTTCAATACAACTGAACATACCACAGGCCACGGTAGTCCACGCTCTGGTTACATCCCGCCTAGACTACTGCAACACTCTCTACGTGGGGTTGCCCTTGAAGACGGCCCGGAAGCTTCAATTAGTCCAACGTGCGGCAGCTATGGTTCTAGCAGGAGCGGAACGCAGGGAGCATACGACCCCCCTGTTGCGCCAGCTCCACTGGCTGCCGATCTGCTACCGGGCCCAATTCAAGGTGCTAGCGTTGGCCTTTAAAGCCCTAAACGGTTCTGGCCCAAGCTACCTATCCAACCGCATCTCTGCCTATGAACCCACCAGGAGTTTGAGATCTTCCGGGGAGACCCTGCTCTTGATCCTGCCTGCTTCTCAAGCACGGCTGGCGGGGACGAGAGATAGGGCCTTCTCAGTGGTGGCTCCTCGGCTGTGGAATGCCCTTCCCACAGACATTAGACTAGCACCATCTCTAATGGTATTCCGCAGGAAAGTGAAGACCTGGCTGTTTGTGCAGGCGTTCGAATAATTAGTGCAATGATTGGTAAATGAACATAGGAATGGAACAATGGATGACGAATCTGGATCATGTTTTTGATGATGATATGATAGTGATCGGTTATTGTAGTAATTGTTTATTAATTATATAATGTGTTAAGTTGTTAACTGTTTTTACAATGTTGCATTGAATTTTTAATATCCTTATTGGTTGTGAACCGCTGTGAGTCGCCTTCGGGCTGAGAACAGCGGTATATAAGTAGAGTAAATAAATAAAATAAATAAATAATAAATAATACCAATCCCAGGATGTTTTCATTTAATGCAATAATCAACACACCTATCTCCAATGCTTCCCTTCAGTGCAATAATAAACACTCCAATCCCAGGATTTTTTCCATTCCGTAGTATAACGAACATACCCATCCCAGATGTTTCTGTTCAGTGCAATAAGTAATATAACTATTCCAGGATGTTTCCACTCAGTGCAATAACAAACACACCTACCCTGGGATGTTCCTAACCAAGAGGACATTTCTATTTAATGCAATAAGAAACAAACTTATCCCAGGATGCTTCTGTTCCCTTCACGAATGTGATTTTGGTGAGAAGACAGGCCCAGATGATCAACGGCCGGCCTTCCCTTTGGCCTCACCTGAGGCTGCATGACCCGGCTCCCAAGATGGACAGAGCCCGGAGGCCTGCGGAGGATTGAAGACATCGAAGGCTGGACTGCACTGGAGGGCCGTTGGGGCAGAGAGGGTTTTGTGGAAACCGTAGTCCTGGTGTAGGCCCACAGCTTCTTCCCGGTATTACTTGCAAAATCAGGCGCCTTCCGTGGGTTCAGCATCGTGCTCTCAATGTCCACAGAGAATTCCTGATAAAACAAAACAATACCGGCAGTTGCCAAGTTACAAACAAGATAGTTCTTTGTATGCAAGTCTCATCAGCATATCTGTGCTGGTACGTCTGTACCAGGAGCTCCAACTTCATTTTCTTTCTGTTAAGTGTTTGCATGCATTCCAAAGTTTCAGGGATTCTGCAAAAAGGTGGCTTCCTTTGGTTTGCAGTCATAGGGCAAGCCACCTGTCTATCATTGTTAAGTTTGAATCCGCCCCTTCTCCCAGGGAGATGGGAAGGGAAGAGGGGTCCATTTTTAGTTATTCTAAGTTAGAGGACGTGGACAAGCTTCACCTGCAGAAAAGCTTCATTTCTCAAGACATTCCAGGAGGAAATTCCCAAAGCTCTGGCTGGGAGCTTGCAGCCTCTCAGCCTTACAGCATCTGAGGGAATGCTTGATTGGTTATTTATAGCTGTCAATCAATGTTGTTTGCACCAATTATATTGCTGCCTCAGCTCAATTGTTTGGCTCCATCTCTTCCTGGAGGAAGGGAGTGCTTTCCTTTTCCATTCCACCATCAGACTTTATATCAGATGGACGTGAGAAAGAGACTTGGCTCTAAAAACCCCTGATTAAGTTACCTCTCAGCACCAATTCTGAGGTTCTTACCCTTGAGACTTATGCTTCATGTTCAGATCAACCTGGACGACATTGAGAAGTCTCAAGCGCCTTCAAACCAGTTCTTTGGCACCAGAGGAAGGCTTTGTGCCTTCAAAATATAGGCCATTGAAATTGGGGTTGTGATTATTCCGATATTCACAGCCATTGAGAAAGAGGGACCTAGAAAAGCTTCTCAGCTGCATAACTCCTTGGACCCAAGAGAACCAGAGACTGTAATGTATATTTTCCTTTACCCTTTTGAAACTTCCAGCTTATTGCCTTAAAGGGATAACTCTTTGTGAACAATAAAACCTATTTTGAGTTATCTACAGTGTTTTGATCCTTGGGAGTTCCAGTTTCCCTAAAGGAGGGCAAGAAGCTATCCCCTGGGGAAAGATGTCACGCCATGCCTCTTTCACTAAGAGTTATAGCCCTCAGGCGAGACGGCACAAGGTCCAGTCCAGTGGTCAAACGCCAAGAGTTCAATGAGCAAGGCCAGGGATCATAAGTCTATACTGTAGTCAAAAGCCAGTCCAGAGATTCAAAGTTCCAGGGTTCCAAGAGGAAAGGAGACAGGTCAGGATATTAAAAATCCACAAAACTAGGGGGGAAACCAGCAGCATCTACCACCAAAATAAGACAAATACTTTTCTCCTGAAGATCAATCCCAAGACTAGCTCTTTATATCAAAACACCCAGCTGCAACCTATCTCTTGCATGCCTTATGTTGGGGTTCAGCCTGATCCTGATCTGTGTGAACTGGATTCTCTGATAGTTTTTCCAACTGAGCAAGCTCTCCCTGACCCTGACAGTGTGGAATCTGTTGTTGATGCAGAGGTCAACGGTGATGAAAATGAAACTGGAGGAAAATGTTTTGGAAACTAGCCGTGATATCTCTCCACCTGGGGTTTTTAATGAGGACCGAAGAGAACAGATAGAGACAGAAATGTTTCCCAGTTTCTACGAAGGTCACATCGTTTACAGGAGAGACAGGCCCAGGCTTCAAAGTCAAGGGGCGTTTCAAAGAATAGCTTCTTTGGTTTAAGAGACCTCCTGCCGGGTGCCTCTTTAGATAAAGCAACGTTTGGGACTGTGGCTGTGCCTTGGCAGAATTCCTGTGTTTCATGGCCGGTAATCCCAAAGGCTTGTAGTCATCAAGTTCATGGTTAGTAAAAGGCTAACAGGTTCCTGGTTCTTGTATTGTGGCTTTTGAAATTTTGCTCAAGTTCAGAGATTCTACTGACTGCTGTGTTTTTCTGTGGCTTTTTGACTTTGCATTTACTTTTCTTTTGTAACCAATTTTTCATCAATAAACAAGGATTGCTTTTCCTACAGTCCAGTGTGGTGGATTTAATCTTGTGGTCTCGTTTCTTGAACTGGGATGCAACACCTTAATTGCTTTCACCAGTTAACTCTTACTTACAGATTACTCAACCCTTTAGAACTACGACTTACATTAACCCTTCCATCACCAACTGCTAGGCCTACCACCACCAGCCAACAACTGCAGAACATGATACATGACCAACCCCCTTCTGCCATGCAAGACAATCCAAGCCTTTCTGACAGACAGCCATCCCATCTCTGGTTAATCTAGCAATGCAAGGCAGAATGGTCCCTGCTTTCTAGAGGAAGGGAAAGTTAACCTCCTGGCCAAGCCACATGGAAGCTCTAGCTACATGGGAAACAATAAAGAGACAATCATTGGGAAGCAAATCCAAACATACCCGTTTTGGCAGAAGCGTCAATGGACTTTCGGAGGCATTGAAGCGGCAGAAGGCCTGGCCGGAGTTGACGTTCCAGAGCACGATGTCTCCATTGCAAGACGCCGTCACCAGCAGCTTGTTTTTGTGACCATCCATGCAAACGACATCATCAGAGTGGTAGGACTTCCAGTGCTTGCTTTCAATCACTTTGTCGTGTTCTTTGACATCTCTGGTTAAGAAATATATACATATGTCCATATTAGGAAACCCATAAAAGCTGTTCAAAGATTGGAAAGAAAGGTATCTCCCACCTTCCCAAATTATTTACTAACAATTGGGGAGGAGGATCAAGGAAGTCTCCACATATTTCATTTTCCTCCTGGCATAAGGATGGGGTGAGTAGCCCCATCCTTATGCCAGGAGGACAACCTGAGGGTGACTCGGGCCCAGGCCCAGGCCCTGCCCCGGCCCCTCTTGGCCCCCTCCTCTCCCAGGCCCTCCCCCTCCTGGATCCATCCCACACAACCTGTGCCCGCCCAGCTGCCCTCCTTCCTGGCCCGCTCACAATGCGACCCCAAGGCAACATGTTTGCCCATGCCTGGTGTAGATGCATCATGAATCACTCAAACTATGACAACCTGGTGGTCTTTTTGTAGCAGTATTGCATTTTCCAGCCAATCACAATTAAGGAGAAAGAGACAATATCCGTCTCTCTTTTGTTGTTGTGCACAAACGCATATACACAAATGTGCAAACGAAGCAGCAACGTCACACTAAGTTCACTTCTTACTTACAGGTACCATGTCACCCGCTTGCTCCAACCTGACACAAAAATCTTGTAGTTCATATAAAGGATGCAGCTGATCTGTTGTAAGAAGAAGAAGCAAAAGGAGGAAATATTGCAAAATGTCTCCATCGATAATTCAAACTGAAGAAAGTAAAATGAAACACAGGAACATAGTAAAGGAGAGGCTTGCTGGTAAATGCTGGATGAAAGTGAAGGGTTAGCCCAGGCATGGGCCAACTTGGGCCCTCTGGGTGTTTTGGACTTCAACTCCCACAATTCCTAACAGCAGGTAGGCTGTTTGGAATTGTGGGAGTTGGAGTCCAAAACACCTAGAGGGCCCAAGTTGGCCCATGCCTGGGTTAGCCTCATCTCAGAGGACCGGGCTTTAGCACAGCTGGTAAATCACCAGCAATTATAATATTTACCAACCAAAAGGCCAGTTCGAAGCTCCAGGTCGGTGTGAGCTGCCAACTGTCAGCCCAGCTCACTGTTTACCTAAGCAGTTCAAAAACTGCTTAGGTAAACTATAGGGCTATAAGTAGAGGGTGGTATTTTACATCACAATAAAATAAAAAGATCAGAATATGCCCAGCGACCATAAGGAAGGAGGAAGTCCTGATGGCTCTTCGTCATAGAGGATGGAGCAACAGTGCCCCCCTGTGGCTGGATTTCAGCACAACCTCCAAGGCGCCAAAAGGCTGGACGTCAACACAGCATACCTCCTTTCTGTTCTCTATTGTCTCTATCCTGTCTGTCAAAAACAGTACTGAATGTTTGCCGTGTATGTGTACTATGATCCGCCCTGAGTCCCCTTGGGGAGATAAGGCAGAATATAAATAAAGTGTTGTTGCTGCTGCTATTCACTGTTTAGTGCATGCAGTTTAACATGGGCCAAAAATTAACAAAATGAAGTTCAACAGGGACAAATGCAAGATACTCCACTTAGGCAGAAAAAACGAAATGCAAAGATACAGAATGGGGGACAATGCCTGGCTCGAGAGCAGTACGTGTGAAAAAGATCTTGGAGTCCTCGTGGACAACAAGTTAAACATGAGCCAGGAATGTGATGTGGCGGCAAAAAAGGCCAATGAGATTTTGGCCTGCATCAATAGGAGCACAGTGTCTAGATCTAGGGAAGTCATGCTACCCCTCTATTCCGCTTTGGTTAGACCATACATAGAATCATAGAATCAAAGAGTTGGAAGAGACTTCATGGGCCATCCAGTTCAACCCCATTCTGCCAAGAAGCAGGAATATTGCATTCAAATCACCCCTGACAGATGGCCATCCAGCCTCTGTTTAAAAGCTTCCAAAGAAGGAGCCTGGAATATTGTGTCCAATTCTGGGCACCACAATTCAAGAGAGATATTGACAAGCTGGAATGTGTCCAGAGGAGGGTGACTAAAATGATCAAGGGTCTGGAGAACAAGCCCTATGAGGAGCAGCTTAAGGAGCTGGGCATGTTTAGCCTGAAGAAGAGAAGGCTGAGAGGAGATATGATAGCCATGTATAAATATGTGAGAGGAAGCCACAGGGAGGAGGAGGGAGCAAGCTTGTTTTCTGCTTCCCTGGAGAGTAGGATGCAATGGAACAATGGCTTCAAACTACAAGAGAGGAGGTTCCATCTGAACATGAGGAAGAACTTCCTGACTGTGAGACCCATTCAGCAGTGGAACTCTCTGATGGAGGCTCCTTCAGAGGGTTGGACTGGATGGTCCATGAGGTCTCTTCCAAGTCTTTGATTCTATGATCTCTTCAACCACCATGGCTCAAAACTATGGAATCATGGAATTGGCAGTTTTGCAAGCCTTCTCTGCCCAAAGATTTCCAGACATCAATCTCCCTTGACTCCCTGGAATCATTCCTTGGCGTCAAAGTAGCATCCAATTCCCCCTTCCTTAACCCTTCTGACCTCGCTCTTGTCCTCAAAGGGCAGCTCAAAGAGGCAGGCCCCGTTGTTGAAGTTCCACAGCTTGATGGTCCCGTTTTTCAAGGCCGTGATCAGACGCCTCTCCGGTGGATCAAACATCATGGCGGTGATCTCCACCGGCTGCACAGGCGAAGTGGAGAACTCCATGAGCTTCTGCCCCGACAAGACGTCCCAGACGGTGATGAGGCCGCTGTAGCAGCCGCTCACCACCTGCAGCAGAAACCACTCCAAAAAATTAACTCAAACAATGGCAACCAGACATCATTCATGTTAACCGATTACAACTAGGGCTGTGCAAACACGGAAAAATTTGTTTCTAAACTCGATTCGTTTTTAGGGGTTTTTTGCGTTTCGTTATTTAAAAGAATTCCGAAATTTTCCTTAAAAAAAATTCGATATTTACGAAATTTCAGAAATCATAAAACAATTACGAAACAATTATGAATCGATTACGAATCGATTCGTTAATGGCGGCCGCGATCGCGCAATACGCTAAAAAAACTTCTGAAGCTTCCCTCTCCCTCTGTTGTTGACTGTTGGTGTGATAATTATATTTTTTTTCACTGAGAAAACAAACAGCAACCCTAAAACTTGCACCAGACATGCGGAAATAATAACGAAACATTTACGAATCAATAATGAATCAATAACAAAACAATTCCGAAACAATTACGAAACAATTACGAAACGAATTGGAAAAATTCGTTTCGTTTTTTAGTTGCTCCTGAATGGTTCGATATCGCTTCGTTATAAAAAAAAATAACGAATTTTTAACGAATTACGAAATTACGAAACGAAACCTCCCAGCCCTAATTACAACTAATAAGTTTGTAATGAGTGCCGTTCTCCAAACTCTAAGACAGTGTTTCTCAACCTTCCTAATGCCGCGACCCCTTAATACAGTTCTTCATGTTGTGGTGACCCTCAACCATAAAATTATTTTTGTTGCTACTTCATAACTGTAATTTTGCTCCTGTTGTGAATTGCCATGTAAATATCTGATAGGCAGGACTAAATTTGGCACAAATACCTGATATGCCCACATTTGAATACTGGTGAGGTTTGGGGGGGGGGGGGGTTGATTTTGTCATTTAAGAGTTGTAGTTGTTGGGATTTATAATTCACCTACAATCAGAGAGCATTGTGAACTCTACCAATGATGGAATTGAACCAAACTTGACACACAGAACTTCCATGACCAACAGAACACACTGGAAGGGTTTGGTGGGCATTGACCTTGAGCTCAGGATTTGTAGTTCACCTACATCCAGAGAGCACTGTGGACTCAATCAATGATGGATCAGGACCAAACTTGGCATGAATACTCAATATGCCCAAATGTGAACAAAGTTTGGGGAAAATAGATCTTGACATTTGGGAGTTGTAGTTGCTGGGATATATAGTTCAACTACAATCAAAGAGCATTCTGAACCCCACCAACAATTTAATGAAGCCAAACTTCCCACACAGAACCCCATGATCAACAGAAAATACTATGTTTTCTGATGGTCTTTGGCGACACCCCCTCACGACCCCCTCAGGGGTCCCGACCCCCAGGTTGAGAAATGCTGCTCTAAGGTATAACGAAAAGTGCATCTACACTGTAGAATGAATGCAATTTTAACTGTCATTGCACAGTGCTATGGGATATGGGACTTCTAAGGTTGCTATGAGTTTTTCCATGCTGTATGGCTATGTTCCAGTAGCAATTTCTCCTGAAGTTTCCCCTGCATCTGTGCCTAATGGCATCTTCAGAGGTTATGTTGGCAGTGAAACAAGTGGAATGTAGATATATCTGTGGAATGACACGATCATCAGCATAGATTTTATTTATTTATTGTGTCAGGAGCAAACCAAGTTGTATTGCATTTTTAACAAAGAAACAAACAAACAAACCACAAAGTTTGCAAGCTTGGTAGTTGATTAGATTTCCTTTGACCAGTATCTGGCCACTTGCAGTTCCTCTGGTGTAGCTGCACGAAGGTCCTCCATTGTGCATGTAGCAGGGCTCAGGTTGCATTGCAGTAGTTGGTCTGTGGTTTGCTCTTCTCCACACTCGCATGTCATGGATTCCACTTTCTAGCCCCATTTCTTAAGGTTGGCTCTGCATCTCGTGATGCCAGAGCGCAGTCTGTTCAGTGCCTTCCTGTGTCTCTCATTTGGAGTCTCTCATTTGGTATCAGCCATTGATTGAGGTTCTGGGTTTGAGCCTGCCACTTTTGGACTCTCGCTTGCTGAGGTGTTCCAGCAAGTGTCTCTGTAAATCTTAGAAAACTATTTCTTGATTTAAGTCGTTGACGTGTTGGCTGATACCCAAACGGGATGAGCTGGAGGTGTCTCTGCCTTGGTCCTTTCACTATTGGCTGCAACTTCCCAGTGGATGTCAGGTGGTGCAATACCAGCTAGACAGTGTAATTTCTCCAGTGGTGTAGGGCGCAGGCACCCCGTGATAATGCGGCATGTCTCATTAAGAGCCACATCCACTGTTTTAGTGTGGTGAGATGTGTTCCACACTGGGCATGCATACTCAGCAGCAGAGTAGCATAGAGCAAGGGCAGATGTCTTCACTGTGTCTGGTTGTGATCCCCAGGTTGTGCCAGTCAGCTTTCGTATGATATTGTTTCTAGCGCCCACTTTTTGCTTGATATTCAGGCAGTGCTTCTTGTAGGTCAGAGCATGGTCCAGAGTGACTCCCAGGTATTTGGGTGTGCTGCAATGCTCCAGTGGGATTCCTTCCCAGGTAATCCTCAGAGCTCAGGATGCTTGTCTGTTCTTAAGGTGAAAGGCACATGTCTGTGTTTTAGATGGATTAGGGATCAGCTGGTTTTCCCTGTAATAGGCAGTAAGAGCACCTAGAGCTTCGGAGAGCTTCTGTTCAACCATCTCAAAGCTCCCTGCTTGAGCGGTAATGGCACGATCATCAGCATAGATGAAGCTCTCTGTCCCTTCTGGCAGTGGCTGGTCATTTGTGTAGATGTTGAACATGGATGGGGCCAGCACGCTCCCCTGAGGCAGGCCGTTCTTCTGTTTCCGCCATCTGCTTCTCTGGCCCTGGAACTCAACAAAAAAGCTCCTGTTTTGTAGCAGATTTCCTATGAGGCGGGTGAGGTGGTCGTCCTTTGTGATATTATACATTTGTCTCAGGAGGAGGCAGTGATTTACAGTATCATAAGCCTCTGACAGGTCTATGAAGACAACTCCTGTGATCTGCTGCCTTTCAAAGCCATCTTCTATGTGCTGAGTCAGGTTCAGCACTTGCGACGTGCAGCTTTTGCCTTTCCTGAAGACAGCTTGCAGTGGGATCAGACATCGGTCTATTTTTTCCATCATTCTATGCAAAATAAGTCTCTCCAGAACTTTGTAGAGGTGGCACAACAGGGAGATTGGTCTGTAGCTGTGACTGTGACCCCAGCTACACTGCCATATAATCCAGTTTCTGAATCCAGATTATCCTCTTTGAACTGGATTATACGGCAGTGTAGATCCAGCCTGTAGATCCCTTCTGTGTATCTATTTATAGGGACCCCTCTTCTATGTGAAAACGTAGTATGAAAAACATCCTTTGACAATAAATGCAAGTAGGGAATTTAGAGAGAAACCGGTCCAAAGCAGGGCCAATGTGAAACAAGAGGCAGGTGCCTTCCAAGCGTGATGCAAATCCCAGCTTTTGCAGATCCAAAGTTGCTTTTTCCCCCAGTCCTTTCTTCTCTGCAATTCACCTGCTTAAAGATCCTGTTGTACAAGGCAGAACAAAGTGGCTGCTCCTGGGACTTGAGTTCTATTTCAGCAGAATCTGCCGCAAAGAAGACGCCGATCTGCAGAAAAGCAACACAGAAAAGCACGTGAGATTAATGTGAAAGGAACTAGGGCTAAGACAGCAATGGAAAAATGAGCCATGAAGAGGGTGGGCTGGAAAGAAAGGAAGGAAGGCAGGAAGAAAAGAAAGAAGGAAGGAAAGAAGGAAAGAAAGAAGGAAAGAAGGAAGGAAGGAGAGAAAGAAGGAAGGAAGGAAAGAAGGAAAGAAAGAAAGAAAGAAAGAAAGAAAGAAAGAAAGAAAGAAGGAAAGAAAGAAGGAAAGAAGGAAGGAAGGAAGGAGAGAAAGAAGGAAAGAAGGAAGGAAGGAAAGAAGGAAAGAAGGAAAGAAAGAAAGAAAGAAAGAAAGAAAGAAAGAAAGAAGGAAGGAAGGAAGGAAAGAAGGAAGGAAAGAAGGAAGGAAGGAAAGAAGGAAAGAAGGAAAGAAAGAAGGAAAGAAGGAAAGAAAGAAAGAAAGAAAGAAAGAAAGAAAGAAAGAAAGAAAGAAAGAAAGGAGGAAAGAAAGGAGGGAGGGAGGGAGGGAGGGAGGAAGGAAAGAAAGAAAGAAAGAAAGAAAGAAAGAAAGAAAGAAAGAAAGAAAGAAAGAAAGAAGGAAGGAAGGAAGGAAAGAAGGGATGAAAGAAAGAAAGAAAGAAAGAAAGAAAGAAAGAAAGAAAGAAAGGAGGAAAGAAAGAAAGTAGGAAAGAAAGAAAGAAAGAAAGAAGGAAAGAAGGAAGGAAGGAAGGAAGGAAGGAAGGAAGGAAGGAAGGAAGGAAGGAAGGAAGGAAGGAAGGAAGGAGTATTATTAGTATAAATAGTAAAGGTTTCCCCTTGGCATTAAATCTAGTCGGGTCCGACTCTGGGGGGTGGTGCTCATCTCCATTTCTAAGCCAAAGAGCCGGCGTTGTCCATAGACACCTCCAAGGTCATGTGGCCAGTAGGACTGCATGGAGCGTTGTTATCTTCCTGCCAAAGCGGTACCTATTGATCTACTCACATTTGCATGTTTTTGAAACGCTAGGTTAGCAGAAGCTGGGCTAACAGAGGGAGCTCACCCCGTCCCATGGATTTAAACCTCCAACCTTCCGGTCTGCAAGTTCAGCAGCGGTTTAACCCGCTGCACCACCACTGCCCCTAGTATTAGTAGAAGTACTAATATATTCGCCTTTTGCTCTTTCAAAGTATTAGTAGTAGTACTATTTATATCCAGCTTTTGCTCTTTCAAAGGAGATTCAAAATTTGCTTGAAGTCCCCAACATCCAGACTTATCATCTGTCCTCTTACTAGGCAGAGAGCCTTTTCGATTGTGGCCCCTTATTTATGGAATGCCTTGCCAGTGGTAACCCGATCTAGCCGAGATCTACTTGCTTCTTGGAAAGCCTATAAAACCTTTCTCTTCCGACAAGCTTTCGATGGGTGAATAACTCGGGACTATGTCTGTTCTTGTTTTATTGTATTTTAAAGTTAATTGTATTGTTTTAATCTACTGCTGTAAATCGCTCCGAGCCAAATTGGGAGTAGCGGTATACAAGTCAAATAAATAAATGAATGAATGAATGAATAACGGCCAGGTGGAGTTGTCTTCGCCTGCTCAGCCTTCCCACGGTGATTTGGACCAAACTGATAAGGAAGAGAGCAGTGAAGATAGTGAATTAATGAGCAGGCAAAAACGCTTAGACTGGAGGGTCAGGAGGAGTTCTCGTTTAGCTAGCAAGAAAGAAGCCAAGTCATCATGGGAAAGGGTATTTAGGTTTCTAGCTGACAAAGAGAAATTGTCAGTTCAACGTGGCTCTTTCCATGAAAGCTTCTATGGATTAATCTTGGCCTTAAGCAGCATGGTTTGGGCTTACTGAATCTTGGTTTTTTGGGGCTTCTGTTTCACTGTTTTACCATGGACTCTTGTTTGAGCATTGCTTAAAGGATTAGAATCATAGAATCATAGAATCAAAGAGTTGGAAGAGACCTCCTGGGCCATCCAGTCCAACCCCATTCTGCCAAGAAGCAGGAATATTGCATTCAAATCACCCCTGACAGATGGCCATCCAGCCTCTGTTTAAAAGCTTCCAAAGAAGGAGCCTCCACCACACTCCGGGGCAGAGAGTTCCACTGCTGAATGGCTCTCACAGTCAGGAAGTTCTTCCTCGTGTCCAGATAGAATCTCCTTTCTTGTAATTTGAAGCCATTGCTCCGTGTCCTAGTCTCTAGGGAAGCAGAAAACAAGCTTGCTCCCTCCTCCCTGTGGCTTCCTCTCACATATTTATACATGGCTATCATATCTCCTCTCAGCCTTCTCTTCTTCAGGCTAAACATGCCCAGCTCCTTAAGCCGCTCCTCATAGGGCTTGTTCTCCAGACCCTTGATCATTTTAGTCACCCTCCTCTGGACACATTCCAGCTTGTCAATATCTCTCTTGAATTGTGGTGCCCAGAATTGGACACAATATTCCAGGTGTGGTCTAACCAGAGCAGAATAGAGGAGTAGCATCACTTCCCTAGATCTAAACACTAGGCTCCTATTGATGCAGGCCAAAATCCCATTGGCTTTTTTTGCCGCCACATCACACTGTTGGCTCATGTTTAACTTGTTGTCCTTGAGGACTCCAAGATCTTTTTCACACGTACTGCTCTCGAGCCAGGCATCCCCCATTCTGTTTCTTTGCATTTCGTTTTTCCTGCCAAATTATGCTTTATGTTTTTGCCTATGGATCTTTGGAACTGAGCTTTTGCATTTAACCTTTGTCTTTGGAACTTTGCATTGCTTACTCTATGTTTTGACTTTGTTTTTCCTCAAGAAACTACAAAATCTACAGCTCTTGTGTGGTGGTGTTTGAGAGCAAGGTGACGCCTACTCTGAGTTGCAACAATTGCATTGCATTTCACTGTTCAGGTTTCCCCTCCTGAGCCCCAAGTCAACGATGAAGGCTTTCTTGCTTTGTACCCTGTCCCATCCTCTCCTCCTTCCCAACTCTTCCTCTCCTGTTTCTCCCAATTCCTTTTACTCACCGTGTAAGTGGCGCAAACCAGGAAATTGTTAGGGAAGTGGTAGTACACAGCCGAGATGGGGCAGTTCCCCAGCGGGACATTCCTGCTGTGAATGGACTGCAAGCAAATGTGATCCAGTAGATCCCAAATGCGGATGTTCTGATGGAGGCAAGAGAAGAAGCCAAGAAGGAGCAGTGTTGGGTCATGAAGCACATTCTGGGGGAAGCAAATCTTCATAAACATCTTTCTTGTTGGGAAAAATAAATAATTTCACTAAGAGAGTCTTCAAAAAGTGCACTTTTAAAGAACTACTCCCAATTCAGGAGTTTTGGGGAGAGAGAATCGAAACATGAGCTTTTAATGCTGTATGCAGAACCTTCCATGTAGAAATGTTGTTTTCAGCCCAAGGAACTTGCTTTCTGTGTGCAGACAACAACCTTAGATTTTAGCTGGACTTTTCCTAAAAAGTTGTTGCAAGTTGTTTCGATTCCCATGAGAAAGGCGAGGCATAAATAAAAGAAAAGAAAAAGATTTTGTGCAGAAAAATTATTCTCTGTGCAAAAACTTTCCGAGCACATTTCACAGAGAATAAGACCCAAACGACAAATTCTTCATCCATCCAGAATTCTCCCCAACTGAGTTTACTGACCTTCCAGAAACTCCCTCTTCACTTGGAATGTGAATATTTGAATATGTCATTTCCACCCTTGAAAGTATAATATTTCAGTGGGTTTTCATTCATGAATACTAGGCCTGTGCGGTTTCGTTCGTTAATTTGTTAATTCGTTAAACATTCGTTAATTTTTGCATTTACGGTACGATAACAAAACATATTTCCAAACCCGGAAGGGTTTTTAAATATCGAAACGGCAACTCCCACAGTATTTACGAGCTTTCGCCCGTTTTGTAAATGGGGCGGGCGGGGCCTCCGCGCCTCCGCGTGCCATCCAACCGGCCTCCGCGCGCCATCCAATCGGCTCCGGCTCCTGCGCCCTCCTCCTCCTCCTCCTCCTCCCAGCTGTGTTGCAGGAAGCGCGCGCTCACCCTTACAACCGGCCTCCACGCGCCATCCAATCGGCTCCGGCTCCTGCGCCCTCCTCCTCCTCCTCCCCTGGCACTTCCTGCAACCCAGCTGGGAGGAGGAGGAGGAGGAGGAGAGAGGGCGCAGGAGCCGGAGCCGATTGGATGGCGCGCGCGCTCACCCTTACAACTGGCCTCCGCGCGCCATCCAACCGGCCTCCGCCTTCCCCGCCCTCTCCTCCTCCTCCTCCTACTGGCATGTCCTGCAACCCAGGGGGGAGGAGGAGGAGGAGGAGGAGGGCGCAGGAGCCGGAGCCGATTGGATGGCGCGCGCGCGCTCACCCTTACAACCGGCCTCCGCGCGCCATCCAATCGGCTCCGGCTCCTGCGCCCTCCTCCTCCTCCTCCTCCTCCCAGCTGTGTTGCAGGAAGTGCGCGCTCACCCTTACAACCGGCCGGCGCAGGAGCCGGAGCCGATTGGATGGCGCGCACGCGCTCACCCTTACAACCGGCCTCCGCGCGCCATCCAATCGGCTCCGGCTCCTGCGCCCTCCTCCTCCTCCTCCTGGCACTTCCTGCAACACAGCTGGGAGGAGGAGGAGGAGGAGGAGGGCGCAGGAGCCGGAGCCGATTGGATGGCGCGCGCGCGCTCACCCTTACAACCGGCCTCCGCGCGCCATCCAATCGGCTCCGGCTCCTGCGCCCTCCTCCTCCTCCTCCTCCTCCTGGCACTTCCTGCAACACAGCTGGGAGGAGGAGGGGGAGGAAGGAGGAGGGAGCCGGAGCCGATTGGATGGCACGCGCGCGCTCACCCTTACAACCGGCGCGCGGAGGCCGGTTGTCTCTTTAAGGCGCCTCTCTCTCCCAGCTGTGTTGCAGGAAGTGCCAGGAGGAGGAGGAGGAGGAGGGCGCAGGAGCCGGAGCCGATTGGATGGCGCGCGGAGGCCGGTTGTCTCTTTAAGGCGCCTCTCCCAGCTGTGTTGCAGGAAGTGCCAGGAGGAGGAGGAGGAGGAGGAGGGCGCAGGAGCCGGAGCCGGAGCGCAGGAGCCGGGGAGGGGATTCCTGCAGCGCCGGCTCTGCCTCCGTGGCCCGCCTGAGATGAGACCAATACCATCTTGAAGGCTGCATCCAGGCTCTTTTGCTGTGAGTTTTCTTTTCAGGGCTGTATGTTGACCATGTTCCAGAAGCATTCTCTCCTGACATTTTGCCCACATCTATGGCAGGCATCCTCAGAGGTCTGTTGGAAACTAGGCAAATGGAGTTTATCTATGGAATGTCCAGGGTGGGAGAAATGAAAGCCATTCAATGCTAATCAAGGTGACCAACTGCAACATTCACACTTACAAAATGTTTTGTAAATATTTACGAAATTTCGTAAATAACAAAACATTTTTTTGGAAAGTTTTGTAAATATTTTAAATATCGAAACAAAAAAACACCCCAATTACAAATCGATTTTAGAAACAAATTTTTTCTTGATCAAACAGGCCTAATGAATACACTGTGGGCACAACCACACTGTGAGTTGAATGCAGTTTGACACTACTTTAACTGCTATTGCAAAAAGAGCCCCTGGTAGCGCAATGGGTTAAACCCTTGTGCCAGCAGGACTGTGGACTTGAAGGTTGGGTTGCTGACCTGAAGGTTGCTGATTCGAATCCAGGGAGAGTGCGAATGAGCTTCCTCTGTCAGCTCCAGCATCCCATGTGAAGACATGAGAGAAGCCTCCCACAAGGATGGAAAAACATCAAACATCCGGGTGTCCCCTGGGCAATGTCCGTGCAGGTGGCCAATTCTCTCACGCCAGAAGCAACTTGCAGCTTCTCAAGTCACTTCTGACACACACAAAAACACCTGCCATGGCCAAATGTTATGGAATCGTGGGAATTGTATTTTGGTGAGGCATCAGAACGCTTTGGACAAGAAGGCTACAGTGCTGTAAATAGCTTGGAAAGCAAGCATGAGGAGATGCTGGTGAAAGAATCAGTGGTTGAGCTGGAGCCCAGCAGTTGCCTCAGCCCAACTTTGAAGCAATACCCAAAGAAGGAGCTACTACACCTCAGCCTACAGAACAAATGCAAGAAGCTCCTCTGAGCAGGTAGAGGAAAAGTTCACTGTTCCAACTGTCATGGATCTGCGTAGAGAGGGATCTCAGATGTCCAGATCCTCAAGCCAGCAACAACATCACACCTGTGGACTTAGGATTTAAGGAGCTCAAAGGTTACACCTTGTTGCTGGCTGCAACAGTAAAAGCTACCTGGTTACATCCTGTATAGATTACTGCAATGCTTTCTACATGGGGTTGCCTTTGAAGACTGCTCGGCAGCTTCAAATGATCCAATGAGTGGCAGCCAGGTTACTAACAGGAGCAGTACTCAGGGAGCATACAACTCCTCTGTTACGCCAGTTCCACTGGCTGCCAATCTGCTTCCAAGCACAATTCAAAGTGCTGGCTTTAGCCTATAAAGCCCTAAATGGTTTCGGTTCAATTTACCTATCTGAACATACCTCTCCTTACAAACCATCTAGAACACTAAGATCTTCTGGGGAGGCCCTGCTCTTGCTCCCACCTTCCTCACAGATGCGTCTGGCGGGGACAAGAGACAGGGCCTTCTCAGCGGTGGCCCCTCAACTGTGGAACACCCTGCCTAGAGAGATAAGATCGGCCCCCTCCCTCCTGTCCTTCCGAAGAATGGTGAAAAACTGGCTTTTCGAACAGGCCTTCCCAAACATGGCATAGATATATGATATTATGGACAACTGACGACGCAACTGGACAATGATTTGAGATGGAGACGTTTTGATAATGTTTTTAACTGCTGTGTATGATTTTTATGTTTATGTAGTGCTGTTAGTATTTTAAAGTATTAATGATTGTTTTATTTTGTTGTAACTGCTCTGGCATAGAATTGTTAACTGCTCCGAGTCACCCTTGGGCTGAGAGGGACAGTATATTAATGTAGTAAATAAATAAATACCTCAGACCCTTGCTATCTTGTCTTTCAGCACTATAGACTTATTCTTGGACCATGTCCTAGAGATTCTGATTCAACCTTGTAAGATAAATATGATGAGTAGTTTGAATGCATTGATAGGATTATAGTGTCTAGATCCAGGGAAGTCATGCTCCCCATCCTCTATTCTGCCTTGGTTAGACCACATCTGGAACATTGTGTCCCATTCTGGGCACCACACTTGAAGGGAGATATTGACAAGCTGGAATGTGTCCAGAGGAGGGCAACTAAAATGATCCAGGGTCTGGAGAACAAGCCCTATGAGGAGCGGCTTAAAGAACTGGGCATGTTTAGCCTGAAGAAGAGAAGGCTGAGAGGAGATATGATAGCCATGTATAAACAGGTGAGAGGAGGTCATAACGAGGAGGGTTGTTTTCTGCTGCCCTGGAAACTAGGACCCAATGGAGCAATGGCTTCAAGCTGCAAGAAAGGAGATTCTATCTGAACATTAGGAAGAACTTCCTGACTGTGAGAGCCGTTCAGCAGTGGAACTCTCTGCCCCGGAGTGTGGTGGAGGCTCCTTCTTTGGAGATTTTTAAACAGAGGGTGAATGGCCATCTGTCGGGGGGGGGGGGGCTTTGAATGTGATTTTCCTGCTTCTTGGCAGAATGGGGTTGGACTGGATGGCCCACCAGGTCTCTTCCAACTGTATGATTTTAGGATTCTATAATTCTACTAGCCATCCCCTGCCACGTATTGCTGTGGCCCAGTCTAGTGATCTGGAAAATAAAGTAATTAGAAAGCATTGGTTTCTAATATATGCAATTTCTTTCTGCTTGTGGGTAAACAGTATTTCTTGCTGCTTCTTTGTCAGTGTGGATGTGGAGAGTGTCTGATTTGCCCTCTCTGGAACATGCAACATATCATTGTCCTTCTTAAAGGGTCCCTTTAAATATATGATACTATATCTGTGTGTGTGTGTATCATATCTATCTATCTCTATCTATGGCTGGATGGCTGTTTGTTGGGAGGGCTTTGATGACGTTTTCTTGCCCTGGTGAAGGGAGTTGGATTGGGTGGCCTTAAGTATGGGAGTTCTGTGTGGGAAGTTTGCCCTAATTCTGTCATTGGTGGGGTTCAGAATGCTATTTGATTGCAGGTGAACTATAAATCCCAGTAACTACAACTCTCAAATGTCAAAGTCTATTTCCACCAAACTCCATCTGTGTTCATATTTGGGCATATTGCATATTCATGCCAAGTTTGGTCCAGATACATCATTCTTTGAGTCCACAGTGCTCTCTGGATATAGGTGAACTACAACTCCCAAACTCAAGGTCAATGCCCACCAAACCCTTCTAGTGTTTACTGTTGGTCATGGGAGTCCTGTGTGCCATGTTTGGTTCAATTCCATCATTGGTGGAGTTCAGAATGCTCCTTGATTATAGGTGAACTATAAATCCCATCAACTACAACTCCTAAACTACAAAATCATAAGTTTTTGAGTGATGGTCACTCCTTGTGTTGTGAGATGTTTTGTTGCCAAATTTGGTGTGATTTCGTTCATTGGTTCTTTTGTTTTTAAGGTACTCATTATGCACAGAGCATTTTTATATATATAGGTAAGTATAAATGGGGCTGATATAAGGCAGAAGATACCATTCTAAGAAGAATGAAGTCTGGAAAAACTGCAGAAGGAGAATTCATGAACTGCTGAACTATGATTAGAAAAGTTGCCGATGAGAACTGCTGACATGACCAGAGACAAATGATTAACTCTGTGGTGTTAAAAAAAACATGTTGACATTACCAGAGACAATGACTCTTTCAAGTTATGGAAGTCAAACAATGCTCCTTACTTTAGAAGGAAAACTAACATCTGTCTGCAGCATATTTTAGCTGCAAAACAACCTGTCAGTCGTTTACAACTTTTTGGCAAAACAACAGCAGAACATTGTTTCCAAAAGTGTTTCAGATCTGCAATGGAAAGCAGAGTCTGGTCACCCACCACTTCTGACATAAAGACCTTGCCAAATCACAACTCCCAGGATTCCATAGCATTGAGCCACGGCGGTTAAAGTGGGGTCAAACTGTATTCATTCAGCAGTGCAGATGTACCCTGTGTGTGACGGCGCGAGTGGCACCACCTATGTGTAGAACTGTTAGTTGCAAGATTTAAACTGTTGTATCATGCTCAATCCTGCCTTTTTACCCTGCTTATGTATAGTTGGATTGATTGGATATTTATAGCTGTGAATCAGTGTTGTTTGCACCAGTTAAATTGCTTCCTGAGCTCAGTTGTTTGGCTCCACCTCTTCCTAGAAGAGGGGAGTGCTTCCCTTTTTCATTCTGCCATCAGAGTTTCTATCAGATGGACGTGAGTAAGAGACTTGGCTCTAAAAGCCCCTGCTTAAATTACCTCTCAGCAGCAATTCTAAGGTTTTTTTTACCCTTGGGACTCATGTTTTATGTCCAGATCGCTCTGGACAACATTGAGGAGACCCAAGCGCCTTCAAACCGGTTCTTTTGGCACCAGAGGAAGGTCTTGTCCCTTCAACATAGGCCATTGGACTGGGGTTGTGTTTATTCCGATATTCACTGCCATTGAGGAAAGAGGAAACAGGAAAAGCTTCTCAACTGCAAACTCCTTGGACTTCAGAGATTGTAAAGTATATTTCCTTTATCCCTGTTGAAACATCAAGCTTATGCCTGAGAAAGATAACTCATTGTGAACAATAAATACCATTTCGAGTTATCTGTTATTTTTGGTCTTTGGGAGTTCCAGTTTCCTATAGGAGGGCAAGAAGCAATCCCCTGGGGAAAGATGCCACGTCCATGCCTCTTTCACTAAGAGTTATAGCCCCCAGGCGCGATGACACACTGTGTGTGTGAGGAATAGTTGAAATGTGAAGCTTTTAAGACAGGCATGGGCAAACTTCGTCCCTCCAGGTGTTTTGGACTTCCTAACATACTACCTGTTAGCAATTCTGGAAGTTCAAAACACTTGAAGGGACAAAGTTTGCCCATAGCCTGCTTTAAGGACACTCCACCATCCAAGACGAAAAATCCATAGGTTCCCCACCAAGAAAGAGATGGGACAGAAATCCAGCTGGGCATGGCAGCACCAAGCCAAGAATTTGGGGGTTTTCCCCACCCCACCACCTCCACACACAAGCACCTACTTTGTCTTTGGAGAGGCTGACGATGGTGGCCCTCTCCCTGTTGATCATGATGTGAGTGACGGCCGTGCCATGGCCTTTGAGCTGAGTGATGGAGCTGCTGGTGACATACGGGTTCCAGATTCGGATCTCGGCCTCATATCCCCCCGTCACTGCCATGAGAAAAAGAGGCAAAGCATAGCTGATGACTGTTTGTAGGATTTGGGCAGGAAAACTGAATCTGCAAGGTACAATGATGCCAATAGGCTGTTAGGGATTGTGAGAGGGCCGAAGTTTGCCCTGGAGGGCCGAAGTTTGCCCATGCATGCCTTAAAGCCTCACATTTCAGCTATTCCTCATATACACAAGGTGCATTGAAGAGACTATTGTGTCCAATTCTGGGCACCACAATTCAAGAGAGATATTGACAAGCTGGAATGTGTCCAGAGGAGGGCGACTAAAATGATAAAAGGTCTGGAGAACAAGCCCTATGAGGAGCGGCTTAAGGAGCTGGGCATGTTTAGCCTGAAGAAGAGAAGGCTGAGAGGAGATATGATAGCCATGTATAAATATGTGAGAGGAAGCCACAGGGAGGAGGGAGCAAGCTTGTTTTCTGCTTCCTTGGAGACTAGGACGCAATGGAACAATGGCTTCCAACTACAAGAGAGGAGATTCCATCTGAACATGAGGAAGAACTTCCTGACTGTGAGAGCCGTTCAGCAGTGGAACTCTCTGCCCCGGAGTGTGGTGGAGGCTCCTTCTTTGGAAGCTTTTAAACAGAGGCTGGATGGCCATCTGTCAGGGGTGATTTGAATGCAATATTCCTGCTTCTTGGCAGGGGGTTGGACTGGATGGCCCATGAGGTCTCTTCCAACTCTTTGATTCTATGATTCTATGACTATATGCTTAAATTATTGCATTTCAGTAAAGACCTTTTATGTATAATATGGATTTTGTTTTGGTTAAACTCTGGCCACATTACCAGAGTACCTGGAACATTACCTGGAACATGACAGCTTCATTCTGAGACATACTTGAGCCTAGTTGGCCTGGGACCTAACTCGATCTGAATCTGGGTTGTTGTAGGTTTTGCGGGCTGTATGGCCATGTTCCAGAAGCATTCTCTCCTGATGTTTCGCCTGCATCTATGGCAAGCATCCTCAGAGGTTGTGAGGTCTATTGGAAACTTGGAAAATTGGGGTTTATATATCTGTGGAAAGTCCCGGTGGGAGAAAGAACTCTTGTCTGTTGGAGGCAAGTGTGAATGTTTCAATGGGTTACCTTAATTAGCATTTAATGACCTAAAAGTTTCAAGGTCTGGCTTCTTACTGCCTGGGGGAATCCTTTGTTGAGAGGTAATTAGTGGTCCCTGGTAGTTTCGTGTCTGGAGTTCCCCTGTTTTTTAGTGTTGTTCTTTATTTACTGTCACAATCTTGGAGTTTTTTTAATACTGGTAGCCTCAAATAATATGCTGTGTCCAGATTGGTTCATCAAGTGCTCTGCTATGGCTGACTTCTCTGGTTGAAGTAGTCTGCAGTGCCTTTCATGTTCCTTGATTCGTGTTTGGGTAATGCGGCTGCGTTTGGTGGTCCTTCTGTAGACTTCTTGTCCACAGCTGCATGGTACACGGTAGACTCCTGCAGAGGTGAGAGGATCCCTCTTGTCCTTTGCTGAACGGAGCATTTGTTGGATTTTCTTGGTGGGTCTGTAGATAGTTTGTATGTTGTGTTTCCTCATCAGCTTCCCTATGCGGTCAGTGGTTCCCTTGATGTATGGCAAGAACACTCTTCTCCTCTGGGTGGATCTTCATCTTTATTTTCATGGCTTCTTCTCGGTTGTCTTGCAGCTCTTCTGATGTCTGAGGTGGAGTCTCCATTGGCCTGGAGAGCCCAGTTGAGGTGGTTCAGTTCATCTTGGAGGAGGTGGGGTTCGCAGATTCTTTTTGCACGGTCTGCCAAGGCTTTAATGGTGCTTCTTTTTTGACTTGGGTGATGGTTGGAGTTTTTATGTAGATATCTATCTGTGTGTGTGGGTTTTCTGTAAACAGTGTGACCCAATTGTTGATTTGGTTTGTGGATGACTAGGACATCTAGAAAAAGCAGTTTTCCTTCATTTTCTTCTTTTGTCGTGAATTGGATGTTTGGGTGGATGCTGTTCAGGTGGTCCAGGAACCTGTTTAATTCTTCTCTGAGTAAAATCTCTGAGTAAAATCTCTCTCAGGCTAAATGGGAGATTTGGGACATATAGGAATAAGTCAGTCCCTCACAGCCCTGGATGTGCCTCAGCATTGAGTCTATGTGTAAAATACAGTTCTGATGGACATGTGGTTACACACCTGTGGAAAGAAGTTAATGGTGAAATACTTAAGGGGCCGTCAGAAATGGATGAGCCATGAGCATGTGAGGTTTATGCCAAGGAGTTGCATCATTCATTTGTCCCTTACTGGTGACTAGTGGTTATAAAAGGGGAGAGGAAATGCCTGTGTGTATGAACTTTGTCATGAGTATATCTCTGTATCTGCTATTCATTTGATTGTGGATCAGTGCATCCTGATCTGTGCACAGCTATAAATAGTGCAATGTGTCAAGATTAAAACCTCCTGATATTTTGGATGAAAACTGAATCTGTGAGTTTCCTATGTAAACTTTCCCATTGACATTAAGTCTAGTCATGTCCAACTCTGGGGGGTGGTGCTCATTCATCTCTATTTCTAAGCCGAAGAGCTGGTATTGGGTTGTTGTAGGGTTTTTGGTTTTTTTTGGCTGTATGGCCATGTTCTAGAGGCATTCTCTCCAGACATTTTGCCTGCATCTGTGGCAAGAATCCTCAGAGGTTGTGAGGTCTGTTGGAACTAGGAAAGCTGGGTTTATATATCTGTGGAATGACGAGGGTGGGACAAAGAACTTTTGTCTATTGGAGCTAGGTGTGAATGTTTCAACTGACTACCTTGATTAGCATTTGATGGCCTGGCAGTGCCTGGGGCAATCTTTTGTTGAGAGTTCCTTTCTGTCGAAATTGTCCACATGCTTGTGGATTTCAGTGGCTTCTCTGTGTAGTCTGACATGGTGGTTGTGAGAGTGGTCCAGCATTTCTGTGTTCTCAAATAATATGCTGTGTCCAGGTTGGTTCCTCAGGTGCTCTACTATGGCTGGCTTCTCTGGTTGAAGTAGTCTGCAGTTCCTTTCATGTTCCTTCACGCGTGTTTAGGCAATGCTGCTGCGTTTGGTGGTCCCTCTGTAGACTTGTCCACAGCTGCATGGTACATGGTAGACTCCTGCAGAAGTGAGAGGATCCCTCTTGTCCTTTGCTGAACAGAGCATTTGTTGGATTTTCTTGGTGGATATGTAGATAGTTTGTATGTTGTGTTTCCTCATCGGCTTCCCTCTGCGGTCAGTGGTTCCCTTGATGCAGACACCTCCAAGGTCATGTGGCTGGCATGACTACATGGAGCGCCTTTACCTTCCCACCAGAGCACTACCTATTGATCTACTTACATTTGCATGTTTTTGAACTGCTAGGTTGGCAGAAGCTGGGGCTACCAGCGGGAGCTCATGCCGCTCCCCGGATTTTAACCTGCAACCTTTCAGTCAGCAAGTTCAGCAGCTCAGCAGTTTAACCCTCTGTGCTACAGTGTACTAAATAAGATCAGACATTGCGGTTCCTGCTGATAAGACTGATTAACTGAGCAAAACTCATAATTAACTGAGCAAAACTCATAATTAACTGAGCAAAACTCATAATTAACTGAGCAAAACTCATAATTGCTGTGAATGGACTTTGCTATGTTTTTGTTTGCACTTATTTGTCCAGTGTGCAGTGGTCTCAGGGTGGGTGTGATTAGAAAACTATAAGCCGCACACCTACCCCCACCTTAATTTCCAGTCCAGGAGTCCATTGCAAGAAGGGAGACAGTGGGGATGAGCAGGGTCATATTATCTTGTCATCCATTAGAGGAACCAAAGCTGTTCGAGATCATAAATTAGACCAATATGGAACCAGACAAGTACTTTCCTCCAAGACAATCTAGACCAGTGGTTCCAAACCTTTATTTCTCCAGGTGTTTTGGACTTCTGCTCCCATAACTCCTAACAGCTAGTAAGATGAATGGAATTTTGGGGAACTGGAGTCCAAAATGCCTGGAGGACCAGCTATTGGGGACCACTGGTGTAGTAGAATAGCAACCATAAATGCTTGACCACCTTGACCAAAAGATTAATGTTATGTTCACCATCCGCCAGTGTCTTATGCTCCAGGAGTTATGTTCATGCAGCAATGGGAGAAGGTGTCTTAGATTCTTAACCCATAAAATGGAAAGGTCTTACAGCATGTGAGAGATGTTTGCCAGGAGAAGCCACGGTTGCCCCATCAGCTGCATCTAGGAAAAGCTGCTTTATGACACTGGGAGGCCATCTGGGTCTCCAAGGATAAAGATGGATCAGGCAAAACCCAAGGTTTTTTTGCTAGGTGTAGCTTTGCTTCATTTTGAGACATCTTTGAGCCTAGCTGACCTAGAACCCAACTGAATTGGCAACCTGGAACCCATAATCCTCCTCAATTGCTGGTTGTGAAGTATAGTGCAGGCAGAAGGGCAGGATGGATGAGCAGGGATCTGTTAACTGGTCATAAATGAGACTGATGTGGAGCTGGACAACTAGTTTCCTCCAAGAGTATTTAACAGGTGCAGAACTATTAATGCTTGACCACCTTGCCTAACAGATCTATATTATGTCCTGCATTGGCCAATGTGTTATTTTTCAGGAGTTCGGTTGTTGGTCATGTTCTAGAGGCATTCTCTCCTGACGTTTCGCCTGCATCTATGGCAAGCATCCTCAGAGGTAGTGATGTCTGTTGGAACTAGGAAAAAGGGTTTATATATCTGTGGAATGACCAGGATGGGACAAAGGACTCTTGTCTGCTGGAGCTAGGTGTGAATGTTTCAGCAGATCACCTTGTTTAGCATATAATGGCCTGACAGTGCCTGGAGCAAACTTTTGTTGAGAGGTGATTAGATGTCCTTGTTTGTTTCCTGTCTGTTGTTGTGCTGTTTTCAGGAGTTTCTTGCAAGCATACCAAGGATATTGAGCTCCGGGGAGTAGTCAAAGCACAGGATGCCTTTCTTCAGAACTATCACAGCTGATCTGCAACAAGCACAACAAGATCAGTGCTATTTGAATATCAAGCAAAAAGTGGGTGCTAGAAACAATATCATATGAAAGCTGACTGGCACAACCTGGGGATCACAACCAGATACAGTTACGACATCTGCCCTTGCACTATGCTACTCTGCTGCTGAGTACGCATGCCCGGTGGGGAACACATCTCACCACACTAAAACAGTAGATGTGGCTCTTAATGAGACATGCCGCATTATCACGGGGTGTCTGCGCCCTATACCACTGGAGAAATTATACTGTTTAGCCGGTATTGCACCACTTGACATCCCCCGGGAAGTAGCATCCAATAGTGAAAGGACCAAGGCAGAGACATCTCCAGCCCACCCCCTGTTTGGGTATCAGCCAGCATGTCAACGACTTAAATCAAGAAATAATTTTCTAAGATCTACAGAGACACTTGCTGGAACACCTCAGCAAGTGAGAGTCCAAAAGTGGCAGGCTCAAACCCAGAACCTCAATCAATGGCTGATACCAAATGAGAGACCCCCACCCCCCACCCCCACCCCCACCCCGGGCACACAGAGGACTGGGCAACTTGGAAGGCACTGAACAAACTGCACTCTGGCACAAGATGCAGAGCCAACCTTAAGAAATGTAGGACTTGTAATTTGGTGAGGCACAAGCCCTCTTTGGCAGAGGAAAACTAAGGACCTTGTAAAACTACAACTCTCAGGATTACATAGCATTGAGCCCTGACAGTTAAACTGGATTAATTCTATAGTGTAGATCAGTGGTTCTCACTCTTCCTAATGCCGCGACCCCTTAACACAGTTCCTCATGTTGTGGTGAACCCAACCATAACATTTTTTTCATTGCTACTTCATAATGGTAATTTTACTACTGTTAGGAACTGTAATGTAAATATCTGATAGGCAGGATGTATTTTCATTCACTAGACCAAATTTGACACAAATACCCAATATGCCCAAACTTGAATACTGGTGGGGTTGGGGTTGATTGATTTTGTCATCTGGGAGTTGTAGTTGCAGTCATTTGGGAGTTGTAATTGTAGATGGCCATTGACCTTGAGTTTTGGAGTTGTAGTTCACCTACATCCAGAGAGCACTGTGGACTCAAACAATGATAGATCTGGACCAAACTTGGCACGAATACTCAATGTGCCCAGATTTCAACACTGATGGGGTTTGGGAAAAATAGATTTGTCATTTGTGAGTTATTGTTGCTGGGATTTATAGTTAATCTCAGTATGCCCAAATGCAAACACTGGTGGAGTTGACCCTGACATTTGGGAGTTGTAGTTGCTGGGATTTATAGTTCACCTACAGTCAAAGAGCATTCCGAACTCCACCAACAAAGGAATTGAATCAAGCTTGGCACACAGAACTCCCATGACCAACAGAAAATACTGAAAGTGTTTGGTGGGCATTGACCTTGAGTTTTGGAGTCGTAGTTCACCTACATCCAGAGGGCACCAGACTCAAACAATGATGGATCTGGCCCAAACTGGGTACGAGTACTCAGTATGCCCAAATGTGAACACTGGTGGAGTTGACCCTGACATTTGGGAGTTGTAGTTGCTGGGATTTATAGTTCACCTACAGTCAAAGAGCATTCTGAACTCCACCAACAAAGGAATTGTACCAAACTTGGCACACAGGACTCCCATGACCAACAGAAAATACTGGAAGTGTTTGGTGAGCATTGACCTTGAGTTTTGGAATCGTAGTTCACCTATGTCCAGAGGGCACCAGACTCAAACAATGATGGATCTGGACCAAACTTGGCACAAATGGGTTGTTGTAGGTTTTTTCGGGCTATATGACCATGGTCTAGAGGCATTCTCTCCTGACATTTCGCCTGCATCTATGGCAAGCATCCTCAGAGGTAGTGAGGTCTGTTGGAACTAGGAAAATGGGTTTATATATCTGTGGAAAGACCAGGGTGGGACAAAGGACTCTTGTCTGCTGGAGCTAGGCGTGAATGTTTCAACTGACTACCTTGATTAGTAGTGATGTAGTAGGTAGATTAGTAGTGAGGTAGTGAGGATGCTTGCCATAGATGCAGGCGAAACGTCAGGAGAGAATGCCTCTAGACCATGGCCATATAGCCCAAAAAAGCCTACAACAACCCAGTGATTCCGGCCATGAAAGCCTTCGACAATACATTGGCACACATACTCATTATGCCCAGATTTCAACACTGATGGAGTTTGGGGGAAATAGATTTGTGAGTTGTAGTTGCTGGGATTTATAGTTAACCTACAATCAAAGAGTGTCCTGAACCCAGCCCACAATGGATCTGCACCAAACTGGCACACTACCTACATGGCCAACATTGAATACTGGGGGTGGGGGGGGGGCTGTTTTTGAATTCAGGGAGTTTTTTTTTTCATGTCAGGAGCGACTTGAGAAACTGCAAGTCGCTTCTGGTGTGAGAGGATTGGCTGTCTGCAAGGACGTTGCCCAGGGGACGCCCGGATGAATTGCTGTTTTTATCATCCTTGTGGGAGGCTTCTCTCATGTCCCCGCATGAGGAGCTGGAGCTGGTAGAGGGAGCTCATCCGCCTCTCCCCGGATTCGAACCTGCGACCTGTCGGTCTTCAGTCCTGCCGGCACAGGGGTTAAACCCTCTGCGCCACCGGGTTAAAGCACTGTGCTGACAGGACTGAAGACCGACAGGTCGCAGGTTCAAATCTGGGGAGAGGTGGATGAGCTCCCTCTATTAGCTCCAGCTCCTCATGCGGGGACATGAGAGAAGCCTCCCACAAGGATGATGTTCATTCGTTCAGTTGTCTCCGACTCTTCGTGACCTCATGGACCAGCCCACGCCAGAGCTCCCTGTCGGCCGTCACCACCCCCAGCTCCTTCAAGGTCATTCCAGTCCCTTCAAGGATGCCATCCATCCATCTTGCCCTTGGTCGGCCCCTCTTCCTTTTGCCTTCCACTTTCCCCAGCATCATTGTCTTCTCTAGCCTAGAGAAGGATGATAAAACATCAAAAATCATCCAGGCGTCCCCTGGGCAACGTCCTTGCAGACGGCCAATTCTCTCACAACTGGAGCGGTTGCTCCTGACACGACAAAAATTCAGGGAGTTGTAGTTCACCAACACCAAAAAGGACGAGAATGGGAGGCAGAGAGATCTTCAGCCTTCTCTGCCAAAGGAGTTCCTAAGACCATCAGAAATATGTGTTTTCCGATGGTCTTTGGCGACCCCTCTGAAACCCCCCCAAGGGTCCCAACCTCCAGGTTGAGAAACACTAATGTAGATGTACGCTATGTCTACTAAGTAGGCTAAACCACATGGGGCTTAGGAGACTGTGGCTTGGTATGTATCCCCTTATTGTCATCCTATGTAATTTGTCATTTAAATTGGAAGAGAGGGGAACTTTGCCCAGTTAATTTATTCCATTTTTACTGCACTCTGCTTTGAAGCCGTGGGCATTTAATCCCGAGTCTTCTTGGGCATTTACTCCATTTAAGAGAGGGAGAAATACGGCCGGATGCACTCGCCATCCATCAGAGCCGCCTGGAAGGCACAGAATAAACACCATCAGGATTTGTTTGCCTCTTTAGTGGCTGTGTTTTATTGTTTTAATTTGCTCTTAAATACCCGGCAGTCTCTTTGATGAAGTGCAAGGACCAAATATGTTCAATAAATGAATATGAATGGGGGGAAATCGGAAATGCAACACCACCATCTCCTGTCCGGTCCCTTAACTGCAAGCGTGAATCGTACTTGGCACTTTCAATAGGCCTCAAAATGCTTTATGGGTGTGTTATATTTACAACATCCTGAAAGGTAAGCCATTCATAATATACTAGAATCCAGAAGCTGGATGGCCATCTGTCAGGGGTGATTTGAATGCAATATTCCTGCTTCTTGGCAGGGGGTTGGACTGGATGGCCCAGGAGGTCTCTTCCAACTCTTTGATTCTATGATTCTATGATTCTATGACTTGGAAGGGACCCCCAAAGGTCATCCAGTCTAACTTCCTTCTGCTGGTCAGAAAGACACAATCCAAGCCTTCCCGACAGGTGGCCATCCAGCACAATAACAAGAATGAAACATTAAGCAGGAAACTATATTCAGCAGGCTGTGGCACAGATAGCTGATAGCCAGCTGCATTAAATTACTACTGACCGAGAGGTCATGAGTTCGAAGCCAGCCTGGGTTGGAGTGAGCTTCCGGCCATTACTCTAGCCTTGCTGTCGACCTATGCAGCCCAAAAGACAGTTGCATCTGTCAAGTAGATAATTTAGGTATCGCTTTATGCGGGGAGGAAAATTAAATTAATTTACAATGCCATAAAACCTTCCTGCAGCTTGCAGAAGAATGAGGAAGTACTCTATCAAAGGACTCGGTCTCACAAGTGGACAGTGAAGCGGCAGCTCCCCCTGAGGCCAGAATCAAACATACCCTCATGAATCAAACATACCCCACTACACCATTGCAACTAGCACGACTGGTCTCACGAATCCCTCTCTCATAGTGCCGAGGCTTATTAGATAAGCTTTTCCGTGGACGAGCAGATGGTGACTACAGGATGGCATATCTTCTGTATCAGAAAATAGAGCTGATGTGGTCTATCCAGTGCAATTTTCTGAATCCGCACCCCAAATAACCAAACTGAATCTAAAGTTGACCAAAAACTGATTCATAGTCCTTTTGGTACTAATGTTGCAGAGTGGTTCCTGGTCAAAGTGGTCCCATCAATTTATTTATGTTGCATCTATATGCTGCCCTTCTCCCAGAGTGGGACCCAACGCAGCTTGAGATAGATAGATAGATAGATAGATAGATAGATAGATAGATAGATAGATATAGATAGATATGGAAGAAGGGTTAAAGGGACACCACTTCAGCTACCTTCACACAGAAAGTAAAAAATTACAAGCCCCAGTTATGACAGCGAGGCAAGAATGTCTAGTTGCTCTAAATGGCTCTGTCCATGACCATAAAATTCCTGAACAATAGCGCATTAGGAAATGCTGATGATCAAACAGCATGTGCTAAACGGGTTTGTTGGTGCGAGGAGGATGTCCGCAATTCCACTTAAGCAAAAGTAATTGTCATTGACGACACTTTCTGCATTTTAATGTGCACCTGCCTCGCTGTTTAGAGTGTTACACTCTAGACTTGAGACACTTTTTCACCCAACACCACACCAGAGTCCGGTAGTACTAACTACAGCAGTTTATTGTGAAAAGTGGGTACAAGAGGGGGGAAAGGGCATATAGCGATGTTGTCTCCACTGAAGGCACCAGGTAAACATCACTTAATTTAAACACAAGCCCAACCAAGAAGCCATGACATCATGTCTAATACACGTGTTATGTGTCATGTGTGCTTTCCACCTACGCAACCATGAAGCCAACAGGAAATTGAAAGTCACCTGAGAAATTGTTGAAGGCTTTCATGGCCGGAATCACTGGGTTGTTGTAGGTTTTTCCAGGCTATATGGCCATGTTCTAGAGGCATTTTCTCCTGATGTTTCGCCTGCATCTATGGCAAGCATCCTCAGAGGTAGTGAGGTCTCTCTACCTCTGAGGATGCTTGCCATAGATGCAGCGAAACGTCAGGAGAAAATGCCTCTAGAACATGGCCATATAGCCCGGAAAAACCTACAACAACTCACCTGAGAAGGTCAAGAGCTTGAACATTGTTTCCATCCTAAATATCTGCTATCCATTTCTAATGGCTCTATTACCCTTTTATATGATCATCCAGACGAAAGAAAAGAAGAAGAAGAAGAAGAAGAAGAAGAAGAAGAAGAAGAAGAAGAAGAAGAAGAAGAAGAAGAGAGAAAACTGGCAGAAGAAGGCTATCCATGGGCAGTTCCTGGGAAAAATTGAGAGCCAAATTGACAAAGAAAAAACATGGCTGTGGCTCACAAATGGAACTCTGAAAAAGGAGACAAAGGAGGGCCTGATTCTGGCAGCCCAAGAACAAGCCATTCGAACCAAGGCCATCAAAGCCAGAATTGAAAAGTCGACAACAGATCCCAAATGTAGACTCTGCAAGGAAGCAGATGAAACAATAGATCCCATCCTCAGCTGCTGCAAGAAGATCCCGCAGACAGACTACAAGCAGAGGCACAACACAGTTGCTCAGATGATTCTATTGGAACTTGTGCCACAAACACATCTACTTGTGCCACAACTGGTGGGATCACAAGCCAGAAAAAAGTTACAGAGAATTAACACATCAAGATAGTCTGGGACTTCCGGCTTCAGACAGACAGAGTTTTGGAGCACAATACTCCTGACCTCACAATCGTGTTAAAAAACAAGTATGGATCATCAATGTTGCAATCCCAGGTGACAGCAGGATGGAAGAGAAACAACTGGAAAAGCTGACATGATACGAGGATTTAAAGATCGAACTGCAAAGGCTCACAAGCCAGTCAAGGTGGTCCCAGTGGTGATCGGCACACTGGGTGCAGTGCCTAAAGACCTTGGCCTGCACTTAAACACAATCGGCGCTGACCAAATTACCATCTGCGAGCTGCAGAATGCCATCCTACTGGGATCTGCACGCATTGTTCGCTGATACATCACACAGTCCTAGACACTTGGGAAGTGTCCGACGTGTGATCCAATACAACAGCCAGCAGAGTGATCTTGTTTGTTGTGGACTCATCTTGTTGTGTTTCATAGGAGGAGGAGGAGGAAGAGGAGGAGGAGGAGGAGGAGGAGGAGGAGGAGGAGGAGGAGGAGGAGGAGGAGGAGGAGGAGGAGGAGAAGGAGGAGAAGGAGGAGGAGAAGGAGAGGAGAAGGAGAAGGAGAAGAGAAGAGGAGGAGGAGAAGAGGAGGAAGGAGAAGGAGAAGGAGAAGGAGAAGGAGAAGGAGAAGGAGAAGGAGAAGGAGAAGGAGAAGGAGGATTGAAAAATTGAACTGCAAAGACTCTGGCACAAGCCAGTCAAGGGGGCCCCAGTGATAATCGGTACTCTGGGTGCAGTGCCTAAAGACCTTGGCCTGTACTTAAACACAATCGGCGCTGACAAAATTACCATCTGCGAGCTGCAGAATGCCATCCTACTGGGATCTGCACGCATCATTCGCTGATACATAACACAGTCCTAGACACTTGGGAAGTGTCTGACGTGTGATCCAATACGACAACAAGCATAGTGATCTTGTTTCTGTGAACTAATCTTGTTGTGTTTCAAATAATAATAATCATCATCATCATCATCATCATTATCTTAGACTCATTTCTGTGGGGTCCACATGTGGCTCATAGACTTGACTTTAAAGTTTCTTCCAGGCACCTCTGATGACTCGTTCACCCCCTTTGTGCCTATATGATCATACAGACCCAGAAGGGACACTTTCACCCCACAGTTTTGCAAAGTATTTCTCCAAGTGGCAAGGAAAAGGCTTTATCTTACTGGATTTTGCCCTCGATGTGCGTGGGGAGATAGGTCAGGGCCATGGCGCTGTTTTCCACGGGAGTGCAGGAGGCGACCAGGTTGAGCTGGGAGACGTACATGATCTGGTGGACCCAGTCCCCATGCAGAGCCTGCGATGGAAGAAGAGGGGTAAATTGGGAAAAACAAAGCATACAGAGCTAAAAATTAACGGGTGGAGGACTGATCATATCCATGCAAGCCAATTTGGGGAAAGAACACGTCATCGGCCTGCAACTGTGGTTCTTCAGGGTTCGTCTGAGAACTGACACATAGGAGTCATTCTATGAGTGTGCAAAGAAATATAGCCTCTTCTGTCAAGACTGCTGGAGCTTCACCAAACTACAACTCCCAAGATTCCATAGCACCGATCTATGGCAGTTAAAGCCGTTCAGCAGTGGAACTCTCTGCCCCGGAGTGTGGTGGAGGCTCCTTCTTTCGAAGCTTTTAAACAGAGGCTGGATGGCCATCTGTCAGGGGTGCTTTGAATGCAATATCCCTGCTTCTTGGCAGGGGGTTGGACTGGATGGCCCATGAGGTCTCTTCCAACTCTTTGATTCTATGATTCTAAGTGGTGTCAAACTGCATTAATTCCACATTGTAGATGCACTCTAAGACAGTAAAGGATACAATGAAACCCCTTTCCTCCGTTTCTTGCCCAACTTAACTGTCTGAACGCATCTCCTCCTATGAACCAGCTAGGACGTTAAGATCGTCTGGGGAGGCCCTGCTCTCGGTCCCACCTGTGTCACAAGTACGGTTGGTGGGGATGAGAGACAGGGCCTTCTCAGTGGTGGCCCCTCGGCTGTGGAATGCCTTTCCTACAGATATTAGATCTGTCAGGATTAATGTAGTTATATGTGTGTTTTTAATGTGCTTCTATGTATTTCCAAGATGGATTCTACTGTGTATTAGAAATGCTATGCAGAATGTTTATTACTGAGGCTGTGACTATGTAACCTTGAGAGAAGTGAGATAATGTTTGCTCTTGCTGGGAACAGAAGGGAGTAACCCGTCTCAGCCAGAGAGGAGAGAGATAAGCAGGTGTGCAGAGACTTTCACTTTTGACTGTTCCTGATTGTAGCTCGCTGTAGCAAGACGTGTCTGAATGTGCTTAGTAAAACTTAGTTTCTTTTGTACCTGAAAGCCTGCAGAGTCCTTATTTTACAACATAGTGTCTCCTGATCTAGCAATCCTTCTGCTGCACATCCCCCAAACTCTGACAAGATCGGCCCCCTTCCTGTTGACATTTCAGAGGAAAGTGAGGGTGCTTGCCATAGATGCAGGCGAAACGTCAGGAGAGAATGCCTCTAGAACATGGCCATATAGCCCGAAAAAACCTACAACAACCCATTGATTCCAGCCATGAAAGCCTTCGACAATATGAAGACCTGGTTGTTTGAGCAAGCCTTTGAATAGGCAGTGTAATAGGAATATGGAACAATTGGATGATGAGACTGGATCTTGATTTTAACTATGAGATGCTAATGAGATGTTTTATATTGACTGTTTTAATTGTTTTTAACTGTTTTATGAAATTTTTGAGCACTGGATTTTGCTAGTGTTAACCTCCCTGAGTCTCCCGAGGGCTGAGAAGAGCGGTATACAAATATAGTAAATAAATAAATAATAAATAAATTCTTGTGCTGGCAGCTCGTGCTTTGGTTCGTCCCAAACAGAAGATGCCTCCAGGCAACAGAAGCCAGGCTACCTCTATGCAAACACCCTCACTGATTGCCTTTGCAGCTCCATGGCTACTCAAATGCTAATTCAGGCTTGCCTACTGCACCATTCACACTTGATTCAAACAGACAAGGGTCCTTTCCCCAACCCTGGACATTCCACAGATAGATAGATAGATAGATAGATAGATAGATAGATAGATAGATAGATAGATAGATAGATAGATAGATAGACAGACAGATAGGCTCCACTTGCTTCACTGCCAACAGACCCCTGAAGATGCCAACGGTTACAGGTGCAGGCGAAATGACAGGAGAGAATACAACTAGATGATGATGGATCCTTTCCACAATTTGGTCCTTTCAGACATGGTGGAAAGGGAAATGTAAAGGGCTCAGAGACAGTGGAAGCTTTGTGGGGTCAGATTATTATTATTATTATTATTATTATTATTATTATTATTATTTACAGTATTTATATTCCGCCCTTCACACACTGCAGGACGGATTACAACGTACACATATATGTCAAACATCCAATGCCAAAGACACACAACACATATAGACAGACAGTCAGAGGCTATTTAACTTTTCTGGCCACCAGGGGAGCTGTCTCTTTCATCGTCCATCTGCGACACTGATGAAGTACTTCCGCATTCCCCGCATGCTTTGCTGGAGTCTTTTTTATGGCCTCGTAAATTAGTTAAATTAGCCTCCCCACACATAGGTGGTACCTAATTTTCCTACTTGACAGATGCAACTGTCTTTTGGGTTGCAAAGGTTGACAACAAGCTAAACAATTGGTTGGAAGCTCACTCCGACCCGGGCTGGCTTCTAACTCATGAACTTTTGGTAAGAAGTGATCTTAATGCAGCTGACACCCAGCCAGCTGCACCACAGTCCCGGTGCTTATTATTTGGAAAGTTCACCACCAAAGAATGACACAGTTCAAAGGCACGTGTAAAAACTCACGGAAATGGTGAAATTCCTGTACACATCCAACTTTGTTTTCAGGACGATGTTCACCGGGACCCTGGCTAAGCCACCTGTGAGGGAAAGACAAAAGGAGGCATCATTGGGAGTAGAGGGTCCAGATATTCTACTCTATTCTGCTCTGGTTAGACCTCCTCACCTGAAATAACCCTGTGTCCAGTTTTGGGCAGAGCTATTCAAGAATGAGATGAACAAGATGAAATGTGCACAGAGAAAGGCTATCAAAATGGTCACAGGTCTTGAATTCATGAATCCCTCTCAGAAGAAGATTAAGGAGTTGAGGATGTTTCGCTTGAAGAAAAGAAGTCTGAGAAGGGACATGAAAGCCAGGTTTCAATATTGGAAAGAATGTGTTGGGAATCAGCCTGTGTTTGTGTTTCATGATGCTCAGGGTCATGATGCTCTTGATGTGGGACATGATGAGGGCAATGATGGTGCTGAGGCTGAGGTGCAAGATGGACACGGTTTGGTCAATGATTTTCTTGCAGACAATGACAGAGAGGCCCCAGTGCAAAGGGCAGTTTCTCATGAGAATATTCCTGCTGGGCTTAAGGATGATGGTTTACTCCCTCTTTCTGACAGCTCTCAAGATTTGAGTTTGGAAAACAATCTGACACCTGGAAATTTTAATGAGCAGCCAGAAAGGGAGTTGAAAATTAGCCGGCTAGAGTTCAGCCAGGATTGACAACAAACTCAATGTTTACGTTTCTCCGAAAGGCTTTGTCAGATGAGAGACAAGAGTGGAGGGAATGAAACCAATTTTTGGGCTTTGGGATATAAGGTTTGCTTCAAGGGAAAGCCTGTTAGATCAGGCATCGTTTGGAAATCATGTTCATGTGCCTTGGAAATCCTGCTCAAGGGGTTATAGAGATTTTGAGCATTTTGCTGTGGTCTAGCACCTTCTGGATTATCTTTGCAACCCCTTGATTCCTATCTGGATAAATACTGCCTTGGATTGTTTTTATATCTTTTGTGGACATGGCTTTGTATTACTGCATTTTACTGGTGTTTTACATTTTGAAATTTTCCTATTTTTACAAGCATTTCTTTCTTCTGGCTATTTTACTCAGCTTCAATAAATAGGATTGGTTTTTCACTCAATGTGTGGTGTGTTTTAAAGACAGAGGGTATTGTTTCTGTTCTGAAGTGCAACAGAATGTCCCATTGAGGAGGAGACAAGTTTACTCTCTGCTGCTCTAGAAACTAGGATACATGGGAGCAATGGACTCCAATTGCAAGCAAAGAGATTCCACCTCAGCATTATGAAGAACATCCTGTTGTAAGAAGAACTGTTCCACAGTGGAATGTTCTGCTTGGGAATCTCATGGAGTTGTCTTGATGTTTTTCAACAGAGGCTGGACAGCCATCTGTCGGGAGGGCTTTGATGGTGTCTTCTGCCTGACAGAACTGATAGGGTTGGACTGGATGGCTTCAAGAGGACTCTTTCAACTCCATTGGAATATAGACTGCCTGGGAGTCTATGGAAGTCTCCTTCTCTGGAGGTTTTGAAGCAGAGGCTGGGTGGCCATCTGTCGGGAGGGCTTTGATGGTGTCTTCTGCCTGACAGAAAGGATGAGGTTGGACTGGATGGCCTCAAGGGGACCCTTTCAACTCCAGTGGAATATAGACTGCCTGGGAGTCTATGGGAGTCTCCTTCTCTGGAGGTTTTGAAGCAGAGGCTGGGTGGCCATCTGTCAGGCTTTGATGGTGTCTTCTGCCTGGCAGAAAGGAGGGGATTGGACTGGATGGCCCCTTGGGTCTCTATTAACTCCAGGATTCTTCGAAAAGGTATCACTTGACAACTGGTAACTTCCAGCAACTGGGAAACACTATTTCCCAGTAATTGGATTATCTAGATTCCTCGTTCACAATCCAGAATGGTTGGCCAATGCGGAGTTTGAATTAGGAAATTCTTGTGCCATAGGCATGGATGCAAAGCCATATATGTATAGATGAGCGATGAAACAGCAGTTGGTAATTTAGAAGGGACAACTGCACAAAGAAAGAGAAAAATAAAAATGGCATAAAAACACTTAGGAGTGATGGATCTCTCTCTTTTTCTCTCTCCAAAGGGCTCCTGTAGATGAGTGGGTTTACAACCTTATTTATCTGCGGAGGACTCGCGGCAGCTTGCCATAACTTGAAAGCGCAACATAACAGAAAGCCAATTAAAAAGTGTAATAAACAGAGACAGAAGATTTTATAGAAAGCCATTTTTAACACAAAATAAACACATAAGCAATAAAGATCCAGCAGCCAGCGCGAGAAGCCCAGCAAGTGGGCAAGAGGAGTCTTTATAAGACAAATTATTCCATTGTGTGTATGTGCTTCTGCTATTTGCTTTCACTAGGACTCCATTTCAGCATTTGTTAGTCCAGCAAATATTGCAAATCTCCAATAACAACAACAACAACAACAACAACAACAACAACAACACTTTAGTTATTGTGCAGGTACAGCTGTACCAGGAGTTCCAATTTTGTTTGCTTTGCATTGAATGTTTGTTGTAGTTCTAAGTTTCAGGGACTCTGCAGATAGGTGGCTTCTTTTGGCTGCAATCATAGGGCAAGCCACCTGTCAATTATAGTTAGGTTCCCTGGTCCCGCCCCCTTTTTGGGTTTTGGAGGGAATAGGAGCCAGTTTGGGTTCAGTCCACACAGAGAAGCCTTTCATGCAGGACATAATACCAAGAGCTCCTGTAGAAAGCTTCATCTTCTACAGCTTGCCCGGGGTTATACAGCCCACAGCTTGGCCGAGGATCACACAGCCTTACAGATCCTTTGCTGAGGGACTTCAGTCAGCCATCACTGAAACCTGAACTCCCTTTTCCCTGGAAGTCTACAAAGCTCTGCTTGGTAAGGGTCACTCGCGGAAGTCAGACGCAGTTGGTACCGGGTGTAGGGGCTCCACGCCAACAGAGGCAAAGACAGACTGCCCAGATTAGAAGTTAAGGATTTCCCCATTAGTTAATACAGTTATGAAGATAGTGCCTGTTCCCTGTGGACAAGATTGAGAGAGAGCCAATAGACTGTTAAGAAAGCTTTAAAGTACCTGTTTTTTTCATTAATAAAGAACTTTGTTGAACCTTTAAGCAATCTAAAGACTCTGTTTTAAGGAAATCCAGCCTTTAATCTGAGGCAGCCCCGGCGTCCCGTTGGGCACACAGAATTTATGTCCTGTCTACAGTCTTATGCACAGGCCCAGCGTGCACCAGCAACTTTATTAATATTCTGCCCTTCTCACCCTGAAGGGGACTCAGGGCGGATCACAGTACACATATATGGTAAACATTCAATGCTGCTTTGTAGAGACGATACACAGACAGACAGAACAGAAGGAAGTTGTTTGTTTCGACTCGAGTCTCCAGCTGTTTTGGTGCCATAGAAGGTTGGGCTCGAGTCCAGCCACATGGGATTGCTGTCGCTCCATCCTCTATGACGAAGATCCGTCAGGACTTCCTTCTTCCATTTGGTCACCCAGCATTTTCTGATCTTCTTTCTTTATGGCATTGTAAAACACCTCCCCCACTTTTAGTGGTACCTAATTTCTCTAATTACAGCTTGTAATGCTGATTCTTACCTAGTAGGCCGGAAAGGAAGCCTAGATAACAGTGTGGCAAACCTCCATTTTGAGAGTGTATGCCAGGGAAGCAGCCATCTTGAGTGGGGATAGCTAGAAGATGGGAGGAGTTTGAGGTACTCTTAGGATTGGCTAAAGCAGAGGGAAGGAACCAAGTCTTAGGAGGGAAAAGATTTCAGCTTCTGTGGAGATGAGTGTTGGGAGCTGCTGGAAGAAGTAGTGTTTTTTGGAAACTGGTTTTTCAGAGAGAGAGCGTCTGTGTCAGGGAGGGCTGATTAGCTGACAGGAAAGGTCAAGCAGCAACCTTATTTCTTGTGGGAGATAGCACAAGGGATTAGCAATCTAGACTGAGTTAGCTAGCAGTAAGAACTCTGGGAGAGTTAGCTGATAACTCAGGGGACTACCTAAGTTAGGTTAGACAGAAACTCATTGCTATTTCTCTGAAGTAGGGTGGGGGATTTTTTGTAACCAGCAGCTATATCTGTTTAATTAGCTCTGTATGTAACCAAATGAAGAAACGTATTTCAAGCAACCATCAAGCTATAGTATACTTTTGTAACAAGTAAAGCGTTTTGTGCCTCTCAGAAGAAGTTTGTTGTCTGTTTTTATAAATAAATCTTTTTCTATTTAACTTCCAAAAGGGTCTCTATCATTTCTCAATCTATCAGTAATCCTATGTGATAATTCTAACCTCTTTAACATCCTAATACCACAGAAAGGTCTCTTTTCCAAACAGTCATTTTGGGAGCTAAGGGGAGAGCTATGTTGGCAAAGTAAGGAAAAGTTTACCTCAAAAACTCATTTTAAAAATCCTAAGACATTTTGGGTTGGTGGCAGCATTAAACCAAAAGAAGACTGAAGCAGTGTTCACTCTACCATTACACACATCTAACATCATCTCGCTACCATACTAGTGTCCAGTAGTGTGATATTACATATAATCCTTTACAGTGGTGTTCAGCTGTGGGATATATTATAGTATATACTTTATACTGGTGGGATTTCTAATAGATATAATTTGCACTTCTCTATAATTAGAGCCAGTGGCAAGATTGATATTGTACACTTCTCTATACAGCTCAAGCTGTTCTTGGACAGCTTAGGTAAACAGTGAGCAGGGCTGACAGCCAGGTGCTCATGCTGACCCGGGGCTTTGAACTTGCAACATTTTGGTTGATAGATTTTATAGTTACTGGTGGCTTACCAGCTGTGCTAAACCTCTGGCCCAAATACAAGTGTTGTATAAGTGTGGTCCTTAACACACGTGCCCAGAGAGCTCTCTCTTTCTTGTTTTCAACAACGCAGCTGCAATAGATGTGGGGGTCTTCCATAGCTTTATTGACAACACTAAAGTGGTATTGCAGGGGTGAAAAACACATGACCCCCTCCTCAGTAACTCCTCTGCAGCCAGTTAGTCAGTCTAAAGGTGTCTAGGAGCCAAGAGACTGCAATAACTTCCGCATCTAAGGTTGGGGAGACTCAGTTTAAGAAGTCTAAGGTTTAGGAAACTAAGTCAAAGTTTAAGAAGTCAAAGACTGAAGAAATAAGTTCAAGATTTGGAGAAACAAAGCACCATGTCTGCAGTTAAAGGAAAAAAATAGACTTAACAGGCAGTGTTAACGGAAGACAAAGCCAAACAAAGGACACAGAAGATGTCTTCTAAGTAGTCAAGAGAAATCCTGTTAAGTTCTGAATCTTCATCTGTTCCTTCAAGTCATCCTGTGTTAGTTAGATCCTGGGAGGAGTTAGGGTGCTGATCTTCCATACAATTAAATTACTTTTTGTTTACTGCTAAACCTTTTGGTGTGAGTTTCCAACTCTGTTCTTCCGGAGGATAAGGCACCTGAGAGTTACCTCGGGGGACAGAACCATAGGTTTGGGAACCTGTGTATGATGATGTGTATTTTTATTCCTATAGTCATTTATTGTTTAGACAATAGTTAGTAATGGTAAGTATGTAGAATTGTATTTTATTAGGGATGGTAACTGGCTTGGCTTGCCTTGAGCTGAGTTGCCACAGCAACGGGGGCGGAGCCAACTGCCACTTGGCAGCGCAGCTTTTTGAAAGTGGTCAGTCTGTAGCCGGAGAGTTACAGAAGAGGACTGATCTGTGAATCAGTAGTCTGTAGCTGGAGAGTTATAGAATTGGACTGATCTGTGAATCAGCAGTCTGTAACCAGGGAGTTACAGGGGAGGATTCTCCAGTGAGAGGATCAAGAAACTGATCTGTAGTTATGAACTACAGAGGTAGTTGATCCTGTGTGGAAGTAAAAACCCTGTAGTGATAGAACCACAGGGAGGACTGATTCTTTGATTAAGAATCAAGATTTGGCTTGGAGCCAATACAGTTAATAAGTCAAGTGGCTTATTTGTATTACCAGAACGGTTGTTAAAGAAAGAACCATCTGCCTAAAGAAACCTTTTGAAATCTGTTTAGTGCCTAGAGTCATCCAAGAACTTCTATAAATGTAACCAGCTAAGTTTGTGCCTCTAGAGTGAAGTAACATTTACTCCTATTCTACTCCTGTTATATTCCAATTTTTCTCAAGCCTTGCCTCTGATACAATTTCTTCTAAGTCAAACAGACCTGCACAAGAAGAAGAAGGACCAAATTAGGGTTATTAAATGTAAGCTAAGCTATCAAATCAGAAAAACATCTACTTCTGCTTCATTGACTATTCTAAAGCCTTTGACTGTGTGGATCATAATAAATTGTGGCAAGTTCTGGGTGGGATGGGCATCCCAAGCCCCCTTCCCTCTCTCCTGAGGAATCTGTACAAGGACCAAGTAGCAACAGTCAGAACTGACCACGGAACAACAGACTGGTTCAAGATTGGGAAAGGCGTACGGCAAGGCTGCATCCTCTCACCCAACCTTTTTAACGTGTATGCAGAACACATCATGCGAGGAGCATTAACAACCTCAGATATGCAGATGACACCACTCTGATGGCCGAAAGCAAGGAGGAGCTGAGGAGCCTTCTAATCAAGGTGAAAGAAGAAAGCGCAAAAGCCGGGTTGCAGCTAAACATCAAAAAACATCATGAGTCGCCCGTAGGGCTGAGAATGGCGGTTAATAAGTGCATCAAATAAATAAATAAATAAATAAAAAAACCAAGATTATGGCAACAAGAATGAATGACAACTGGAAAATAGAGGGAGAAAACATGGAGGCCGTGACAGACTTTGCATTTCTAGGCGCAAAGATTACTGCAGATGCAGACTGTAGCCAGGAAATCAGAAGACGCTTCCTTCTTGTGAGGAGAGCAATGTCCAGTCTCGATAAAATAAAGAGTAGAGACATCAGACTGGCAACAAAGATCCGCCTAGTCAAAGCCATGGTCTTCCCTGTAGTCACCTACGGATGTGAGAGCTGGACCTTAGGGAAGGCTGAGCGAAGGAAGATCGATGCTTTTGAGCTGTGGTGTTGGAGGAAAGTGCTGAGAGTGCCTTGGACTGCGAGAAGATCCAACCAGTCCATCCTCCAGGAATAAAGCCCGACTGCTCACTGGAGGGAAAGATACTAGAGACAAAGTTGAAGTACTTTGGCCATATCATGAGGAGACAGCAAAGCCTAGAGGAGACAATGATGCTGGGGAAAGTGGAAGGCAAAAGGAAGAGGGGCCGACCAAGGGCAAGGTGGATGGATGGCATCCTTGAAGTGACTGGACTGACCTTGAAGGAGCTGGGGGTGGTGACGGCCGACAGGGAGCTCTGGCGTGGGCTGGTCCGTGAGGTCACAAAGAGTCGGAGACGACTGAATGAATGAACAACAAACGCTATCAAATAAGTAAACCCCCTTAATTAGTGGTCCCTTGGCATCCAGCTCCTAAGTAGATATTGATAATTACACGGGTCCCTCACACTGTGGACTTAGCGCTTGCTGTCCACCCCTCTTCCCAGGAATGGTTCCTTTGTTGAGAAGGGTTAAGCCACAGCTCTTCCATTGACCTATGGATAAGTCAATCCCAGCTATCTGGGATCAATTTTTGTACTAAAATTTATTGATTCATACGTGAACGTATACAGTTGTTTCCATTGCCCCCTCTCTTCTAAAGTTACTAGCCATGGGATATCCCAACATCCATCCATGATAAATTGAACCCTTGACAATCTCCTGCAACTGAAGGATCAACCTTTCTAGATCCTACTTCTTATCAGCTTACCGATGTAGCCGCGGACATTGAAAAGCCCGTTCGTTATCACATCCGTGGACGTGAAGATCAGGACGTTGCCTTTGACGTCACCAACGCAGAATACGCCTCTGAGTCCATCTGTCCTGGTTCAGGGAGGAAGGAGGAGAAGAAAGAGGAGAAAGAAACCAGGCTGTGGAGGAGAACTGGGCTAGGACTTGGCCTACAAAGGAAGCCAGTGAGTCTGGATGGACATATTGAAGCTTTCCTTGATGGCTTCAACATCTTAGACCAGGCACGGGCAAACTTGGGTCCTCCAGGTGTTTTGGACTTCAGCTCTCATAATTCCTAACAGCTGGTAGGAATTGTGAGAGTTGTGTCATGTCACAGTTACCTTGAGTCCTCATGGCGGGGAAAGCCATAAAAAGTAAATAAATACAAAAATGAAGTTTCTGGAGTAGAACAACTACTTTCAAAGTAAATACCCCACAATTAAACAGGAATACTTTGAAACCAGGATTTTTTTACATAGCATTGTGCTGTCACACACTGGGCCTATAGCAATAGGCTTTTGAACAGGACGTGCTCTTTGTGCCCAGCGGGAAGCTGGGGTGCCTCAGCTGAGAGGCCCTAAGGATTTTCCTATCCAGAGTCTTTAGAAGCTTGAAAAGTTTAACAAGGTCCTTTATTATTGCTTAGGACTTCAACAAAACAATCAAATACTTCTCAGATCTTCAACAAGTCAAACAAATACTTCAAGGCTTTGAATCAACTGGTGGCTTTCTTAATCTTGTCTACAAGGGACAGGCAACTGGCTTCGTGAACTGTTTCTTTTCTTTAAGAGGAAAACCCCTTTTAACCCCTCCTTGGGCAATCTACTTTCTAAACTTTGCTGGTATGGGCTCTACTCCCGGCTCCAAACTGCTTCTTGGGTCCTGAGTAGACCTACCAGTCAAGGCTTTGAAGATTCTCCAGCTGGAGTCCTTTGGAACTGTTTTCCCCCGGAATTTCATAAGAAACAAAGCTTCTCTACAGGTGGAGCTGATTCACGTCCTGTCGCTAAGCTTTCAACTGTAAGACTGAGCTAAAATGGCTCCCTTTCCTTCCTGAACCCTGGGGAAAGGGGCGGAACTAAAAAAAACCCCAATGATGATTGATGGGTCATTGGTCCTATACTTGCAAACTAAGGGAAGCCACCTTATTGCAAAATGCATGGAACTTTGAAATACATGCAAACACTCAAAGATAGAAAAGAAGCTGGAGCTCCTGGTATAGCCGTACCAGCCGTACCAGCACAAGCATAATAGGAAAACGGAAGCTGATATGATCTCGCCCGATAGTGCCACATAGGATTTTGGGTGGCCTACCAGTAATCCATGGCTGTAGCGCACCCCTCCAAGTCAACAATGGTAAAAAGCCGGTCACATTTGTTGCCACTGATGTCGAAGAACTCTAGAGGTAGGAAATAAGGACAAAAAGGCGATGGGGGGTGGGTTATATTATTCAATGACAACATCATCACATGACAAAAAGCACCGCATGCACACAAGAGTACCCTTGGAGGAGCAGACACCTCAATGGCAACATAGACCTTGCAACTGGGTGCATCCACCTTGCAGAACTAATGCAGCTTGCCACCACTTTAGCTGCTATGGCTCCACGCTATAAGATCCTGGGATTTGCAGTTTGGTGAGGCACCTGCACTCTTTGGCAGAGAAAGCACAAGTCCTTGTAAAACTGCAACTCCAGGTGCAGGAGCATAATAATAATAATAATAATAATAATAATAATAATAATTCACAATAATTTAGAATAAAATATAAGGTTTAAGATCTTACCAAATCCTCCGAAAGGGAAAAAAGTATTCCTCTGTGAGGGACTTTGAAGCCCTGTGAAAGACTACAGCCGGTATTGGTTTTCCATTAAAATGCCAAGGCTATTGCCAGTATTTACTTAGATAAAGTGGCCAACAGAGAAAACTTGGCGAACTAAGTTATAATGAAATATTTAACCCCTAAATTAACTAAAGAAGATTGTCTTAATCAGATCTTGTGTTATAAGCATATAAAAGTTATAATTCAATTAGAGATATAAGGAATTGAACTTTAAGAGTCATCTAATAGTAAATTAGATGACTCTTAATATTGTGTCCAATTCTGGGCACCACAATTCAAGAGAGATATTGACAAGCTGGAATATGTCCAGAGGAGGGCGACTAAAATGATCAAGGGTCTGGAGAACAAGCCCTATGAGGAGCGGCTTAAGGAGCTGGGCATGTTTAGCCTGAAGAAGAGAAGGCTGAGAGGAGATATGATAGCCATGTATAAATATGTGAGAGGAAGCCACAGGGAGGAGGAGCAAGCTTGTTTACTGCTTCCTTGGAGACTAGGACGCAATGGAACAATGGCTTCAAACTACAAGAGAGGAGATTCCATCTGAACATGAGGAAGAACTTCCTGACTGTGAGAGCCGTTCAGCAGTGGAACTCTCTGCCCCGGAGTGTGGTGGAGGCTCCTTCTTTGGAAGCTTTTAAACAGAGGCTGGATGGCCATCTGTCAGGGGGTGCTTTGAATTTGATTTTTCTGCTTCTTGGCAGGGGGTTGAACTGGATGGTCCACAAGGTCTCTTCCAACTCTATTATTCTATGATTCTTTCAGCATGTTATATAATCAAGCAGATGTTAAATTTCACAAAGTGTCTGCCAAGACCTGATAAAGATGTTCTTGGCAACTATATACATAGAAACACCTGTTAATGATTGTACTGTGTAAATGTCAGACATCAGCAGCGCATGTGCAGAAAAGTTGATTTCATGCTATAAATACTGAAGCAATTGAGACTTCAAGCAATTGAGACTGACAGCCCTTTGCTTGGGTGTCGCCTGGCTCAAGAGCAGTACGTGTGAAAAAGATCTTGGAGTCCTTGTGAACAACAAGTTAAACATGAGCCAACAATGTGATGTGGCTGCAAAAAAAGCGAATGGGATTTTGGCCTGCATCAATAGGAGCCTAGTGTCTAGATCTAGGGAAGTAATGCTACCCCTCTATTCTGCTTTGGTTAGACCACACCTGGAATATTGTGTCCAATTCTGGGCACCACATTCAAGAGAGATATTGACAAGCTGGAATGTGTCCAGAGGAGGGCGACTAAAATGAAAGGGTCTGGAGAACAAGCCCTATGAGGAGCGGCTTAAGGAGCTGGGCATGTTTAGCCTGAAGAAGAGAAGGCTGAGAGGAGATATGATAGCCATGTATAAATATGTGAGAGGAAGCCACAGGGAGGAGGGAGCAAGCTTCCTTTCTGCTTCCCTGGAGACTAGGACGCAATGGAACAATGGCTTCAAACTACAAGGGAGGAGATTCCATCTGAACATGAGGAAGAACTTCCTGACTGTGAGAGCCATTCAGCAGTGGAACTCTCTGCCCCGGAGTGTGGTGGAGGCTCCTTCTTTGGAAGCTTTTAAACAGAGGCTGGATGGCCATCTGTCAGGGGTGATTTAAATGCAATATTCCTGCTTCTTGGCAGAATGGGGTTGGACTGGATGGCCCATGAGGTCTCTTCCAACTCTTTGATTCTATGATTCTATGATTCTTTTTTTTACTTAAACCAATAAAACCCATTTTCCTAGTTCCAACAGACCTCACTACCTCTGAGGATGCTTGCCATGGATGGAGGCAAAACGTCAGGAGAGAATGCCTCTGGAACATGGCCATATAGCCCGAAAAAACCTACAACAACCCAGTGATTCCGGACATGAAAGCCTTCGACAATACTCTTGTTGTAGTTGTTTCATTTATTATTGTGTTTTCTCTAGGAAAGATACTGAAAAAGAAATTGAGTTTTTCCTTAAAAAAAACTCTTCCAACTAACAACTTATCTCTTTTTTAATGTACTGCCTATTAAAAATCTGGAATTATTGTATTGGTGTCTTTTGAGTCTTTGAATTGTTAGACATGCATTTCTTGCGGCGTACCTGGAGCTCTTGAAAGAGAGAGAGAGAGAAGGAAAGAAAGAACAGGTGGGATTGCAACGTTCTCAAATTAATCAAGTTAATGAAAGATTTATTGCTGCCTGATCCCCGGGTGTTACATTTACATATGCAAAGCAGCATGTCACGCTTCTGCTGCTCCTTTTCTCTCTTTCTTTCTTGCTTTCTCTCTGGGTAGAACATGAAATTAGCTTATGAAACACAGATTGGGACAAAAGTTATTGTTGGGTTACAAGGGGAAAACAAGCTTGGTTTCTGCTGCTTTGGAACCAGAACAAGACTCCGATGGCTTCAAATGACAAGAAAGGAGATTTCACCCAAAGATTAGGAAGAACGGCTTGGCTATAAGAGCTTCTGAAAGTGAACTAGGCTTCATCAAAGGACTCAGCATCTTTCGGGAGTGCTTTAGGGTGTATCTACAGTGTTGTTGTTGTTTATTCGTTCAGTTGCTTCTGATCAAGGGTCTGGAGAACAAACCCTATGAGGAGCGGCTTAAGGAGCTGGGCATGTTTAGCCTGAAGAAGAGAAGGCTGAGAGGGGATATGATAGCCATGTATAAATATGTCAGAGGAAGCCACAGGGAGGAGGGAGCAAGCTTGTTTTCTGCTTCCATGGAGACTAGGACGCAAAGGAACAATGGCTTCAAACTACAAGAGAGGAGATTCCATCTGAACATGAGGAAGAACTTCCTGACTGTGAGAGCTGTTCAGCAGTGGAACTCTCTGCCCTGGAGTGTGGTGGAGGCTCCTTCTTTGGAAGCTTTGAAACAGAGGCTGGATGGCCATCTGCCAGGGGTGATTTGAATGCAATATTCCTGCTTCTTGGCAGAATGGGGTTGGACTGGATGGCCCAGGAGGTCTCTTCCAACTCTTTGATTCTAGGATTCTATGACTCTTTGTGACCTCCTGGACCAGACTACACCAGAGCCCCCAGTTGGCTGTGGCCACCCCCAGCTCCTTCAGAGTCAAGTCGTTCAATTCAAGGATGCCATCCATCCACCTTGCCCTTGGTCGGCCCCTCTTCCATTTTCCTTCCATTTTCCCCAGCATAATTGTCTTCTCCAGGCTTTGCTGTCTCCTCATGATGTGGCCAAAGGACTTCAGCTTTGTCTCTAGTCTCCTTCCCTCCAATGAGCAGCCGGGCTTTATTTCCTGGAGGATGGACTGGTTGGATCTTCTCGCAGTCCACGGCACTCTCAGAACTTTCCTCCAACACCGCAGTTCCAAAGCATCTCTATTCCTATGGTCCAGCTCTCACATCCATAGGTGATTATGGGGAATACCATTGCTTCGACTATGCGGATCTTTCTTGCCAGTGTGATGTCTCTACTCTTCACTATTTTATCAAGACTGGACATTGCTCTCCTCCCAAGAAGGAAGCGTCTCCTGATTTCCTGGCCGCAGTCTGCGTCTGCAGTAATCTTTGCACGTAGAAATACAAAGTCTGTCCCTGGCTCCACATTTTCTCCCTCTATTTCCCAGTTATCAACTAGTCTGGTTGCCAGAATCTTGTTTGTTTTTTTTCTATCTTTAACTGCAACCCAGCTTTTGCGCTTTCTTCTTTCACCTTGATTAGAAGGCTCCTCAGCTCCTCCTCGCTTTTGGCCATCAAAGTGATATCATCTGCATATCCAAGGTTTTTAATGATTCTTCCAGCAGTTTTCACCCCAGCCTTGCATTCCTCAAGCCCCGCATATCTCATGATGTGTTCTGCATACAAGTTGAATAGGTTGGGTGAGAGGATACAACCCTGCCATACGCCTTTCCCAATCTTGAACCAATCTGTTGTTCCATGATCCGTTCTAATTTTAGAGTTTGTTAATACTGGGGGCCATATTTTGTTCATTTTCATGGTTTCCTCCTTTAGAACAGCACAACAACAGAGAGGAAACAAACAAGGGCATCTAATCACCTCTCAACAAAAGATTGCTCCAGGCACTGTCAGGCAATCAAATGCTAATTGAGGTGATCAGTTGAAACATTCACACCTAGCTCCAGCAGACAAGAGTCCTTTGTCCCACCCTGGTCATTCCACAGATATATAAACCCACTTTTTCCTTGTTCTAACAGACCCTCACTACCTCTGAGGATGCTTGCCATAGATGCAGGCGAAACGTCAGGAGAAAATGCCTTTAGAACATGGCCATATAGCCCGAAAAAACCTACAACAACCCAGTTATGAAATTTGGTGAGCTAACAGTGGGTCCATGTGTTCTACCACTGTAGCAAGTTTCATCAGGATTGGTCTAAAAATGAGGGAGGGAGAATCCCCTGAAGTTTCCCCAGGGCCAGTGCTGTTTTTCTTCCTACTGCGCATGCGTATCCGCATTAACAAAACGATTCGGAAGTTTCTAAAGTTTCTGACAGTTTTGACATTTTTTTGGAAAAATTCAGAAGTGGCTTTAGAATCAAAGCACCAGCACAACCTACATCCGAAACCGGTTTTGCAACATTTTTTTTTGATCAGCCAACCCTACATCAAAACAATGAAGAGATATTCCAGTGTATGGTCGAAGGCTTTCATGGCCAGAATCACTGGGTTGTTGTAGGTTTTTTCCGGGCTATATGGCCATGTTCTAAAGGCATTTTCTCCTGACGTTTTGCCTGCATCTATGGCAAGCATCCTCAGAGATAGTGAGGTCTGTTGGAACTAGGAAAAAGGGTTTATATATCTGTGGAATGACCAGGGTGGGACAAAGGACTCTTGTCTGCTGGAGCTAGGTGTGAATGTTTCAACTGACCACCTTGATTAGCATTTGATTGCCTGATTAGATGTCCTTGTTTGTTTCCTCTCTGTTGTTGTGCTGTTCTAATTTTAGAGTTTTTGAATACTGGTAGCCAGATTTTGTTCATTTTCAGATTTTGTTCTTTTTTGCTCATGTTCAAGGAGGAAACCATGAAAATGAACAAAATCTGGCTACCAGTATTAAAAAAACTCTAAAATTAGAACAGCACAACAACAGGGAGGAAACAAACAAGGACATCTAATCACCTCTCAACAAAAGATTGCTCCAGGAACTGCCAGGCAACCAAATGCTAAACAAGGTGATCAGTTGAAACATTCACACCAAGCTCCAACAGACAAGAGTCCTTTGTCCCACCCCGATCATTCCACAGATATATAAACCCATTTTCCTAGTTCCAACAGACCTCACTTCCTCTGAGGATGCTTGCCATAGATGCAGGCGAAACGTCAGGAGAAAATGCCTTTAGAACATGGCCATATAGCCCAAAAAAACCTACAACAACCCAGATATGCCAGTGCTGCCTTCTCTAAATGGGACCTGTTCTAAGTGGGAGAAATAAGTGACAATCCAAATCAGCCCAAATCCCACTGCTGGTATTTTGCAGACTTACCGATATCCTGGTCGGTGGTTGAAATGGCCAACAGATTGATATTCGCCAGGCAGAGCATGTCAATCACCCAGAGTTTCAAAGTGTGGCGCCGCTTGGTCTGGTCCAGCTGGAAACCAAGGATGCGTCTTCAGCATGAATGCATATGTTACACTGCTGCATCAATAGGAGCCTAATGTCTAGATCAGGCTGGAGCAAACTTGGGCCCTCCAGACATTTTGGACTCCAACTCCCACAATTCCTAACAGCCTACCGCCTGTTAGGAATTGTGGGAGTTGAAGTCCAAAACACCTGGAAGGGCCAAACTAACCCATGCCTGTTCTACACTGTAGAATTAGTCGTTTGATATCATTTTAACAGTCACATATCCTAGGATCTGATCCCAGATTATCTTTCTATCCTAGGTTATCTGGCAGTGTAGACTCATATAATCAAGTTTAAAACATTTAATATATCTATAGAAATAAATATGTAATGTTCGTTTGTGGGATTAACATAACTCAAAAACCACTGGATGAAATGAACCCAAATTTTGACACTTATACCCCTACCACAAGTGACCATCACTCATAAAGACACACACACACACCCCCAAAAAAAACAGCTGAAAGGACTTAAACCACCCCCCCCCCAAAAAAAAAACTAATTGATGAAAAGCTAAATGACAATACTGAAAAAAGAGAAGGAAGAGGGATGGAGGGAAGGGAGAAAGGAGAAAGAAAGAAAGAAAAAAGAAAGAAAGGAAAGAAAGAAGAAAGAAAGAAAGAAAGAATGAGAAGGAAGCATGGACGCAAAGAGCGAAGGAAGGAAGGAAAGGAAGAAGGAAGGAAAGGAGGAAGGAAGAAGGAAGGAAGGAAGGAAAGGATAGGAAAGGAAAAAGAAGAGAAGAAAGAAAGGGGGAAGGAAGGAAAGAGAGAAGGGAGGATGGAAACAAAAAGCGAAGAAAGGAAGGAAAGAGGTAGAGAAAGAAGGAAGGAGAGAAGAAAGGAAAAGGGGAAGGAAGGAAAGAGGGAGAGAAGGAAGGAGAGAAAGAGGGAGGGAAGGAAAGAAGGAAGGAGGAAGAGAAGGAATGGAAACAAAAAGCGAAGGAAGGAAGGAAGAGAAGAAGAAAGAAGAAAGGAGGAAGAGAAGAAAAAGAGGGGAAGGAAGGAAGAGGAAAAGAAGAAAAAGAAGAAAATGGAAGAAGGAAGGAAGGAAGGAAGGAGAAGGAAGGAAAAAGGAGAAGGAAGGAAGGAAGGAAAGAGGTAGGAAGGAAGGAAGGAGAGAAAGAGAAGGAAAAGAAAAAGGGAAGGAAGGAAAGTAGAGAAGGAAGGAAGAGAAGGAAGGAAAAAGGGGAAGGAAGGAAAGGGGGAGTGAAGGAAGAGGGAAAGAAGGGAAAAGGAGGGAAGGAAAGAGAAAGGAAAGGATGGAACAAAAAGCGAAGGAAGGAAAGGTAGAGAAGGAAGAAGGAAGGAGAAAAAAAGGAATGAGAGAAAGATTAAAAGAGAGAAGGAAGGAAGGAGGAAGGAAAGAAAAGAAGGATGGAAGAAAGGAAGGAAGGAAGGAAGGAGGGAAGGGAGGGATGAAGAGAAGAAAAGGAAAGGAAAGAAGGAAAGTTGGAAGGAAATTAAATAGTTATAAGAATGAACTTTGAATCTGTACTTGAAATTAATGTACTTAATGAATTTTTCTAGTGTATTCAGAAAATTAAGGGAAGGAAGGAAGGAAGGAAGGAAGGAAGGAAGGAAGGAGCAAAGGAAAGAGGGAAATAAGAAGAGAAAGAGGGAGGGAAGGTTGTTCACAGCAACGCGTGGTAGGTACAGCTACTATATATAAAAAGATATGAAGCGAAGTTTAAAAGTGTGCGTATCTCATAATATTTCAATATGGGAAGCTTGCACAGCAGTGCCACCCTGTTTTGCAAACTCATCCCCAGCACTCTCTGCTCCACTTACATAAACCGTCCGGAGCATTTTGAAGGAGTCGCTCCAATAGTGCAGGATCCCGTCTCTGCTCACGGTGAGGAAGCGTCCTGGGGTGGAACGGGCCCCTGCTTTCCTGGGCCTATCCTTCCTGCCTCGGGTCTGGTTTGGGAAGAACTGGATCTTGACTATTTCCTCCGAATGAGCCCTTGGAGCAAAGGAAGAGGATCCCACCAGTATTCAAAGTTGGCCATGTTGGGTCTGTGTGTCAGGTTTGGTCCGGATCCCTTTCTGTGTTTCCCAAGAGAAGCATGGGGCTGGAAGGTGCTCTGAAACTGAGCAGGAAGGCAAACAGGCAACCAACAACAGCTTTGACTAAAGGATCGACCAAGCCCAGCATTGATTCCAATCCAACCTACTCACAGCACTGGCTGAAATAGATAAAGTGTATTTCAAGAGTCAGGGTTGTATAGGAATCCGTAACTATGCAAACAAAGTGTGCATGAACCATATCTAATCTATATGTGGTCATCCTTCTCTGAGGTCTGTGTCACCTGCACAGAATGTATCGAGAGTATACAGAATGTATCAAGCCACTCTAAACACCTTTGCAGAAGCATATGAGCAGCTCGGCCTGTCATTAAACATCGAGAAAACCAAAGTGCTCTTCCAACAGTCAACGGCCAATCCCTCTCCAATGTCAGAAATACAACTTAATGGTGCAACACTAGAAAATGTTGACCATTTCTGCTCCCTTGGCAGCCACCTCTCCACCAAAGTCAACATTGACACCGAAATACAACACCGCCTGAGCTCTGCGAGTGCAGCTTTTTTCCGAATGAAGCAGAGAGTGTTTGGGGATCAGGACATCCATAGGGAGACCAAGGTGCTTGTTTATAAAGCTGTTGTCCTCCCAACCCTGCTATACACCTGCGAGACGTGGACTGTTTACAGACATCATATGCAACTCCTGGAACGATTCCATCAGTGCTGCCTCCAGAAAATCCTGCAAATCTCTTGGGAAGACAGGTGGACAAACCGTCAGCGTGTTGGAAGAAGCAAAAACCACCAGCATTGAAGCAATGGTCCTCCGCCATCAACTCCGCTGGACTGGCCACGTTGTCTGGATGCCCGACCACCATCTATTTGCTCTATTCCAAACTCAAGAACAGAAAAAGGAATGTTGGTGGACAGGAAAAGCGATTTAAAGACGGGCTCAAAGCCAACCTTAAAAACTCTGGCATAGACACTGAAAACTGGGAAGCCCTGGCCCTTGAGCGCTCCAGTAGGTGGTCAGCAGTGACCAGCAGTGCTGCAGAATTTGAAGAGGCACGAATGGAGAGTGAAAGAGAGAAACATGCCAAGAGGAAGGCGCATCAAGCCAACCCCGACCGGAACTGCCTTCCACATGGAAACCGATGCCCTCACTGCGGGAGAGCATGCAGGTCAAGAATAGGGCTCCACAGTCACCTACAGACCCTCCCCCAGGATACCACTCTTGGAGGACCATCATCCTCGGACTACGAGGGATCGCCTAAGTCAGTAAATAAGTATCGAAAATTTGCTTGTTATGTAAGAGGATGTTTGTTGTTTAAGACGATGTTCTCAGGGTCTAGCATTGTATGTAGCCATACCATCTAATTTTAGACTGTATAATATTGCAATTACAGCATTTTTAGCATAGCACATGTAGCAAACAATAAGAGCCATGGGTGAGACATCAGCCATTATCAAGATGGAGTTCATGAGACTCACAAAAACAGATCAGCAGACAGGTGAACCTTTAAGTCTTTTTTTACACCAACACTTCCATATTCATGGAACCAATGGAGGACAATCTCAAAGACTCACAAAGGGTAATAATGGGAAGTTTTGTTGTCAAAGTGTGCAACAGAACCCACCTGGTGTTTAACCCTTTCCCTTCCTTACACTTACACTGGGACACGTTTCATGTTCGTCTGGAACTCTGGGATCAATTTGTTCTTCATCATGTCGTCCTTCCCCCGGTATTCACGGAGCATATAATTCAGGTATTCCTCCTGCAATTGGAGCAGATGTTGTGACTCAGCTGGAACCACAGAGTGCCTCTGATGAGGATGATGAGATTCAGGTTCACAATCTGGTTTAAAATGCCCCTGTTATAGTCAATGAGGAACAGGGTGTGGAAGTTCAGTTTCCCACAGGAAGAAATGAGTTTGCTGATACTGAAAGTAGCCAGGTGCAGATTGACTCCAAAAAGGAGGACAGTTCTCAGCCTGATAATGAGCAGAAAGGCAAACTGGATAACACTAACGAACAGACTCACCTTGACGAAACGGGAACCTTAGATCGGGCTGACCGTTTGGGATTCAGAGTTCGAAGGAGTGTGAGAATAGCCAACAAGAAGGAGGTCAGAGCCAAAGAAACGCCTTCATGTTTTGCAAAGGGTATTAAGCAGTGTGTTTGGGATCAAACCTTTGTCAGAGCAACTTTTTGTTTAACCAAGAAGCTTGCATTTTGCTTGTCTGGATTATTTTGCAGTTTGTGTGTTCATGGTCTCAGGACTCAGTCATGTTCTCATGGGATTTTGCTTTGTTGGTGGTCTTTTGGATCATGCTTCAAAGTGTTGTTTTATATTGATCTCTTAGAACATTACTTTTGCTTTTAAGAACTTTTTATCTTTTACTTTTTAATAAACTATAAAGACTTCTGGCTGTGTGCAGTTGTGTTTTTCAGCAAGGTGAACTTATTCTGAGGTGCGACAGCAGAGCAAAAGGTTGTCAGAATATGATCCAGACCCATATGCAAGGCAAGTTCCTCCAGAGTTTTGTTGTTGTTGTTCATTCGTTGAGTTGTCTCCGACTCTTCATGACCTCATGGACCAGCCCACGCCAGAGCTCCCTGTCGGCCGTCACCACCCCCAGTTCCTTCAAGGTCAGTCCAGTCACTTCAAGGATGCCATCCATCCATCTTGCCCTTGGTCGGCCCTTCTTCCTTTTACCTTCCACCTTCCCCAGCATAATTGTCTTCTCCAGGCTTTGCTGTCTCCTCATGATGTGGCCAAAGGACTTCCACTTTGTCTCTAGTATCCTTCCCTCCAGTGAGCAGCCGGGCTTTATTTCCTGGAGGATGGACTGGTTGGATCTTCTCGCAGTCCAAGGCACTCTCAGAACCTTCCTCCAACACCACAGTTCAAAAGCATCGATCTTCCTTCGCTTAGCCTTCCCTAAGGTCCAGCTCTCACATCCATAGGTTTTGGTGAAGTGAGTGAAGCAAATAGGATGCTTGACACCTGGCTTGAAAACAATCCCAGTGAAAGGGATCTAGGAGTCTATAGTAGCACATAAAAACAATTTTTGAATGCAAATTAATTGCATGGAGCTGGATTATATGGCAGACTCATATAATCCAGTTCAATGCAGTTGATCTGCATCCTGAAACTGCATTCTATGGCAGTGTAGATCCAGCCTCAGTAGACCACAAGCTGAACAAGAGTCAAGAGTGTGATACAGCTGTGATAAATATGGTGAGTGGATTGAATTAAATTTTATGACAGGTGTATTTGGGGGGCTTTAGAGGCTGAAGACATTATTCTGAGAATAAAGCCTGGAAAACTGCAAAAGGCTGATGAAGAAAAAACTACCGAACTGCTAAACTGCTGAAATAACCAGAGACAAATTATTAACTCCGAGGTGGAAAACAACATGTTTACATAGTCAAAACAATGAGTATTTAAGTTAAGGAAGTCAAATGATGCTCCTTACTTTAAGATGGAAAACCAATATGAATTAAGGAAGAAAAGCCAATATCTTTTTGGAAACTGTTGGAGTGCCAGCATGTTTTAGCTGGAAAAACAACCTGTCAGTCATTTACCATTTCTTGAACAATACCAATAGCAAGAAATTTGCTATATAAGAGACCTTCTTATTTTCCAAAAGTGTGGCAGACAGAAAGGTCTATACATCTGCCTTTTTTCTCCAAAGGATGGAGAGAGATGATGCATCAAAATTTACTATATAAGAGACCTTTTTGTTTCCAAAAGTGTGGCAGATAGAAGGGTCTGTCTGTACATTTGTCTCTTTCTCCAAAGGACACAGAGAGATGGTGTATACAGTTTTGCAGGGAACACAATCTGGACTCAGTTCTCTTCTCTATGAGCATGAAGAAGGGATGGTAATGTATGCATGATTAATGAATGAATGATGAATGAATGATGAATAAAGTGCAATATCCCCTTTGTGTAACCAACCAATGTAGATATATAGGGTCTGTGAGTCTACTTTCTTTCTTTGTAAAGTCCCTGATGTACTCTATCTCACTGAAAATAGAATAAAATAACCCTTTTAATGCATAAAAAGTATTCATGACACAGCAGCTAAAAAAGCCAATGTGATTATTGGCTGCACAAACTGCAGCCCTCCAGATGTTTTGAATTTCTGCTCTCAGAATTCCTGGCCACTGGAACAGCTGGCTAGAGCTTCTGAGAGTTAGAGGACCAAACACCTAGAGCAGTGGTTCTCAACCTGGGGTCTCCAGATGTTTTTGGCCTTCAACTCCCAGAATTCCTAACAGCTGGTAAACTGGCTGGGATTTTTGGGAGTTGTAGGCCAAAAACATCTGGGGACCCCAGGTTGAGAACCACTGACCTAGAGGTCTGCAGGTTGTGTAGGCCTGGTCTAGATCAAGGGAAGTCGTAGTCCCACTCTATTCTGGTTTGCTTAGACCTCACCTGGAATCATACTGTGCCCAGTCGTGGGCACCACAATCCAAAGATACAGATAAACTGGAAGGAAGAGGTCCAAACAAGGACCACCAAAATGGTGGAAGGCCCTATGCAGAATGGCTTTGGGAACTAGAGATATTTGAGAGAGGACATGAGAGCCATGTTTCAAGGTCCTGCTGGAAAGGAGGAAAGCTAAAAATACGTTACCCAGTCCACGGCACCATCGCAGTTGATGTCCACCTTCATGAAAATGACGTCGATATCTTCGTCCGAAATGTCCCCCATGATCTTCTTCATCGCCTTCCGGAACTCTTCAATGTCCAGTCCTTTAAAAGCCATACGTTATGATTGCATTCTTGGGATGGGATATAACATATTTCTGAATCAAGAGGGATGGGAGATCCCACTCCACCATGCATGACTCTGGGTGCATCTACACTGTAGACGTAATGCGGTTGACATCATTATAACTGCTATGGAGTCCTGGGAGATATGGTTGGGTGAATTTCCAGCACTCTTGGGCAGAGAGAGCTACAGACCTTGTAAAACTACAACTACCAGAATTCCATAACATTGATTCATGCCATTTCAAGTGGTGTTACAAGGCATTCATTCTACAGTGTAGATCAGGCATGGGCCAGCTTTGGCCCTCCAGGTGTTTTGGACTTCAACTCCCACAATTCCTAGCAGCCTATCGGCTGTTAGGAATTGTGGGAGTTGAAGTCCAAAACACCTGGAGGGCCAAAGTTGGCTCATGCTTGGCGCAGATGAATCCATAGTTTATCTCTCCCAACTTTTATGAGGCCATGGCTAGCAGATGGAATAACGGGATACCAAATCTTTGGGCTCACCTCCTCCACCGTCAGTGTCCGCTTCCCGGAACATGCGCTCCAGTTTCCGTAGATGGTCATAGTTGATCTGGTCCTCCAGCTGCCTGTTGCTGGCCTCATCGTGGGAGGCTGCGATCCTCATGAGGAATTTGTGAGAGGAGCACACCAAGCGGCCTGCTTTGCTCAGGAGACCAGGGAGCTTGGGCTGGGAACAACACAAGCCATGTCAGTCTGGAGTCATAGGTTCCTAGAGCTGCAAGAGACCCCCAAAAGGCTATCTAGACCAGCCTGGCAGAGCTACCCTGCTGTGTCCTGGATGCTCAATGGACTCATAGAATTCAAAGAGTTGGAAGTCCAACCTCTTTCTTTCTGCCAGGCAGGAAGACACCATCCAAGCCCTCCCGACAGATGGCCATCCACCCTCTGCTTAGAAATCTCCAGAGAAGGAGACTCTACTACACTTCCATGCTGCATATCCTTCTGATTGAACAGGTCTTGCAAATGGATGGGTGGATCATAAAAATGGGAAGGGTCCCCCAGAGGTCATCCAACCTGTGAGCAATATGCGTGTTTGAGTTGGAAAGCTGACATTCTGCATTGGCCCAAAGTACTTCTGTAGTACACACAGTATACTGGGGGAATTGACCCCAAATTTGGACACAAGACACCTAACAACCCAATGTATGTCCTTCACTCATAAAAACACTCAAAAACACAGCAGAAGGGACTTAAAAAGCCCCCAAAAGCTAAATGATGAAAAGCTAAATGACAATACAGAAAAAAGGGAAGAAAGAGAAAGAAGAAGAAAGAAGAAAGAAAGAAAGAAAGAAAGAAAAGAAGGGGAGAAAGAAAGAAAGAAAGAAAGAAAGAAAGAAAGAGAAGGAAGCATGGAAGCAAAGAGAGAAGGAAGGAAAGAGGTAGAGAAGGAAGAAAGGAGAGAAAGAGGGAGGGAAAGAAAAAGGGGGAAGGAAAGTTAGAGAAGGAAGGAAGGAGAGAAGGAAAGAAAAAAGGGAAAGAAGGAAGGAAAGAGGGAGCGAAGGAAGGGGAAGATGTAGTGAAAGAGGGAGGGAAGGAAAGAGAGAAGGAAGAAAAGAGAGACGGCAGAAGAGAAAGAAAAGGGGGAAGGAAGGAAAGAGAGAAGGAAAGACGGGAAGGAAAAAGGAAGTGAAGGAAGGAGAAGGAAGGAAGGAAGGAAGGAAAGGAAGGAGGAAGGAGGAAGAAGAAAGGAAAGGAAGGGATGGAAGGAGAAAGGGAGGGAGGTAAAAGGGAAGGAAAGATAAAAGGGAGGGAAAGGCAAAAGAGAAGGAAGATGGGAATGATGAAAGGGTGAAAGAGATGGATGGATGGAAGGGAGGGAGGGAGAGAAGGAGGAAGGAAAGAGAGAACGAAAGAAAGAAAAAGGGAGGAAGGAAGGAGGGAGAGGAGGGAGGGAGGGAAAGAAGGAGAGAAAGAGGGAAGGTTGGCCACAGCACGCGTGGTGGGTACAACTAGTAAATAAATAAATGTTTGAGTTGGAAAGAAAGCTGAAGAAAGAAGAACAGGACTCTTGCAAAACAGAGAATTGCAATACCTTTTATGATAGGGAGACTTTTGGCAATCCAAGCAGGGAACAGTTCATCCATGAAATTAACTTTGCAACTTGATGGACTGAAGACAGCAAGGAAGCCTCCTTAACTGGTACAAACGAAAGAATACTACACCTACAAGACTGTCCCTTCGAAAATAATGGATTAAGTTGGGAAACAACAAAAGGCACCTCCCTGACAGGTGCATAGGGCGTACCAAGAACCAAAACGTGAAAATAACAGCTTGATATTGCTATGGGCCAAGAGCTGAAAGGAATGGGGAAAATAACTGACATAAACCATAGACTAAAATTGCTGTAAAATTATATATATATATATATATATATATATATATATATATATATTCAAATGCAAGGTGGGTCAGAGCTGCATCCCTGAGTCTGCACCCATTGCTTTCCCTGGAGAGTGAATTCCACAGGCGGGGGCCCGCCACCGAGAAGACCCTTTCCCTCGTCCCTGGCAATCTCATCCGTGACAAGGGCGGGGCCGAGAGCAGTGCCCCTCCAGAAGACATAGAAGGAGATATGTTCTGACAGGTACGCTGGGCCGGTGCCATTTAGGGTTTTATCGGTCAAGACCAGCACTTTGAATTGTGCTCGGAACTGAATCGGCAGCCAGTGGAGCTGACATAGCAGAGGGGGGTATGCTCTCTGTATGATGCTCCAGTGAGAAGTCTATCTGCCCCTCTTTGGACTAGTTAAAGTTTCCGAACAGTCTTCAAAGGCAACCCCACGTAGAGCGCGTTGCAATAATCTATTCGGGATGTAACAAGAGCGTGGACCACCGTGGCCAGATCCGACTTCCCAAGGTACGGGCGCAGCTGGTGTACGAGTTTTAATTGTGCAAAAGCTCTCCCAGGCACCGTCGAGACCTAGGGTTCCAAGCTCAGCGATGAGCCCAACTGCGAACCTGCGTCTTCAGGGGGAGTGTGACCCCATCCAACACAGGCTGTAACCCTATGCCCTGTTCGGCCTTGCGACTGACCAGGAGTACCTCTGTCTTGTCTGGATTCAGTTTCAATTTGTTAGCTCTCATCCAGTACATCACAGCGGCCAAGCACCAGTTCAGAGTCTGGACAGCTTCTTTGGTGACATGTGAAAAGGAGTGACCCTCACTGTGGAAGAACATGCGGGTCAAGAATAGGGCTCTATAGTCTCCTACATATCCACCACCAAGACACTACACTTGGAAGGCCATCATATTCAGACAACGAGGGATTACATAAGTAAGTAAGTAAGTAATAGGAGATATCCTAGAGGTCATTCCTAGAGGGCCGATTCCAGAGGGTGTTATTGGGAGACACCTGTTCAACCCCACAACCATTGTCTTGTGGGGTTCCACCGGGCTCAATTCTGTCTCCCATGCTGTTTAACATCTACATGAAGCCGCTGGGTGAGATCATCCGGAGTTTCGGGGTACGGTGTCATCTGTACGCAGATGATGTCCAACTCTGTCACTCCTTCCCACCTGCTACTAAAGAGGCTGTCGAGGTCCTGAACCGGTACCTGGCCGCTGTGACGGTCTGGATGAGGGTGAACAAATTGAAGTTGAATCCAGACAAGACAGAGGTACTCCTGGTCAGTCGCAAGGCCGAACAGGGTATAGGGTTACAGCCTGTGTTGGACGGGGTCACACTCCCCCTGAAGACGCAGGTTCGCAGCTTGAGTGTGACCCTGGATTCATCGCTGAGCCTGGAGCCCCAGGTTTTGGCGGTGACCAGGGGAGCATTCGCACAGTTAAAACTTGTACGCCAGCTGCGCCTGTACCTTGGGAAGTCTGACTTGGCCACGGTAGTCCACGCTCTGGTTACATCCCGCCTAGATTACTGCAATGCTCTCTACGTGGGGTTGCCTTTGAAGACAGCTCGGAAGCTTCAACTAGTCCAACGCTCGGCAGCCATGACTCTAACAGCAGCGCAGCGCAGCGCAGGGAGCATACAACCCCCCTGTTGCGCGAACTCCACTGGCTACCAATTTGCTACTGGGCTCAATTCAAAGTGCTGGTGTTGACCTTTGAAGCCCTAAACGGTTCCAGCCCAAGCTACCTATCCAACCGCATCTCTGCCTATGAACCCACCAGGACTTTGAGATCTTCCAGGGAGGCCCTGCTCTCGATCCTGCCTGCCTCACAGGCACGGCTGGCGGGGATGAGAGATAGGGCCTTCTCAGTGGTGGCTCCCCGGCTGTGGAACGCCCTTCCCACAGACATTAGATTAGCACCATCTCTAATGGTATTCCGCAAAAAAGTAAAGACCTGGTTATTTCAGCAGGCGTTCGAATAATTAGTGCAATGACTGGTAATGACATAGGAATGGAACAATGGATGACGAATCTGGATCGTGTTTTTAGTGATGAGATGCTAGTGATTGGTTATTATAGTAATTTGTGTACTAACTGTGTATTAGATTAGGTTGTTAATTGTTCTTATATTGGTGCATTGAATTTTGCTGTGTCTTGTGTTTTGTGAACCGCTGTGAGTTGCCTCTGGGCTGAGAACAGCGGTATAGAAGTTAAGTAAATAAGTAAATAAATAAATATACTCACTGTTTGTGGTGCCGCTGGGGGCTGAGTGCCAGATACGAGGTCGGATTCGGAGTCAGAGCCTCCCCTAAAAACATTATGGAAAAAGTCAAGCTGAGGCCTCAGATTTAGGTATTCCAATAGAAAGATTTCAATCTCTGGATGGCCATCTGTCAGGAATGCTTTGATGATGCTTTTCCTGCATGGCAGAATGGGGTTGGGCTGGATGACCCTTGGGGGGCCTCTCCCAAATCTAGGATTCTATTGCACTGTGTAACACAGTTTTTATCCCTAGCACATATGGCTCTAGTTTTCCAATGAATCTCTCCTCATCGAGTCTAGGAGCCAGGGTGGCTCAATGGGCCGGCTGAACTGCTGACCCAAAGACCTGAAAGTCGGCCGTTCGAATCCGCAAGACAGGGTGAGCTCCCATATGTCAGCCCCAGCTTCTCTGAACCAAACTTGGCACGAATATTCCATATGCCCAAATATGAACACAGATGGAGCTTGGGGGAAATAGACCTTGACATTTGGGAGTTGTAATTACTGGGATTTATAGTTCACCTATATAAACTGCCTGGAAATCTTGTGGAGTCTCCTTCTCTGGAGGTTTTTTAGTAGAGCCTGGATGGCTATCTGTTGGGAGGGCTTGGATTGTGTATTCCTGCCTGAAAAAGTGGGTTGGACTTAATCACCTCTGAGTTCTTTTCTAACTCTATGGCTCTATGATAAATATAATTCAATGTCTTCTGGAATGTCCTTGCTGAACAAAAAGGCCACCGGTTGAGTCAACTCCACATGATCTACCAACTTTGGCCATTTTGCTCAATAGCTCTGGCTCCATAGGACAGATCTGTGGTAGAAGAAAGGTGGGATATACATTACATAAGTATATCCAGAGGCGGCCCTAGGTAATTTTCAACGGTAAGCAAACAGTATTTTGGCCCCCCCCCCCCCCAACCAATCATTGATATATATTTTCTGTTCGTCGTGGGAGTTCTGTGTGCCATATTTGGTTCAATTCCATCATTGGTGGAGTTCAGAATGCTCTTTGATTGTAGGTGAACTATACATCCTAGTAACTACACTTGCCGCACTTGCTCCCTTGCCTGGCCTGCTTTGGGTCCGGAGGCGTGCCTGAAGACCCCGGCGTGTGCACCAAAAGTCACCTCTTCTCCTGACTTTCTCCTCAGCCATTGGGACCAAGAGAGAGAGACAGAGGTGGAGATGCCCACCTTTCCTGAAGGTAGGCGCAAAAACAAAGGAGGGAGCGGAGGTGGGAGATACCTCCAGCCGGAGGGTCTCTCTCTCTCTCTTGGTCCCAATGGCTGAAGAGAAAGTCAGGAGAAGAGGCGACTTTTGGTGCGCACGCTGGGGTCTTCAGACACGCCTCCAGACCCAAAGCGGGCCAGGCGTGGCGGCTCCGCCCCTTGGCCCACCCGCGGATTGGGGAGAGGAGAGGAGGCGGGTGGAGCGCCGGGGGATCGGGAAAGGGAGCCGGTCATGGGGAAGGGATCGAACGCAGAGAACGATTGAGCACCGGCTCTGCTCGCGCACCCGGTGGCCGGGTGGAGCAGGAACGAGAGGGGCTAGGCGAGGCTCAAGGGCCCGGCCCCTTTGGGAAGAGGATCGCCCGGCAGCGAGGCAAGAAAGCCGAGGCTCCCCCCGGACTGCTAGGGCTGTTGTGAGCTGAGGGGGCGCTCCTCAAGTGGCAATCGAGGGGCATTTACAGAGGCGCCTCTGCGCCCCTGGCAAAAAAAAGTTTCTGCGACTGCTTACTTCGCATAATGGACAAGCCGCCCCTGAGTATATCAAATAATGTAATAATGAATTTTCAGGCCCTTGCTTGGCATGCTGTGCCTCCTCTCCTCAATTGGCCTGGCGTCAAAGAAGCACTGCCAAGTGAGCACGTGTCTAGAGAAGGATAAAGCATCACAATATTGAAATGCCATGTGCTTTTCAAGTTCATATTTCACAGCAAACACAGAAGCCCATCCCGCGTCCCAATCAGCACCAACTTGCTCTGCAAGGTCCCAAAATATTGTGGGTTTTTTTTCATCCAAGCTCTGCAAAAATAAAAAAAAATGTTAGACCTGGATATCAAACTTCAGCTTCTCCGGCTAAGAATTGGGACGCTGTTTGCCATGCTGAAGGGCTTTTCGTTGTGGCCTGGGTGCTTTTATTAATTGCTCCTAATTGCTCCTTTGTTAATGCTCTAATTTACCCATGTCGTTGTAGGAAAAACAATAGAGTCTTGTGATACCTTACATAAGAACACGGTGGCTGGACCTGACCTAAATAGCATCGTCCGCAGATAGACGAGACAGCTAGCATTTGGGTGCCTCACAAAACCAATACACACTGCTGTTGTTGTTTGCCTTCAAGTCATTTCCAGCTTATAGCGACCCTAAAGAAAACCTATCACAAGGGGTCATGGGCCTGAGAGATGCACCCAATTGGTTTCTGTGGCTCAGTGGGATTCAAACGCTGGGCTACAAAGTTGTACACATCCAGGACACCAAACACAAGCTGCTTTGGGTCTCCATCAAAGTGGGGTTATAATAATAATAAACAACAACAACAACAACTGGAAAAGCTGGCACGATACGAGGATTTAAAGATCAAACTGCAAAGACTCTAGCACAAGCCAGTCAAAGTGATCCCAGTGGTGATCAGCACACTGGGTGCAGTGCCTAAAGACCTTGGCCTGCACTTAAGCACAATCGGCACTGACAAAATTACCATCTGCCAGCTGCAAAAGGCCACCTTATTATTTATTTGGCGTGTCAGAGCAACCAGTCCATTATATTACATTTCTAACAGAACAAAGCAAACAAATAGACAAATACAAAACTTGTGAGTTTGGTAGTTGGATAAATGTCCTTTGACCAGTATCTAGCCACTTGGAGTGCTTCTGGTGTTGCTGCAAGAAGGTCCTCCCTTGTGCATGTGGCAGGGCTCAGGTTGCATTGCAGCAGGTGGTCAGTAGTTTGCTCCTCTCCACACTCGCATGTCGTGGATTCCACTTTCTGGCCCCATTTCTCAAGGTTGTCGCTGCATCTCGTGGTACCAGAGCACAGTCTGTTCAGCACCTTCCAAGTCATCCAGTTTTCTGTGTGCCCAGGAGGGAGTCTCTCATCTGGTATCAGCCATTGGTTGAGGTTGTGGGTTTGAGCCTGCCACTTTTGGACTCTCGCTTGCTGAGGTGTTCCAGCGAGTGTCTCTGTAGATCTTAGAAAACTATTTCTTGATTTAAGTCGTTGACGTGCTGGCTGATACCCAAACAGGGGATGAGCTGGAGATGTCTCTGCCTTGGTCCTTTCACTATTGGCTGCTACTTCCCGGCGGATGTCAGGTGGTGCAATACCGGCTAAGCAGTGTAATTTCTCCAGTGGTGTAGGGCGCAGACACCCCGTGATAATGCGGCGTGTCTCATTAAGAGCCACATCCACTGTTTTAGCATGGTGAGATGTGTTCCACACTGGGCATGCGTACTCAGCAGCAGAGTAGCACAGCGCAAGGGCAGATGTCTTCACTGTGTCTGGTTGTGATCCCCAGGTTGTGCCAGTCAGCTTTCGTATGATATTGTTTCTAGCACCCAGTTTTGCTTGATGTTCCTCTTACTGGGATCTTTATTCGCCGATACATCACACAGTCCTAGACACTTGGGAAGGGTCCGACGTGTGATCCAATACAACAGCCAGCAGAGTGATCTTGTCTGCTGTGGACTCATCTTGTTGTTTTTCAAATAATAATAATAAGGCTCTCCATGGACAGTCCCTGGGGAAAATTGACAGCCAAATTGACAAAAAAAAACCTTGCTGTGGCTCACAAATAGAAAAAGGAGACAAAGGAGGGCCTGATTCTGGCAGCCCAAGAACAAGCCATTAGAACCAATGCCATCAAAGCCAGAATTGAAAAGTCAACAACAGATCCCAAGTGTAGACTCTGAAAGGAAGCAGATGAAACGGATCACATCCTCAGCTGCTGCAAGAAGATCGCGCAGACAGACTACAAGCAGAGGCATAACACCGTTGCTCAGATGATCCATTGGAACTTGTGCCACAAACACCATCTGCCTGCAACAAAGAACTGGTGGGATCACAAGCTGGAAAAAGTTACAGAAAATGGACATGTCAAACTCCTCTGGAACTTCCAAATTCAGACAGACAGAGTTTTGGAGCATAATATTCCTGACCTCACGATTGTGTTAAAAAACAAAGTATGGATTGTCGATGTTTCAATCCCAGGCGACAGCAGGATTGAAGTGAAACAACTGGGAAAGCTGACACGATATGAGGATTTAAAGATCGAACTGCACAGACTCTGGCACAAACCAGTCAAGGGAGTCCCAATGTTGATTGGCACATTGGGTGCAGTGCCTAAAGACCTTGGCCTGCGCTTAAGCACAGTTGGCGCTGACAAAATTGCCAGCTGCCAGCTGCAGAAAGCCACCTTACTGGGATCTGCACGCATTGTTCGCTGATACATCACACAGTCCACTTGGGAAGTATCCGATGTATGATTCAGTACAACAGCCAGCAGAGCGATCTTGTTTGCTGGCTGTTGTACTGGATCTTGTTGTATTTCAAATAATAATATATTATTATTGTTCACTCTCCCCCACCAACAGTTGTTCCAGACCTCTAAAGATGCCAGCCACAGGTGCAGGTGAAACGTCAGGAGAGAATGCTACTGGAACATGGCCATACAGCCTGAAAAACTCACAGCAACCCAAGGAAATTCTGGCTAAATATTCTGCATAACTTATTTAGTTTGAGAGCCTTTTGACAAGGGAATATAGACTACCATGGTGGCATCTTCAGAAGGGATTCAGTTGGAGATGGACATTGAGGTGTGGTAAGCTTCTCCATGAGCTTACCACACCAGCAGCCTGCTGGGTCTCTACTGATAGAGATTAGACTGTTTTAAAAAAAGTGACTGGTTACGCTGGCCGATCCTTGAGAAATTGTTTATAGTTGAAGCTTTGAGGAGTTACGCACCTAAAATCTACATGTACATGGTTTTAAATGGCTGCAGTTTCTAAAAGCAAATTAAACTGTTGCTTTTCAAGTGGATTTTAACTTTTAACAGGTTCAAATTATTAGCTTATTTTAAAAAGGAAATGTTTTCCATTATTTATATTGTGTGCTGTTCTGATATCCTGGATGTAGGATAGAAAAGTGCTTTAATAGATACCTAGATTGATAGATCAATCGAGAGATGATTGGGAGAGATACGGAAAATGAGAGATGATAGATAGATAGATAGATAGATAGATAGATAGATAGATAGATAGATAGATAGATAGACAGACAGACAGAGAGAGAGAGACAACAGACAGAAAGATGATTGATAAGTAGAGATATATAAATGTGTGCTGTTCTGATATCCTGGATGTAGGATAGAAAAGTGCTTTAATAGATACCTAGATTGATAGATCAATCGAGAGATGATTGGGAGAGATACAGAAAATGAGAGGTGATAGATAGATACTTAGATAGACAGACAGAGAGAGAGACAACAGACAGAAAGATGATTGATAAGTAGAGATATATAAATGTGTGCTGTTTTGATATCCTGGATATAGGATAGAAGTGCTTTAATAGATACCTAGATTGATAGATCAATCGAGAGATGATTGATAGAGATACGGAAAATGAGAGATGATAGATAGATAGATAGATAGATAGATAGATAGATAGATAGATAGATAGATAGATAGACAGAGAGAGAGACAACAGACAGAAAGATGATTGATAAGTAGAGATATATAAATGTGTGCTGTATTGATATCATGGATATAGGATAGAAGTGCTTTAATAGATACCTAGATTGATAGATCAATCGAGAGATGATTGATAGAGATACAGAAAATGAGAGGTGATAGATAGATACTTAGATAGACAGACAGACAGAGAGACAACAGACAGAAAGATGATTGATAAGTAGAGATATATAAATGTGTGCTGTATTGATATCATGGATATAGGATAGAAGTGCTTTAATAGATACCTAGATTGATAGATCAATTGAGAGATGATTGATAGAGATACGGAAAATGAGAGATGATAGATAGATACTTAGATAGATAGACAGACAGACAGACAGACAGACAGACAGACAGACAGACAGACAGATAGATAGATAGATAGATAGATAGATAGATAGACAGACAGACAGACAGAAAGATGATTGATAAGTAGAGATATATAAATGTGTGCTGTTTTGATATCATGGATATAGGATAGAAAAGTGCTTTAATAGATACCTAGATTGATAGATCAATAGAGAGATGATTGATAGAGATACAGAAAATGGGAGGTGATAGATAGATACTTAGACAGACAGACAGACAGACAGAGAGACAACAGACAGAAAGATGATTGATAAGTAGAGATATATAACTGAGAGCAAGAGAAAGATGACCACTAGATAGATGATAGACAGATTTGAGTTCTCCTTGAAAATGTAAATTGCATCCTTGTCTTCCAATTGTAAGCATGCTTTTTATATAGGTTTTCTATAAAGGAAGGTGTGGTAAGCTTCTCCATGAGCTTACCACACCGGCAGCCTGCTGGGTCTCTATTGATAGAGATTAGACTGTGTTGTCGGAGGTTTTCCGAAGCCAGAATTCTCTGAAGATGCAGGTGAAACATCAGAGGAAAAAATGCTGCGAGGACATGGCCATGCCACCCGGAAACGACACAACACCCCATAGATTAAGCTCCTTCCCATTCACACATAGATGTGGAATAGGCAGGATGGGTTCTACATGGAAGAGAAGCCACTCACCAGGTGACGGAGGGATGGATGCTCAGCCTCATTGGAGTGCTGATCCCTGAACTTAAGCGGGAGCTCCTCTGGGAGCTCCTTTTGGAGTCGCTGACCCTCTCGGGGGCAGACAGGTGGGCTTCCATATTGATGGCTCCTGCTATGGACCCCGACATCTTCTCTCCGAAGGAGGAGCAAACCCGACTGTGATGTCAACCTTTGGAATAATGACCTCATGTAACAGAACCCCAGAGAAAGATCTCCAGAAGGATTCTCTCCTGATGTTTCACCCACATCAATGGCGGGCATCCTCAGAGGTTGTCCAGAGTGGGAGAAAGAACTCTTGTCTGTTTGAGGTAAGCATGAGTGTTGCAATTGGCCAGCTTGATTAGCATTGGATGGCCCTGCAGCTTCAAAGCCTGGCTGCTTTCTGCCTGGGGGAAGCTGCAAGGCTATTCAATGCTAATCAAGGTGGCATAGAATCATAGAATCAAAGAGTTGGAAGAGACCTCATGGGCCATCCAGTCCAATCCCATTCTGCCAAGAAGCAGGAATATTGCATTCAAATCACCCCTGACAGATGGCCATCCAGCCTCTGTTTCAAAGTTTCCAAAGAAGGAGCCTCCACCACACTCCGGGGCAGAGAGTTCCACTGCTGAACGGCTCTCACAGTCAGGAAGTTTTCTTGTAGTTTGAAGCCATTGTTCTGCGTCCTAGTCTCCAGGGCAGCCAAAAACATGCTTGCTCCCTCCTTCCTGTGACTTCCTCTCACATATTTATACATGGCTATCATATCTCCTCTCAGCCTTCTCTTCTTCAGGCTAAACATGCCCAGCTCCTCAAGCCGCTCCTCATAGGGCTTGTTCTCCAGACCCTTGAACATTTTAGTTGCCCTCCTCTGGACACATTCCCACTTGTCAATATCTCTCTTGAATTGTGGTGCCCAGAATTGGACACAATATTCCGGGTGTGGTCTAACCAAGGAGGAATAGAGCTCGGGAAGCATGACTTCCCTGGATCTAGACACTATGCTCCTCTTGATGCAGGCCAAAATCCCATCGGCTTTTTTTGCCGCCACATCACATTCCTGGCTCATGTTTAACTTGTTGTCCACGAGGACTCAAAGATCTTTTTAGCTCTCAAGCCAGGCATCGTCCCCCATTCTGCATCTTTGCATTTCGTTTTTTTCTGCCTAAGTGGAGTATCTTGCATTTGTCCCCATTGAACTTCATTGTGTGAGTTTTGGCCCGTCATCTCTCTAATCTGTCAAGATCCCTTTGAGTCCTGCTCCTGTCCTCTGGAGTCTTGGCTCTCTCTCCCAATTTGGTGTCGTCTGCAAACTTGATGATCCTGCCTTCTAACCCTTCATCTAAGGGTTACAAGAGAGGAGATTCCATCTGAACATTAGGAAGAACTTCCTGACTGTGAGAGCCGTTCAGCAGTGGAACTCTCTGCCCCGGAGTGTGGTGGAGGCTCCTTCTTTGGAAGCTTTTAAGCAGAGGCTGGATGGCCATTTGTCAGGGGTGATTTGAATGCAATATTCCTGCTTCTTGGCAGTATGGGGTTGGACTGGATGGCCCATGAGGTCTCTTCCAACTCTTTGATTCTATGATTCTATGATTCTATGATTAAGTCATTAATTAAGATGTTGGACCGGGCCCAGGACGGAACCCTGCTGATGGCACTCCGCTCGTCACTTCTTTCCATAATGGGCATAATGGGTTAAACCTTTGTGATGCTGAACTGCTGACCTGAAAGTTGACAGTTCGAATCCACGAGGTGGAGCGAGTTTCCGTTTGTCAGCTCCAGTTCCTGCCAACCTAGCAGTTCAAAAACATGCAAATGTGAGTAGATAAATGTGTACTGCTTCAGCAGGAAAAGGCAAAGAGACGCTCCAAGCAATCTTGCCAGCCACACAACCAGGAGGGAACAACACAGGCTCCTCAGCTTGAAAATGGAGGAAAGCACCTCCTCAGAACCAGAGATGACCTCCAGAAGCCGGAAATGAAAGGAGAAGCCTCTGCCTTTATTTACGGTAGTATGTCTCATTTTATAGGATTGCAATGACATTGAATGTGGGTTGTTGTGTGTTTTCCGGGCTGTCTGCCAATGTTCCAGAAGCATTCTCTCCTGAAGCATCGCCTGCATTCCCCCCTCAGAGGTCCTCACAACCTCTGAGGGGGGAAAGGGCAGGACCTGAGGCTGTCAAGAATTGTGGGAGTTGAAGTCCAAAACACCTGGATGGCCCAAGTTTGCCCATGCTTGCTCCATCCTCTAAACAAGGCATTGCAAAATCCAGGTGTTTTGAACTTCAATTCCCGCAAACTCAAGCCAAGTTTGCCCATACAAACTAGATATCGACCATCTCACGCATTAGGGACTCTTCGTCCAAAGTTGGGTAACTTTCTCTTGTCTATCTACTCTTTTTTTCTAAGATGTATGACCTGCAAGAATAAAAGTTTGCGCCTTTTTCAACTGCCCAGAGCATCTTGCATATTTCGTCTTGTTTCCTACCATTGGCTCCTATGTAGCGCTGCAATTTGGCTCTACTATAGATTCCAGACATTCCTACAATTGCTGGCAAGGGAGGCCAGGAAGGACACAATGAGTTCTTTCTCCCCAACTATGTCCAGTTACCCCCTCCATATTCATGGCTTGGAAAGATTCCAAAATGCAGTCTCTTGATTTTGTATTTTTACTTATTTGGGCACCCAGATATTGACATCCACAGGGCTTCCTGGAACCAAACCCCAGTGGATACCGAGGGTTTAGGATGTATTAGGATGTCTCCAGATTGAAGTTCAATCTGGAAGGCCAAGTTGGAAGGCCAAGATTTGCCCATTAGGCCTGTGCAATCAATGCAAAATATGTCAGTGTATGATTTACGTATGATGTATGTTTAAATGTAATTTTATGTGATAGGATTGTGATTGTAATTGAATGTAATAGAATTGTATTGCCAGGATGTAGTTTGACACAGAAGGGTTAAACAGCAAAGTAACAAGATGTGAGAGTGTGACCCTGAATTCTTGCTGTGTGCAAGATTAGGGAGTGCCAGAGATAAAACTCCCTTCCAACTGCAGTTTCCTTTAGTTCTTATCTGTTTCGTTTTGTGTTCTTCACGTCTGTCCGCTGATGGTGTATGTTGTATTTTGAGCTGCTTTAGTAAAGCTAAAATCTGCTTTTACCAGGAAACTCCAGAGTCCATTATTCTGATCTTCTGCGATACTCTGCTAACGCTAACAAAATATGCATTAATACCAATTATTAAATTTGGGAGTGGGGGGGGGGGGTGTTTCTAAAGTGTTTCCAAAATTGGACAGGGTATGTATCGTAACTATAAAGATTTAACTACTTTTTCGTTACTTTTCGTTAAGTAATTAGTTCTGCCAATGGGGAAACTTCAGGGGCTCCTTTCTCTCTCATAGTTAGAGCTATTGGCACGAAACTTGCTACAATTATAGAACACATTTACCACTGTTATCCCCTCAAGTTTCAGAACGTTTCACTCATCCACTGATATTTGGGGAATTTTCAAAGTTTTTACAAAGTTTTGACTTTTCTACACAACAACACAAGGTAACAGGGAATAATTCCCCCCAAGTTTCAGAAATATTCACGTATCTACTGACAATGACAGAAGGTAACAGGGGATCATTCCCCCCAAGTTTCAGAAATATTCATATATCTTCCAATTTTTTTGAAATTTTAAAAAGGTTTTGACAAAAAAAAACGTTTTTTTAAAAAGCCACAACAGCTATCTCCTTGAATGTCTCTCATATTGTCCAATCGAACTTCCATTGAGAGATTTCTTCCTAGCACTGATTGTGTATTGGAAGTATCAGGCAGTCCTCCTCTTTGCAGATTCAATGATTTATTGCAATTCTGGCAGCTGCTAGGAAGGAGGGACAACTCTCTCCCCTGTCCTCATTGGGGCTTTCTGTAGGGGCTCAGCCTGTGGTTGTCTCTTTGCCACAGGATTCAAAGGAGAATGATCACGAACCTACAGAGGTTCCAATGTCTGAGTTAAATGATAAGGTTTCTGCTGACTCCCAGGGGTTTGTGAATGGAGATGATGGTCAAGAGGTAGGTTCTGGTCCAACCTATCTGTCTGAACGCATCTCCTCCTATGAACCAACTAAGACGTTAAGACTGTCTGAGGAGGCCCTGCTCTCGATCCTGCCTGCGTCACAAATCCATTTGGTGGGGACAAGAGACAGGCCTTCTCAGTGGTGGCCCCTCGGCTATGGAACGCCCTTCCCAAGGGCATGAGATCGGCCCCCACACTTTTAACATTCCGGAGGAAAGTCAAAACCTGGCTGTTTGAGCAAGTGTTTGGAAATCTTTAAGGCAGTGTAACAGACATAGGAATATGGAACGATTGGATGGTGACATCAAATCGTTCCATATTGGATGTCATCATCCAATGATGATTTGAATGCAATATTCCTGCTTCTTGGCAGAATGGGGTTGGACTGGATGGCCCATGAGGTCTCTTCCAACTCTTTGATTCTAGGATTCTATGTTTCCATGACATTGGACATTGGAGATGGAAATTATTTATGTTTTATAGACCTCATTATGATTGTATATTATATGTTAATGTTTTAAAATATTTTATGATGTTGTGCATTGAATTTTGCCTCTGTAAATTGCCTTGAGTCGCCCGTGGGCTGATCCAGGCATTTCAAGGATACCATCCATCTAAGATGGTTAGATACGCACAACTCTACTACTCTTTTCCACCTAATTCCAAGGAGGCCTCTCGGGTGCTGGACGAGTGCCTGGCCGCTGGGTCTATCTGGATGAGGAGGAACAAGCTGAAGATCAATCCCAACAAGACAGAGGTCCTCCTGGTCGATCGTAAACCTGACCGGGGTATTGGGTGGCAACCTGTGCTGGACGGGGTTACACTCCCCCTGAAGTCACAGGTCCGCAGTCTGGGAGTCCTCTTGGATTCATCGCTCACGCTTGAGGCTCAGGCGTCGGCGGTGTCTGGGAGGGCTTTCGTACAATTGAGACTCGTGCGCCAACTGCGACCGTACCTCGCGAAGGCTGATCTGGCCGGGGTGGTCCATGCCTTGGTCACCTCCAGATTGGACTACTGCAATGCGCTCTACATGGGGCTGCCCTAGAAAATGGCTCGGAAGTTCCAACTGGTCCAACGAGCAGCAGCCAGGATGTTAACTGGGCTCCTTACAGAGAGAGGTCAACCCTCCTGTTCAAGGAGCTCCACTGGCTGCCGTTTATTTTCCGAGCCCAATTTAAGGTGCAGGTACTCACCTACAAAGCCCTAAACAGTTTTGACCATCCTACCTGCGTGACCGCATCTCCGTCTACGAACCCACTCGTTCACTTCGGTCATCTGGAGAGGCCCTGCTCGTGATCCCGCCTGCGTCGCAAGCGCGGTTGGTGGGGACACGAGACAGGGCCTTTTCTGTGGTGGCCCCCCGACTCTGGAACAACCTCCCCAAAGATCTCAGACAGGCCCCTACCCTGGCAGTCTTCAGAAAGAACTTGAAGACCTGCTGTTCCGATGCGCCTTCCCAGAATAGGAAATCTCCAATACCAAGTCCCAGAAGCACTTTATTAGAACTAAGATTGCTGCACATCGCACACTGCACTTGCCCTATAAGCCTTACATACCTCCTGTCACATCAGCACTTTTAATCCTGTACCCATTACTCTGGCCCGGCCCAGTTTCATTGTGTCTTAGTGTATTGTTTATTGCTTGTTGTTTATATTGCTTTAATTGTTTTTAATTTGCCTTAGGTTTTGTATTGTTATATTGTGTGTTGAGGCCTTGGCCTTTGTAAGCCGCATCCAGTCCTTCGGGAGATGCTAGCGGGGTACAAATAAAGTTTAATAATAATAATAATAATGAGATACAACTAATTAGAAACGAAATTTTGCCCATGCCTGCAGACATGGGCTCACAGGAAAAGCTCCATGTAATGATTCTTAACTCGTAGGCCGAAGTAGGAGCCTGAGATGTCAGTAAGCAGGCCTCCATTTTGGGAGTGTAAGCAAAGGGAAGCAGACATCTTGGGAGTGTAAGAGGAGAAGAGGGGAAGAGCTGGAGCTCTCTCTGGATTCGTTAGGACAGTTGGGAGGAGTTTAGCCCTGAGAGGGAAAAGTATCCACTTGACAGAAAGCTGGAGGTTGATTTTGGAACAGAAGGGAAGAGAGGTAGATTTTTGGTGAGCTGAGATTTTTCTGTCAGAGAGCATTTGTGACAGGCGATTCTGCATTATTTGGCCAGGAGGGTCAAAGTAGACACCTGGGTGCTTGTGTGGGTTTTTACACAAGTGGCTTGCTCTCTGGGGTCAGAGTAGTTTAGCTTTTAGAGGACTCTGCTTAGAGTGTAGCTAATTGCTCTGGAGACAACCTGATTAGGTTAGTCTGTGGAACTCACTGCTACTGGGTTTATTGTAGAATGAGGAGTTTTACTCATATCTAAGCCAAGTAACCTGTTTGAAGTAACTATTAAGAATATTGTACCTCAGTAACCAATTAAGCTTGTGTGCCTCATTGAAGAAGATAGTTGTTTGTTCTTATCAATAAACATTTTATCTAGTTCAACTTTTTAAAGAAGCCTCAGTAGTGATTCATTCCTGTGGAAATAATTCTAACTGTTTTAACGTCTTTACATCACAGTCATCTCAGGGAGCTAAAGGAGAGCTGGTGGGCAGGAAGAAGATTACCTCAGGGAACCATTCTTTACTATTCCCAAATTATTTTGGGTGGTGGCAGCAACTCTACCAGAGTATACACATTACCTTAACATACATCTAAACGGTTCTTGTGGGTTTTTTTGGGCTATAGGGCCATGTTCTAGAGGCATTTCTCCTGACGTTTCGCCTGCATCTATGGCAAGCATCCTCAGAGGTAGTGAGGTCTGTTGGAATTAGGACAATGGGTTTATATATCTGTGGAATGGCTGGGGTGGGGCAAGGAGCTCTTCCCTGCTGGAGCTAGGTGTGAATGTTTCAACTTACCACCTTCATTAGCATTTGAAGGCCTGACTGAACCTGGGAAAATCCCCTGTTGAGAGGTGTTAAGATGTGCCTGGTTGTTTCCTCTCTGCTGTTTTGCTGTTGTAATTTTTAGAGTTTTTTAATACTGGTAGCCAGATTTTGTTCATTTTCATGGTCTCTTCCTTTCTGTTGAAATTGTCCACATGCTTGTGGATTTCAATGGCTTCTCTGTGTAGTCTGACATGGTGGTTGTTGGTGTGGTCCACCTCTGAGGATGCTTGCCATAGATGCAGGCGAAACGTCAGGAGAAATGCCTCTAGAACATGACCCTATAGCCCGAAAAAACCCACAAGAACCTAGTGATTCCAGCCATGAAAGCCTTCGACAATACATTACATCTAAACGCTCCGTGCCAAGAAGCATATCCCATCAGATTGGTAGTAGTGGGTTGATTTATTAGGAGGTAGAATACCCGATTCTGTTATAGTGGTGCCAGCAGGTGCGATATATTAGCAAATATAATCCCCAGGATCCTGACTTTGTTAAATTGGTGGCAGCGGCATGATTGGCATTCTGAAGTCATATATATTAGGCTTGGGCGGTTTCGTTCATTAATTTCGTAATGCGTTATTAATTCGTATTTAAATTAGCTTGCGATCCGATATTGAGCCATGCAGGAGTAATTAAAAATCGAAACAATTTTTTCAATTTATTTCGTAATTGTTTCGTAATTGTTTCGAAATTGTTTCGTAATTATTTCTGTATGTCTGGTGCAAGTTTTAGGGTTGTTGTTTGCTTTATCAGTGATAAAAAATAAATTATCACACCAACAGTCAACAACAGAGGGAGAGGAAAGCTTCAGAAGTTCCTCCTGTCCCATTTGGAGGGGTTTTTTTTAGCATATTGCGCAATCGTGTCCGCCATTAACGAATTGATTTGTAATTGTTTCGAAATTGTTTCGTAATTTTACAAAATTTCGTATATTTCGAACTTTTTTAAAGAAAAATTTCGGAATTCTTTTAAAAAACGAAACGCAAAAACCCCCTAAAAACGAAACGAGCTTAGAACCAAATTTTTCCCTAGTTACCCAAGCCTAATATATATAATAGCTGACTGACTTTATACTCCCCTTAGAAGGAAACACGGTGAAGCACAGACTCGATCCCACAAGAACACAACACTCCAGGGGACAACGGCATTCTTTGAAATAACAGAACTTTATTTAGAAACGGTTTAGAAGTAGAAAAAACCCTGTCAAGAGGAGTCTGGGTGGAATAATGGTTTAGGGCAACAAGTTATCTAGAAGGCCACGAGAAGAAATAGCACCTCCGATGTTTTTGTCTTTTTTTTAAATAATGGCTTGCTTTTTTTTATTTTTATTTGGCATTTGTTGGATTTGGGTCTTCCTCTGAATCGATTCGTTTTGTGTTTTAATTAATTTTGTTTTTCTTTCCTTAGGGAAAATGAATTCATGCACTACAACAACAGTTATTTAACCATAAAATGCTTTTGCTTCGTTCTTTTTTTTTCTTCTTCTTCTTCTACACACACTTAAAAAGGACACGATTATTATAACCACCGGAAGCAAACAAAACAAAGAGCACACACCTAAGCGCAGAGGCTTAGCCTTGGCCAACGTCTCGAAAAAAAGGCCCTCTTCCCAAAAGAGCAGCAATCGGGTGGATATATATATATATTGGGGGGGGGGGGGGAAACGGGGCGAGGAAGGGGAAACGGGGCCAAGGAAGGAGAAATTGGAATAACCAAAAATCCACGCCAGCATCAACATTTCAAGTTATACACCGCGCGCCAATTTGCTTTTCTCCACGGAGCCGTGGCAAAGGCTAAAGGAAGGACATACAAAGAGAAATAAGCCGGAGATCTGGAACGGTCTCAGCGCAGCACTGCAAAGTAAACATGGGCAAAGTTGGGCCCTCTGGGTGTTTTGGACTTCAACTCCCACAATTCCTAGCAGCCTACCGGCTGCTAGGAATTGTGGGAGTTGAAGTCCAAAACACCCAGAGGGCCCAACTTTGCCCATGTCTGCATTAGAGTTTAGATCATCAGGCTTGGAAGAAGAGGAAGGAGAAGGAGCGCAAAAGGGATTGGAAAGAGCCACTAAATTCAAAGAACTGCTAACAAGGAAGCAACAGGTGGTCGGGAAAATAATTTCATAGCGACAGCCTTATTGCTTTGGAATAAAGCAGACACTCCTCAACAAACACTTAAAAGGCCTTTCGGGACATCCGAACCACAACCACCTTTGGAACGAGACGAGCAAGGTCTCCCTATCTCCGCGGCTCCTTTTTTGAAATCCGTTTACGAAGCAGTTCCTCCCAAAAGCAAAGGCCGAATTTCCCTCCCCGGCCCCGTTTCGAGCACCTAACATCTCCTCTCGTCAACGTTTGCAACAAATTTGGCATCTGGAAGCCTTCGTTCCAGCCCCACTTAAGGCATCTCTTTTGCACTGGAACCCACACACTTTTGCTCTCTCTCTTTTAATTTGCTCAAAAACCTTCCTTCAGGCCCAAAAAAACAGCTCCACTGACACACTACTTCTCCTCTCTCAGCCGCCCACAAAAAGCACAATACAGCAACCCAAAAAATAAAAAAACAAAACAAAAAGGAAAACCTCTCCACAAACCGGCGCCTCGACGCCGGCACAAAACAAGCAACTCCGCCGAACTCCGCATATGCAACCTCTTGCTTCCAACTTGACACCATCTAGTAAGATGTTAATACTGCTCTGCTAACAAGAGTGAGAAAAGAGCTCTCAAATAAAACCCATTGGAAGGGGAAAGGGGAGTAGTTAAACTTACGCAAAGTGCACTTGAAGAGGTACTTATTTTTTTGTTTTTAATTATGAAAAGAAACCAGTGAGTCCTCTAAGAATACAATGGAGTATTTTGTTTTTTTTACAGATAAGCACATGATTGGGGCAAAGAATTCTGATTTCTGAATTCTGACGCTTCTGCTGCTCTGCTGGTAAAGTCGGCGGACCATTAATATTCTTCTTGCTCTTCTGGTGGCGCTCCTTCGTCCGGTATCACAAAGCCTTCCTGGAAGGGAAGAGAGCAGACACAGAGCTCTGCGTTAATATATAATAATCATAACCATAATAAATAAACTTTATTTATACCCCATCACCATCTCCCCAAGGGGACTCAGGGAGGCTTACATGAGGCCAAGCCCAGCAAAACAGTAAGACAATATACAACAGAACACAGCAAAATATAAAAATAAAATAAAATACAAAACCATTTTAAGAACACATCAACAATATAAAGTCACAACATTTAAGGCAGAGACATCTCCAGCTCATCCCTTGTTTGGGCATCAGCCAGCACGTCAACGACGTAAATCAAAAAATAATTTTCTAAGATCTACAGAGACACTCGCTGGAACACCTCAGCAAGCGGGAATCCAAAAGTGGCAGGCTCAAACCCAGAACCTCAATCAATGGCTGATACCCAATGAGAGACTCCCCCCTGGGCACACAGAGGACTGGGCAACTTGGAAGGCGCTGAACAGACTGTGCTCTGGCACCACGAGATGCAGAGCCAACCTCAAGAAATGGGGCCACAAAGTGGAATCCATGACATGCGAGTGCGGAGAAGAGCAAACCACTGACGACTTGCTGCAATGCACCCTGAGCCCTGCCACATGCACAATGGAGGACCTTCTTGCTGCAACACCAGAAGCACTCCAAGTGGCCAGATACTGGTCAAAGGACATTTAATCAACTACCAAGCTTGCAAACTCTGTGTCTTTTGTATGTTTGTTTGTTTGTTCTGTCAAAAATGTAATACAACTATTCAGTTGCCTGACACGATAAATAAATACATTTAAAACAAAGAAATTGCTCATATTGGGTGATTAAAAATTTAAAAACTGGGTGAGACAGCAGTGTAACGTATCTAGACAAGGGATCTGAAAAAATAGAGTAGGTGTCGCACCTCTGAGTAGAGTCACCTTGCTTAGGACACCAAAAAACACATCAGCAGTAGTCTTTATGGTATATTAAAATAAAAGATAAAAAGTTCAAAAAGGCAAAAGTATATTTCAAAAGACCAATCCAAAGTAACATAGGCAAACAAGATCCATGAAGACACAGACAAGGCAAAGTCCCATGAGAACATGACAAAGTCCAAAAACATGAACATGAAAGCTGTAAGATAAACCCAAAGTCTCTTGATTAAAGCGGGAAGTTGCTCTGACACTGAAGCATATTCAAACAGCCTGTTTAATACTCTTTGGACAACATGAAGACGTTCCTATGGCCCCGAGCCTCCCTCTCTCGCCTGCTAGCAATTCTGACACTCCTTCGAACCTTAAATTCCAACTGATCAGCTCGATTTAAACCTCCAGCTTCATCAACGTCAATTCCCTCATTAGTGCTTTTTCCCATATCATCAGGCTGAGAACTATCCTCCCTTCCTGAATGAATGCACCTGGCTCTCAGAAGTTTCACTTTCCCCAGCGTCATCCCTTGCTGTGGGAAATTGAACTTCTGCCCCCTGTTCCTGGTCTTCATCATCTAACACAGGGACATCATTCCTTTACACCTGACTGTGAATCTGAATCCCATCATCCCCATCAGAATCACTGACACTATCACTCTGTGATTCCAGCTGAGTCACAACACTAGGGTGAAATTGCACAGCAGGTAAAATAATATATATATATATATATATATATATATATATATATATATATATATATATATATTCAATTTTCTTTTACACACAAACACAAAGAGGGAGATGAAAAAGTCAGGTTGCTGCACCTCAGCTGGGGTACACCTTGCTGAAGCACTCACCAAGCCCAACGTAGAAATAAACCGTTTATTGGGAGAGAAAAAACACAGTAAAAGAGTAAAAAAATCCAAATAGGTAAGATAAAAAGAGTCTCACAAAACCAGAGATAAAACTTCAATGCAAAGGTTAAAGCATGAATATAAATCCAAGGAGCAGGGTAAACTCATGAGCTTGAATAATCCAAAGATGAGGAATAAAACATCCACTTAAGTGATCCAAGAATCAAAGAACAACACATTAGCTTGGGTTCATGGTAAAATCCCCAAGACTTAAAGCAAAACTTGACCAGGACATGACTTGAAGCGAGAACCAAGGTAAAAGATCCTTGCTCTAATTGCAAAGTTGCTTAATCTGAAAAATCGAAAGTAGTTTTCCCCCTTAATAAGGACAACAATACATGAAAGCATTGTTCCTTCGGCCCTCTGACCACTTTTTCCCATCGCCTGACTTGCACCTGGAATTCTTCCCATGGAGAAGCAGCCTCGCCTCTCTATCTAATCTCTCTTCCAGTCTGTCATTCTGCAAAACAGTTTTGTTTTCACACAGAGTCCACCATTTTCCCAACTGTGGGACTGCTTTCCTGTTCCAACATCCCCTCTGTCTGAACAGGCCCTGCACCCCCAGACCCCTCATCAACATCCTTAGCTGGCTAAGCTACAACACAGGTAAAAAAGAGGAAAAGGGGGAGGATTGAGATAATTGAGCTATTGTTAAATAAATTAATTTTTTATGAATATCTAATGTCACAAAGGATGGGAGAGAGGTGGAGGGGACAGGAGAAGAGGCAGTGTTGTTGTTCATTCGTTCAGTCGTCTCCGACTCTTGGTGACCTCATGGACCAGTCCACGCCAGAGCTCCCTGTCGGCCGTCACCACCCCCAGCTCCTTCAAGGTCAGTCCAGTCACTTCAAGGATGCCATCCATCCATCTTGCCCTTGGTCGGCCCCTCTTCCTTTTTCCTTCTACTTTCCCCAGCATAATTGTCTTCTCTAGGCTTTCCTGTCTCCTCATGATGTGGCCAAAGTACTTCAACTTTGTCTCTAGTATCTTTCCCTCCAGTGAGCAGTCGGGCTTTATTTCCTGGAGGATGGACTGATTGGATCTTCTCGCAGTCCAAGGCAGTGTACACAACTATAATTATTATACCTATTTTTTTTCATCTCTATCACACTTATGTCACCATCTTCAGCTATGAGCTTTCAAGAGCAGAATATTGATGAATTACTCCCAATATTACTTGCTCTACCACCTGTGTAGCACTTCTTACAGCTGGTTTAAATCACTCGCTCTTAATTTCTGAGCCCTTGGACGTAGTTCAGGTCACTATTACACTTCTTTAAACAGGTGGCGATAGGCATCCTCTGGTATTTATTATTTATTTACAGTATTTATATTCTGCCTTTCTCACCCAGTAGGGGACTCAAGGCGGATTACAATGTACACATACATTGTAAACATTAAATGCCATCGATACACAACATATATAGACAGACACACAGAAGCTATTTAACATTCCAGCTTTATGAGGGTATTCTTGCCACCAGGGGAGCTGTTGCTTCACTGTCCATTTGTGACACTGATGGAGTGCTTCCTCATTCTTTTGCTTGCTTGCTGGAGATTTTATAATGTCGTAAATTAGTTAAATTAGCCTCCACGCATAAGTGGTACCTAAATTTCCTACTTGAGAGATACAGCTGTCTTTCGGGCTGCAAAGGTTGACAGCAAGCTACACAAATGGTCAGAAGCTCACTCCGACCCGGACTGGCTTCGAACTCATGACCTTTCGGTCAGTAGTGATCTCTCAACATGGAAGTGCATTTTAGTACATGGACACGCTTCAACAACTGAAAATATACACAATTAATTGCATGGCTCTTGGGGATTGTTACAAATCCAGCCCCTTGGCTTTCTGTGTTGAAAAAACAGCTTTACAACAGATTCCCAAACACAGTGAGAAACACACTGGAGTTTAATCCCTTGCACACTTTTCTGGGATCACAGTACGGCTTTGTTTCTGGGTCAACATGATTTGTTTGTTAGAAATGCTGAGTACAGCAAGTAAATACAATAAACACAAAGGCAAAGAGAAACACATTTTATGCGAAGTGTTTACAATGTTTACTTATATTCTGTTGAAAATAATTAACACAAAAGGCAGCACCTTTTATGCCATTTTTTTCTCTGCAAAAAGGTGATGGAAGGAATAAAAACCCCAAAAATGCAGTTTAAATACTGTACAGTGTTCCCTGACTTATTGCGGGTGTTACGTTTCAAGACCACCTGCAAAAAGTGAAAATCTGCGAAGTAGGGATGCTATACACACACACACATACACACAAGCTGTACCCACCACACATTGCTGTGGCCAACCTTCCTTCCCTCTTTCTCTCCTTCCTTCCCTCCTGCTTTCCTTTATTCCCTCTTTTTCTTTCCCTTCCTCTTTCCCTTCTTCTTTCGTCCTTCTCTACCTGTTTCTTTGTCCCTTCCTTTGCTCTTTGGTTCCATCCTTCCTTGTCTCTTTCCTTCCCTCCCTCCCTCTTTCTCTCTTTCATTCCTTCTCTCCTTCCTTCCCTCTATCTTTCCTTCCTTCTTTCACTTTTTAATTTCCTTCTTTCCTTCCTTCCTTTTCTACCTTTCTTTCTTTCCTTCCTTCTCTCCTTACCTCCTTCTTTCCCTCTTTCTCTTCTTCCTTCCCTCCTTCCTTCTCCCTTTCTGTGTATATGTGTGTATATATTTCTGTATATGTGTATATATGTGTGTTTACATATATGTATGTGGTTTTGCGATTGCATTGTAATTATTGTGTTTTGGCTTTTTAAAGTCCCTTCTGCTGTGTTTTTCAATGTTTTTATGAGTGATGGTCACTCATTGGCCTGATAGGTGTCTTGTGTCCAAATTTGGTGTCAATTGCGGGTGTATCCAGTAAGCAGGGCTGGAAATAATGTCATAAAAGGTGTTGAGGTAGGCAATAAGAGGGCCGATGGAAAGTGCTGAACTTAAAGTAGGGACAGAAAATTACTGGTGGACTGCTTAATCAAAAGCGCACCGGAACATCCAGGTTTTTAATTGTCTCCGGAAAGAGGACAAGGTGGGAGCAACTTCCTCTGTTATATGTTCATTCATTGATCCCTAATCCACCTAAAACACAGACATGTGCTATTCACCTTAAGAACAGACAAGCATCCCAAGCTCTGAGGTTCACCTGGGAAGGAATCCCACTGGAGAATTGCAGAGCACCCAAATACCACTGGACCGTGCCCTGACCTACAAGAAGAACTGCCTGAACATCAAGCAAAAAAGTGGGCGCTAGAAACAATATCATACGAAAGCTGACTGGCACAACCTGGGGATCACAACCAGACACAGTGAAGACATCTGCCCTTGCACTTTGCTACTCTGCTGCTGAGTATGCATGCCCAGTGTGGAACACATCTCACCACGCTAAAAAAGTAGATGTGGCTCTTAATGAGACATGCCGCATTATCATGGGGTATCTGCATAGGAAACCTGCTACAAAACAGGAGCTTTTTTGTTGAGTTCCAGGGCCAGAGAAGCAGATGGCGGAAACAGAAGAACGGCCTGCCTCAGGGGAGCGTGCTTGCTCCATCCATGTTCAACATCTACACAAATGACCAGCCACTGCCAGAAGGGACAGAGAGCTTCATCTATGCTGATGATCGTGCCATTACCGCTCAAGCAGGGAGCTTTGAGATGGTTGAACAGAAGCTCTCCGAAGCTCTAGGTGCCCTTATTGCCTATTACAGGGAAAACCAGCTGATCCCTAATCCATCTAAAACACAGACATGTGCCTTTCACCTTAAGAACAGACAAGCATCCCGAGCTCTGAGGATTACCTGGGAAGGAATCCCACTGGAGCATTGCAGCGCACCCAAATACCTGGGAGTCACTCTGGACCATGCTCTGACCTACAAGAAGCACTGTCTGAACATCAAACAAAAAGTGGGTTCTAGAAACAATATCATACGAAAGTTCACTGGCACAACCTGGGGATCACAACCAGATACAGTGAAGACATCTGCCCTTGCGCTGTGCTACTCTGCTGCTCAGTACGCATGCCCAGTGTGGAACACATCTCACCACGCTAAAACAGTGGATGTGGCTCTTAATGAGACATGCCGCATTATCACAGGGTGTCTGCGCCCTACACCACTGGAGAAATTACACTGCTTAGCTGGTATTGCACCACCTGACATCCGCCGGGAAGTAGCAGTCAATAGTGAAAGGACGAAGGCAGAGACATCTGCTCATCCCTTGTTTGGGTATCAGCCAGCACGTCAACGACTTAAATCAAGAAATAGTTTTACAGATCTACAGAGACACTCACTGGAACACCCCAGCAAGCGAGAGTCCAAAAGTGGCAGGCCCAAACCCAGAACCTCAACCAATGGCTGATACTAAATGAGAGACTCCCCCCTGGGCACACAGAGGACTGGGTGACTTGGAAGGCGCTAAACAGACTGCGCTCTGGCACCACGAGATGCAGAGCCAACCTCAAGAAATGGGGCCACAAAGTGGAGTCCACGACATGCGAGTGTGGAGAAAAAGAGCAAACCACTGACCACCTGCTGCAATACAACCTGAGCCCTGCCACATGATGCACAAGGGAGGACCTTCTTGCGGCAACACCAGAGGCAATCCAAGTGGCCAGATACTACTCAAAGGACATTTAACCAGCTACCAAGCTTGCAAACTTTGTGTTTTGTTTGTTTGTTTGTTTGTTTTGTTAAAAATGTAATACAAATGTCTGGTTGCTCCTGACACGATAAATATAAATAAATGATGTTCATTCATAATGCTTTTATGACACAGGAGGTAAAACCTTTTGGCCCATGCTTGTATTTTTCCCTCCGCCCTCATAAGGAAGGCACCCAGACTTACATCGGTGGCATAAAGAATCTCCACAATCCTCTGCAGAACGGGGTCGCTCTCTCCTTCGTTCTCCTGGCAAATCAGCTCAATGTTCCTCAGTTTCCCGAAGTAGAAATCTCTTTCCTTCTCCAGATCTTCCACTGTCATCTTTAATGCTTTGATCTGCAAAACAAAGTGTCCTTTGATCATGCTGAGTAAAAAAAAAAAAAGAGGCATGACAGAATAAACTGCAATCCTACCTGGAAATATAGAGAAATCATAGATTGAAGGTTTGATAGAGAGGGAGAGAGGTTTCCAAAGGTGGAGAAATTATTCTACTGAAGTCTAACAATTACTTTCCTTTGAAAAGTAGTGATTTTTTCAAAAAAAAAATCAGGAGGTAGAATACCCACAGAGAGAAATATATCAGAGGTGGAAGTAAGGAATGCAAATATAGTTCTAGAAGGGAGGTAAAGAAAGTGCTTTTGGAGGGTTTTCCTTTTGGTAGAATTGCTATTGCACTAATATATATAAAAAAAAATTTGGTTGTGTCAGGAGTGACTTGAGAAATTGCAAGTCGCTTCTGGTGTGAGAGAATTAGCCGTCTGCAAGGACATTGCCCAGGGGACGCCCAGATGACTTTGATGTTTTTTTATCATCCTTGTGGGAGGCTTCTCTCATGTCCCCGCATGAGGAGCTGGAGCTGATAGAGGGAGCTCATCCGCCTCTCCCCGGATTCGAACCTGCGACCTGTCATTATTCTGCAGGTCTCCTGATTCAAGTTGCCTTGTTCCTCGGAGTTTTTCTAGATGTCCTAAGTACGGTTAGTGATTTGCTAACAGGTTCCAGGTGTCAGCTCACAGCAGCCGTCCCCAATAACGACACAGGACTCCGATCCGTACCACTCGGGCACCTTTTCGGCCAACAACTGGAATTCCTCCACATACTCTGACACCGATCTCTGGCCTTGGGTTATTGTCTGCAGCTTTTCCCTCGCCCTGACACGCTCAAGCGGATCTCAGAAGCGTGCCTCCATAGCTGCTAGGAATCGTCTCGTGGATCCTAAGCATGGGTCGCGTCTGGCATGGAGCTGGACGTACCAATCCGCCGCTCCTCGCCTTAGCACCGCACCCACTGCTCGCACCCTGCTGGCTTCCGACCTAAAGGTAGGAGCGTTGTCTTCCAGATAGCCCCTCACCATAGTTAGGAAGAAATTGAGGTTCTCCACCTCGCCTCCAAATTCCACTCTCAGCTCCTCCCTCCTCTGTCGGTAGGTGGGTGGCTGCGCTCGCGGTGGGCAATCCCTGCCGCCCCGTGCCACGCCCAGCCCCCGGGGTCGCCCTTCTTCCTCGTCGCTCTCCGCCCCAGGTTTCCAGCCCGCTTGAGTCTTGGGACGCGCCCCGGGCTCTCGGTCGCTCCTCTCCTCCATGCTCCACAGCGACTCCCCCCGGGGCCGTGGGTCTTCCACCAGGGGAGCCAAACGTTCCATCAGTCTCGACATCACAGCGAGGGTGGTTTCCATAGCCGCCACTTTCTCCTCTTGGTACTCCATCCTCTGAGGAGAGGGGAATTCCAGACCGCTGCTCTCCCTCGCGGCTTCCTCCGGGCCTCTCGCTCGTCTCTGAGTCACCCCATTGGGTCGGGAGTAAGCAGTCGACGATGCCAAGGCAGCTACTCTCTCGAGTTCCTCCTCCGCATTCTCGAAAGGGGAGACCGGCTCTCGCCCTGCTGCCGAAACGTCTTCTTCCTCCATAGAGACACCTCACCGCGGCCGCGGGATGGTGTAGTGAATCTCAGCTTAATGTCAGCTCACAGCAGCCGTCCCCAATAACGACACAGGACTCCGATCCGTAATCAATTAGAAACTTTACTGCAAGGTGCTCAGACATAACAAAAGCCGAGATTGACCAGTGGCCACTGGTCATCTCCTTTATACCCACCCCCACATTTGAAAACACTCTTCCCGCCAAATGGTGAATCCCGTGCAACTCTCCCATCAAATGCCAACTGCCTTCCCCCGAGGTCACCAGCTGCAATGTCCTTATCAGTGCTCTACGTCAGGACCCTGGTTTTCAGCGCCAAAACTGAAGGCCTGGAAACCAGTTCCTGACACCAGGTTTCAGCAGTTTTGCTGTGGATTTCATGATCTTGTTTATGGACATTTCTTGTAGCGGATTTTTACTGTGGCTTTTTTACTTTTGCATCTTTCCCTCTATTTTGTATTCATCTTTTATCAATAAAAAAAGGATTGTTTCCTGAAGCCAAGTGTGGTGGATTGTTGTCTGAGGGTCCAGTTTCCTACTCTGGGTTGCAACATTTACCACTGCTACTTTCTTTTCGTTTCATTATTTTCGTACCGTGAGGGCTTGAACCGTTTCGTGCCATTCAAATGAAACAAACAGAATGAAAACATGAAATAAACATTTCAGGTAACCAGACCCATGACTAGTAACAATATGAAACAGGAATGGGCAAGCTTGGGCCTTTCAGGTGTTTTGGACTTCAAAACACTGTTCAAAATCTTTATTAATGACTTGGATGAAGGGCTAGAAGGCAGGATCATCAAGTTTGCAGACGACACCAAATTGGGAGGGAGAGCCAATACTCCAGAGGACAGGAGCAGGATTCAAAACGATCTTGACAGGTTACAGAGATGATTGGCCAAAACTAACAAAATGAAGTTCAACAGTGACAAATGCAAGAGACTCCACTTTGGCAGGAAAAACGAAATGCAAAGATACAGAATGGGGGACGATGATGCCTGGCTCGAGAGCAGTACGTGTGGAAAAGATCTTGGAGTCCTCGTGAACACCAAGTTAAACATGAGCCAACAATGCGATGTGGCGGCAAAAAAAGCCAATGGGATTTTGGCCTGCATCAATAGGAGCCTAGTGTCTAGATCTAGGGAAGTCATGCTACCCCTCTATTCCGCTTTGGTTAGACCACACCCGTAATATTGTATCCAATTCTGGGCACCACAATTCAAAAGATATATTGACAAGCTGGAATGTGTCCAGAAGAGGGCGACTAAAATGATCAAGGGTCTGGAGAACAAGCCCTATGAGGAGCGGCTTAAGGAGCTGGGCATGTTTAGCCTGAAGAAGAGAAGGTTGAAAGGAGATATGATAGCCATGTATAAATATGTGAGAGGAAGCCACAGGGAGGAGGGAGCAAGCTTGTTTTCTGCTTCCTTAGAGACTAGGATGCGGAACAATGGCTTCAAACTACAAGAAAGGAGATTCCATCTGAACACGAGGAAGAACTTCCTGACTGTGAGAGCCGTTCAGCAGTGGAACTCACTGCCCTGGAGTGTGGTGGAGGCTCCTTCTTTGAAAGCTTTTAAACAGAGGCTGGATGGCCATCTGTCAGGGGTGATTTGAATGCAATGTTCCTGCTTCTTGGCAGAATGGGGTTGGACTGGATGGCCCATGTGGCCTCTTCCAACTCTTTGATTCTATGATTCAACTCCCAAGTGTGACTTGAAGTCCAAAACACCTGGAGGGCCCAGGTTTACCCATGCCTGTCCCAAAACAACACATCTCTCCTGACCCGTTCTGCCTACTGAACACCCACCTGTTGAATCAGTTCGGCAGAGTCGTCCTCTCCGATTCCGGCAGGAGCCTTTTTCACCATCCCGGGTCCGGTTCTGTTCGCCACCGTTGTTCTCTGCGCAACCATGGGTCTTGTTGGAGCTGTGATACAGAAGTAGTACATGAGCTGCACTCTCTAGAAAAGGGCGCTTCCACCGACCTATTATGATCCCTCTGTGCATCAGCCACCAAAGTGAAGGGCACCTGAAGTGTGGAGACCCCCGTGCGCTGCAAGAAGAAAGCACCTCTACGGCCCCAAAAGGAGAGTTCAGGGGATGGCTTCTCCCTACTAATGCTTATTACCAATCAGAGCGGTTTTCTTTGGAGTGGTAGCAGCGGCGGCAGGCTCTACTCTCGCAGCCTTCAGCTGTGAAGACTGCACAAGATTGGTATCTACAAAAGGAAAACGGTTCTAGCTGTTACAGAGTAGGCTGAGGGCAATTGTGGCCCTTATAGTAAGCTGCTTGTGTATGTTACTGGCCCAAAATGAGTTCTATAAGTAGGAAAAACACATCAAATTCTGGTTTATTCTTTTGGTTTGGGGACTGTTTCCAGACATGTAAGGACATGGAGCAATTGCAGTGGTTCTCAACCTGGGGTCCCCAGATGTTTTTGGCCTTCAACTCCCCGAAATCCTAACAGCTGATAAATTGGCTGGGATTGCTGGGAGTTGTAGGCCAAAAACATCTGGGGACCCCAGGTTGAGAACCACTGAGTTAAGGGATTGTTCTGAACTATGATGCTGCTCCAGGAATCACTTTGAGACATATATTTATTTATTTACTATATTTGTATACCGCTTTTCTCAGCCCTCGGGTGACTCAAAGCGGTTCACAATAGCAAAATGCAATACTCAGAACAACATAAAACAGTTAAAAACAATTAAAATAGTAGCATATTAAACAATCAATTATACATCAATAAACATCTCGTTAGCATCTCATAATTAGAATTAGGATCCAGTTTCATCATCCAATTGTTCCATATTCCTATATTCGTTACACTGCCTATTCAAATGCCTGCTCAAATAACCAGGTCTTCACTTTCCTCCGGTGTCAACAGGGAGGGGGGCGATCTAATATCTGTAGAAAGGGTATTCCACAGCCAAGGAGCCACCACTGAGAAGGCCCTGTCTCTCGATCCCGCCAGACGTACTTGTGATGCAGGTGGGACTGAGAGCAGGACAATCTTAACATCCTAGTGCAGTGGTTCTCAACCTGGGGTCCCCAGATGTTTTTGGCCTTCAACTCCCAGAAATCCTAACAGCTGGTAAATTGGCTAGGATTTCTGGGAGTTGTAGGCCAAAAACATCTGGGGACCCCAGGTTGAGAACCACTGTCCTAGTAGGTTCATAGGAGGAGATGCGTTCAGACAGGCAAGTTGGGCCAGAACCACAGCAACCAGGAGGGTGGCCAGACACCGTTCCCTGTAAATGCAGAAGCAATCGCTACAAAAGGCAAAAACACGAGAATCCCAGATGCAGGAATATACAGTGCAACTTTTCACAGACTTTATTTACACTTACATCTTTATTAATGACTTAGATGAAGGGCTAGAAGGCAGGATCATCAAGTTTGCAGACGACACCAAATTGGGAGGGATAGCCAATACTCCAGAGAACAGGAGCAGGATTCAAAACGATATTGACAGATTAGAGAGATGGGCCAAAACTAACAAAATGAAGTTCAACAGGACAAATGCAAGATACTCCACTTTGGCAGGAAAAATGAAATGCAAAAATACAGAATGGGGGACGATGCCTGGCTCGAGAGCAGTACGTGTGAAAAAGATCTTGGAGTCCTCGTGGACAACAAGTTAAACATGAGCCAACAATGTGATGTGGCGGCAAAAAAAGCCAATGGGATTTTGGCCTGCATCAAGAGGAGCATAGTGTCTAGATCTAGGGAAGTCATGCTACCCCTCTATTCTGCTTTGGTTAGACCACACCTGGAATATTGTGTCCAATTCTGGGCACCACAATTCAAGAGAGATATTGACAAGCTGGAATGTGTCCAGAGGAGAGCGACTAAAATGATCAAGAGGTCTGGAGAACAAGCCCTATGAGGAGCGGCTTAAGGAGCTGGGCATGTTTAGCCTGAAGAAGAGAAGGCTGAGAGGAGATATGATGATAGCCATGTATAAATATGTGAGAGGAAGCCACAGGGAAGAGGGAGCAAGCTTGTTTTCTGCTTCCCTGGAGACTAGGATGCAATGGAACAATGGCTTCAAACTACAAGAAAGGAGATTCCATCTGAACATGAGGAAGAACTTCCTGACTGTGAGAGCCGTTCAGCAGTGGAACTCTCTGCCCTGGAGTGTGGTGGAGGCTCCTTCTTTGGAAGCTTTTAAACAGAGGCTGGATGGCCATCTGTCAGGGGTGATTTAAATGCAATATTCCTGCTTCTTGGCAGAATGGGGTTGGACTGGATGGCCCAGGAGGTCTCTTCCAACTCTGTGATTCTATGATTAAGGCTTACAATTATAAAAACCGTTGGGAGGAGCACCATTTCATCACTTCCATTTCACACTGGAACCCAACACACTTAATGTTGCTAAAATACCCTTTCGTCCTACATAACACATAAGAATCTTTTGCCTTCTCCTTTCCAGCTCGGTGACTGTGGAAGATCTGAATTAAAGGGACGTCTCGACATGACTGAGTTGCACTTCCTCTTTTGCGGCTAGAGTTCTTGTGCAACAGACAGGAAACTACCAGAGTCAACAGCAGCCTGAGAATTAGCTTTGCACATGGCACAAGTCATTACACACAGACGCATGACACACGGCATGTGCTGCGGTGATGGATCTCCTGAGCATTTTTGCCTCTTTGCCTGCCTCTCCCCTAAGTAAGGTTCTTGATACCGACTTTAGGCAAAAGCAGCTGCAACATCTACCCCTGAACACTTGCTGTGAAGCATAAACACTACGGTATTTCATCATCTAATAGTTATCACTGCCACACCCCCATTTTTGGGCTGCAAAACTGATGTTTTTTGTGTTCCTCATATAATAGTCGCAGAACGGTTTGATGCTAAATCCCTCTTCTTTCCTTTTTCTTCCCAAAGGCAAGGCAATTCAAAAGCTATGAAATTGGGCTTCCTGGAGTTTGGATTTTTCCTCCTTTCCCTTTTCTCCAAAGAACTCCATTTCAGCTTTTGCAAATTACCTTACCTTCAAAGAAAGAAGGGAGGGAGAAAATGGGAATCAGACCCAAATATCTCTGTAGTTAAAACAACAAACAGAAATGAAGATGTTTGTTTGAGGCTGGATCACCCCTTCCTCTTTCCTTTCGGACGCAAGACAGATCACATCATAGTCACACCCCCTACACTGCCAGAAGAGACAGAGAGTTTAATCTATGCTGATGATCGTGCCATTACCGCTCAAGCAGGGAGCTTTGAGATGGTTGAACAGAAGCTCTCCGAAGCTCTAGGTGCTCTAACTGCCTATTACAGGGAAAACCAACTGATCCCTAATCCATCTAAAACACAGGCATGCGCCTTTCATCTCAAGAACAGACAAGCATCCTGAGCTCTGAGGATCACCCTGGGAAGGAATCCCACTGGAGCATTGCAGCGCACCCAAATACCTGGGAGTCACTCTGGACCATGCTCTCACCTACAAGAAGAACTGCCTGAACATCAAGCAAAAAGTTGGTGCTAGAAACAATATCATACAAAAGCTGACTGGCACAACCTGGGGATCACAACCAGACACAGTGAAAACATCTGCCCTTGCGCTGTGCTACCCTGCTGCTGAGTATGCATGCCCAGTGTGGAACACATCTCACCACACTAAAACAGTGGATGTGGCTCTTAATGAGACATGCCGCATTATCACGGGGTGTCTGCGCCCTACACCACTGGAGAAATTACACTGCTTAGCCGGTATTGCACCACCTGACATCCGCCAGGAAGTAGCAGCCAATAGTGAAAGGACCAAGGCAGAGACATCTCCAGCTCATCCCTTGTTTGGGTATCAGCCAGCACGCCAACGACTTCAATCAAGAAATAGTTTTCTAAGATCTACAGAGACACTCGCTGGAACACCTCAGCAAGCGAGAGTCCAAAAGTGGCAGGCTCAAACCCAGAACCTCAACCAATGGCTGATACCAAATGAGAGACTCCCCCCTGGGCACACAAAAGACTGGGTGACTTGGAAGGTGTTGAACAGACTGCGCTCTGGCACCACGAGATGCAGAGCCAACCTCAAGAAATGGGGCCACAAAGTGGAATCCACGACATGCGAGTGCGGAGAAGAGCAAACCACTGACCACCTGCTGCAATGCAACCTGAGCCCTGCCACATGCACAAGGGAGGACCTTCTTGCGGCAACACCAGAGGCACTCCAAGTGGCCAGATACTGCTCAAAGGACATTTAATCAACTACCAAGCTTGCAAATTTTGTGTTTCCTCTGTTTGTTTTGTTCTGTTAGAAATGTAATACAACTGACTGCTTGCCCTGACACGACAAATAAATAAATCTTGAGTTTTTAAAAAGCTGAAATTTCCAGCAGAAATCCCACAGCAGCTATCTTGGAAGCTTCTAAATCCCACAACAAAGCAGCAAGTGTGGATGATGGAGGCAGAAATCCTAGGACCAATAGATCTGTATGTGGACCTCTTCTGCAGTACTGGGATTTTTGCTCCTGATTAAATCCTGCAATTTGGTGCTGTCTGGAAGTGCCTAGAGCATTCAAATGGCAGGAAAAAGAAACTTCCCCTAAACATTAGAAATAACTTCCTGGTGGTAAGAGCTGTTTGGTAATGGAATATGCTGCCTAGGAGTATGATAGTTTCCTTCTCTTAACGGCTATCTGTTGGTGGGGCTTTGACTGAGTCTTCCTGCATGGAAGAAATGGCATTGGACTGGGTGGCTCTTGGGGTCTCTTTTCAACTCTGTGATCTGAAAGGCAAAGACAGGCTAGTTTCTTTTCCAGGTGTCGACATTACCTGTGCCGGCAGGAGCAAGGTTCTTCTTAGGCTTATTCAGAATCGGGACCACCATAGGCGGGGCCGGCGATGTCTCCTGGCCTTGCCGAGCTGCCACCGGGTCGTAGTCCTTCCCATCGTAGTTGGCATCGAAGAATTTTTTGAACCATTGAACAAATTCAAAGTTATCTTGGAATTTTCCTTTCACTAATTTGTCCACAGGAATTATCTGGGGAGACAAAGTTGAGCGTATTTCAGGCAGAGAGGCAAAAAAGTGTCAGAAATATTGAAAAATTAACGAGGTATTTTTAACTACAAAAAAGTGAGTCAAGCACTGAAAGGATGAAATGGATGCAATGAGCAAAAGCTGCAGTTCAATATAAGCAGGTGTGCTTGCAGCTTAGTAGCACTCAGTGTGAGAAAAGCCTCAGTGGGAGAAAGGCCTCAGTGTATGAGAGGCCTCAGTGTGAGAAATTTCACTGAGAGAAGCCTCAGGTTGAAGGCCTCATGTTTGAAGGCTGCTGTGTGTAAAGCTGGAGTACACACACACCCCTAATGAAAAAGTTTGGTTCCACAACCCTGGAGCTCCCTCTTGTAAATAACTTGCTCCTCTTCTTATCTCATTCGAGTTTTTAAACATTTTATCCTGCACATGTGGCCCATCCACTGTCACTGCGGTTGTGTTTATTGTAATGTTATATTGTTATTGTATTAATATGTTTTTTTTATGTAATTGTGATGCTGTTGCTTGTTGCTTATGTGTTTGGTTTTATTTTGCTGTAATATGTTGTCTGGGCTTGGCCTCATGTAAGTCGCCCCGAGTCCCCGTTGGGGAGATGGTAGTGGGGTATAAATAAAGATTATTATTATTATTATTATTATTACTGTGTGAAGGTCTTGTGTAAGTTCAGTGTGAGAGGAGGCTCTGTGAGAGCGAAGCCGCTTACGCGCATGAGAAAGAAGCCCAGTGCAGAAGCAAAGAAGGAAGCATAAATAACCTTATTTGTGGGTTGTTGTAGGTTTTTTCGGGCTATATGGCCATGGTCTAGAGGCATTCTCTCCTGACGTTTCGCCTGCATCTATGGCAAGCATCCTCAGAGGTATCAACAGACCTCACTACCCCTGAGGATGCTTGCCATAGATGCAGGCGAAACGTCAGGAGAGAATGCCTCTAGACCAGTGGTTCTCAACCTCCCTAATGCCGCGACCCCTTCATACACTTCCTTATGTTGTGGTGACCCCCAACCATCAATTTATTTTCGTTGCTCCCACGACCAACAGAAATGTAAAATACTCCACTTTGGCAGAAAAAATGAAATGCAAAGATACAGAATGGGGGACAATGCCTGGCTCGAGAGCAGTACGTGTGAAAAAGATCTTGGAGTCCTCGTGGACAACAAGTTAAACATGAGCCAACAATGTGATGTGGTGGCAAAAAAAGCCAAAGGGATTTTGGCCTGCATCAATAGGAGCATAGTGTCTAGATCTAAGGAAGTAATGCTACCCCTCTATTCTGCTTTGGTTAGACCACATCTGGAATATTGTGTCCAATTCTGGGCACCACAATTCAAGAGAGATATTGACAAGCTGGAATGTGTCCAGAGGAGGGTAACTCAAATGATCAAGGGTCTGGAGAACAAGCCCTATGAGCAGCGGCTTAGGGAACTGGGCATGTTTAGCCTGAAGAAGAGAAGGCTGAGAGGAGATATGATAGCCATGCATAAATATGTGAGAGGAAGCCACAGGGAGGAGGGAGCATGCTTGTTTTCTGCTTCCTTGGAGACTAGGACACGGAACAATGGCTTCAAGCTACAAGAGGAGATTCCATCTGAACATTAGGAAGAACTTCCTGACTGTGAGAGCCGTTCAGCAGTGGAACTCTCTGCCCCGGAGTGTGGTGGAGGCTCCTTCTTTGGAAGCTTTTAAGCAGAGGCTGGATGGCCATCTGTCAGGGGTGATTTGAATGCAATATTCCTGCTTCTTGGCAGAATGGGGTTGGACTGGATGGCCCATGAGGTCTCTTCCAACTCTTTGATTCTATGATTCATTGCTACTTCACAACTATAATTTTGCTCGTGTTATGAATCATCTTGTAAATATCTGATATGCAGGATGTATTCTCATTCATTTGGCACAAATACTCGAGACGCCCAAATTTGAATACTGGTGGTGTTGAGAAGAGGATTGATTTTGTCATCTGGGGGTTGTAGTTGCTGGGATTTATAGTTCAAAGAACTCCACCAATGATGGAATTGAACCAAACTTCGGGACTCAGAGCTCCCACGACCAACAGAAAATATTGAAGGGTTTGGTGGACATTGACCTTGGGTTTTGGAGTTGTAGTTCACCTACATCCAGAGAGCATTGATACATCTGGATCAAACTTGGCATGAATACTCAATATGCCCAAATGTGAACACTGGAGGAGTTTGAGAAAAATAGACCTTAACATTTGGGAGTTGTAGTTGCTGGGATTTATAGTTCACCTACAATGAAATAACATTCTGAACCCCACCAACGATAGAATTGGACCAAACATCCACACAGAACTCATGACCAACAGAAAATACTATGTTTTCTGATGGTCTTTGGTGACCCCTCTGATACCCCCTCACGACCCCCACAGGGGTCCCGACCCCCAGGTTGAGAAACACTGCTCTAGACCATGGCCATATAGCCCGAAAAAACCTACAACAACCCAGTGATTCCGGCCATGAAAGCCTTCGACAAAACCTTATTTGTGTTATCTTTTTGTAAACAGTGAGGAGACAAAGTTGAGCGTATTTCAGGCAGAGAGGCAAAAAAGTGTCAGAAATATTAAAAAATTAACTAGGTATTTTTAATTACAAAAAACTGAGTCAAGCACTGAAAGGATTAAACAGATGCAATGAGCAAAAGCTGCAGTTCAATATAAGCAGGTGTGCCTGCAGCTTAGTAGCACTCAGTGGGAGAAAGGCCTCAGTGTGAGGTAGGCCTCAGTGTGAGAAGTTTCACTGAGAGAAGCCCCAGGTTGAAGGTCTCGTGTATGAAGGCTGCTGTGTGTAAAGCTACTGTGTGAAGGACTTGTGTAAATTCAATGTGAGAGGAGGCTCTGTGAGAGCGAAGCCGCTTATCTGCATGAAAAAGAAGCGCAGCGCAGAAGCAAAGAAGGAAGTATAAAGAAGCTTATTTGTGTTATCAAAAACTTATTTTTGTAAATAGTGCAACCATATTATTTTACTACAAAGGAAAGACTCCTAAGGAAGATACAACATTGGTCTGTGTGTTTTTGTTTCTTTTGCTTAATAATAATAATAATAATAATAATAATAATAATAATAAATTAATATTTCATCCTTCTCACCCCAAACATTCAATGCCGCTTTGTATAGACAATACACAGACAGACAGAATAAAACAGAAGGAGGTGGTTTGTTTCAGCTGTTTTTGGTGCTGTTTTTGGAAGGTTAGGCTTGAGTCCAGGGGGTGCTGTTGCTTTATCCTGATTGACGAAGAGTCATCAGGACTTCCTCCTTCCTTTTGGTTGCCCAGCATTCTCCCCCGCTTTTAGCGGTACCTAATTTCTCTAATCACAGCTAAAGCTTTTTCAAATTGCTTAGGTAAACAATGAGCTAGGCTAACAGTTGGCAGCTCACGCCAACTCGGGGCTTTGAACTTGCAACCTTTTGGTTGATAGATCTTATAATTGCTGATGATTTACCAGCTGTGCTACACCTCTGGCCCTGTCCACAGAAGTCCTTGCTTGTGCAATTGGTGGGGATGAGAGAGAGGGCCTTTTCGGTGGTGGCCCCTCAACTCTGGAACTCACTCCCTAAGGACATCAGGCAGGCCCCAACCAGGCAGTCTTCAGGAGGAACTTGAAGATATGGTTGTTCCAGTGTGCCTTCCTGGAATAATGATCCTTTAGCACTTTGTCCCTCTAAAGCACTTTACGTTTTTAGGTCTGCTCGTATGTCTTTCCACAAACGCCACTATCACCTTTTCGTCCATGTTTCAGCACTATTTCCAATTTTGAATTTTACATTTGGCCTTCCCACAGTTTTTAATTGTATGTTGTTTTACTGATAATGTCATATGTTTACTGTTTATGTTTTTATTTTAACTGCTTGTATTGTTGTGCTTATTGCTTGTATTGTTGTGTTTGGGCTCGGCCTCATGTAAGCCGCACCGAGTGCCTTGGGGAGATGGTAGCGGGGTACAAATAAAGTGTTGTTGTTATTATTATTATTATGCTGGCCACATGACCTTGGAGGTGTCTATGGACAACGCTGGCTCTTCGGCTTAGAAATGGAGATGAGCACCACACCCCAGAGTCAGACATGACTTGACTCAATGCCAGGGGACAACCTTTACCTATTATTATTATTATTATTATTATTATTATTATTATTATTATTATCCTTTTTCATTTTTAAATCCTGTAGTTTTTGCAAACCCCCTTGCTCGGAGATTGGCTTGTGGCTACTGGTGCTGGCTCATACTGTTGCTAATGGTTTACTCTACTCTGTATTTATGGAGAGGGTCTTTTGTTGATAAGCTCCCTCGTCCAACAAGGAGGCACATCTCAGAGCAAGGGTATTTGCAAAAAGTATGCAGCTTCTGAGCTCAAGTTTTAAAAAGAGATTCCTTTAGCAACTTGAGCCAGAAATGAGGAGATACAGGTGGATTTGAGACTCCCAACAGACTCCGACTGCAACGTGCTCCCTGCCTGGCTAGCCCGGGGTCACGGTCCTTCCTGTTGTCATTGGCCTCAAATAATTTTCTGGACCACTGAACAAATTCAACGTTATCCTGGAATTTTCCTCTCCCTAGTCTGCTCACTAGAGTGAAAAACAAAGGGCTGGGGAGGCAACCAGGACAGCTAGAATATCAAAGCGACATCCCTTCCCCTGCACAAAACAACATAGCCAAGTAGTTCGAGACGCATCCCGAAAGCAAAGGAATTAGTGGCAATATCCAAGAGAGAATTAACTAATTATATGCACTCTAACTACAGGATTTAAAAATGAAAAAAGGACAAGCAAGGGCTTTTGTGGACAGGATGCTCTGCAATTCTTAAAAACAGCAGGGCGGACTGAATTTGGGGAACGAGGAAGAGTTTAATTGTGCTCTCTGCTGTTTTCCCAAATGGCCCAGTCTCCTTAATGCTGCCATTTGCCTTCTGAGGTCTCCCTTGTTACATCTGATGTGACCCAGGAAAAGACATCAGCAGGCCTACGCAAAATGTTTGGCATTTCTCCTTTCAGTAAATGCGGCAGTTTCATTCAGGACAACCTTGTACCTGTCCTCTGGGAATTAAGAGATAATTACGAACACATTACAGATCTCAGTAGGCTCACTGTTCCATTAGCTTCAGAAACAGGAGAAAAACATCATTAAAGATCATTCCTGCCTGTCTGGTTGCTGTGCGTGTTGTCATTTGGCCATTGTAATTAGGCCCGAAGAGCCTGCCCTTGGTCCAAAAACATCCACTGTGGCTTCCAAACAAAAAACAATGGCCTGAAGTAAAAACAGATTGTGAATTGGGTTGTTGTAGGTCTTTTCGGGCTGTATGGCCATGGTCTAGAGGCATTCTCTCCTGACGTTTCGCCTGCATCTATGGCAAGCATCCTCAGAGGTAGTGAGGTCTGTTGGAACTAGGAAAAAGGGTTTATATATCTGTGGAATGACCGGGGTGAGACAAAAGACTCTTGTCTGTTGGAGCTAGGTGTGAATGTTTCAACTGACCATCTTGATTAGCACACAATGGGCTGACTGTGCCTGGAGCAAACTTTTGTTGAGAGGTAATTAGATGTCCCTGCCTGCTTCCTCTCTGTTGTTGTGCTGTTGCAATTTTAGAGTTTTTTAATGCTGGTGGCCAGATTTTGTTCATCTTCAAGGTTTCCTGCTTTCTGTTGAAATTGTCCACATGCTTCTTGTGGATTTCAATGGCTTCTCTGTGTAGTCTGACATGGTGGTTGTGAGAGTGGTCCAGCATTTCTGTGTTCTCAAATAATATGCTGTGTCCAGGCTGGTTCCTCAGGTGCTCTGCTATGGCTGATTTCTCTGGTTGAAGTAGTTTTTTATTTTAATTGCTTGTATTGTTGTGCTTATTGCTTGTATTGTTGTGTTTGGGCTCAGCCTCATGTAAGTTGCACCGAGTCCCTTGGGGAGATGGTAGCGGGGTACAAATAAAGTGTTGTTGTTATTATTATTATTATTATTATTATTATTATTATTATTATTATGCTGGCCACATGACCTTGGAGGTGTCTATGGACAACGCTGGCTCTTCGGCTTAGAAATGGAGATGAGCACCACACCCCAGAGTCAGACATGACTTGACTCAATGCCAGGGGACAACCTTTACAGTGCCTTTCATGTTCCTTGATTAGTGTTTGGGCAATGCCGCGTTTGGTGGTCCCTATGTAGACTTGTCCACAGCTGCATGGTAACTGGTAGACTCCTGCAGAGGTGAGAGGATCCCTCTTGTCCTTTGCTGAACGTAGCATTTGTTGGATTTTCTTGGTGGGTCTGTAGATAGTTTGCATGTTGTGTTTCCTCATCAGCTTCCCTCTGCGGTCAGTGGTTCCCTTGATGTATGGCAAGAACATTTTTCCTCTTGGTGGATCTTCGTCTTGACTCTCGTGGCTTCTTCTTGGTTGTCTTGCAGCTCTTCCGATGTCTGAGGTGGAGTCTCCATTGGCCTGTAGAGCCCAGTTGAGGTGGTTCAGTTCATCTTGGAGGAGGTGGACTTCGCAGATTCTTTTTGCACGGTCTGCCAAGGCTTTAATGGTGCTTCTTTTTTTGACTTGGGTGATGGTTGGAGTTTTTGTGCAGATATCTATCCATGTGTGTGGGTTTTCTGTAAATGGTGTGACCCAACTCTTGATCTGGTTTGCGGAAGACTAGGACATCTAGAAAAGGCAGTCTTCCTTCATTTTCTTTTTCCATGGTGAACTGGATGTTTGGGTGGATGCTGTTAAGATGGTCCAGGAACCTGTCGAGTTCTTCTTCTCCATGGCTCCAAAGGGTGAAAGTGTCACCCACATATCTGAACCAGATTGTTAATTGCAGGGAGATAAAGGAAAAATGCATACTGAACACAAACTTGCTCAAGGTCCAAGTGGCAATCCTGATATGAGAGAAGGAACTCACAACGGAACATTTTGCCTTGCTAGTGGAGATTAAAATGCCACAAGCTTCACAGTTCTGGTGTGGCAGCCTTCCCACTTGATAAAGGAAGAATCCTCCTTTGCTATTTTCACCAGGGCATCAAGGACCGATGGGAAAGTGTGACAAATGCATTCAAACACAAGCCTAAAGTCTATTGCAACCAAGGAAAAGCCAAATCCTGAAAGAAATTATACAAGGAAGAGTAGCTATGACTATTTTATGTCTCCAGAGACCTTCCTCCCTCCCTGCATTGCTTTCTAGCCTTCTCAGAGCCACAAACATTTGCCCTCACTAACATCTTTTTGTATGTCATGGAGCAGTGGGATATAGCAGATTTGGCCCCAGTAGGGATGATGAACCATTTCTTTTCCCTCTACCAACAACTGTTTTCCCTTACTGGAAAAGAAAGAAAAAAAAGGGAAAAAAAAGGGTGACTTCCATTCCATCTTCTTGGATAAAATATTCTTATTATTCAAAAATATATATAATTTTTTTTATTAAAGATAATAAACTTGTCTCTCTTGTTTTTTTATTTTTGCAAATTGTCCAGATAGTCATGGAGATTGTCCCAATTTTAAAATTGGAAAAGAAAGTAATATCAAATATTTATAATATATTACTTACCTGGCTGACTGAAAAAGAACAGGTTAAAAACTGTATGATAAAATGGGCTCAAAATTTAAGAAGACCAATTCAAATGAGGGAGTGGGAACAGATGTGGAAGAAAAAATTAAAATAATACATATGCAACGGACATAAAAGAAAACTGGACATAAATGTTCCATAGATGGCATACCACACCGAAACAACTTGCTAAAATGTATAAAACAGTTTCTGATAAGTGTTGGAAATGTTCAGAACAAGTGGGCTCCTTCTACCATATGTGAAAGGCATAATTTTTAAAGAAGATGCCCTTCAGTCATATTTGCAGAAGTCAATCCAGAAGAAACCAAGCAAACCTGTAAGAAACAGATTAAAGAAGCTCAATGGGGATTTCTCTTGGGGAAATGAGGAGAGTCAAGAGCACCTGGGGGCTGATAGGAACCCAGTTTCAGTGGGGAAGGCTATCCGTTGGAGACGGTGCAACATCCAGGCAAAGGGTTGCTCAAGAGATTAAAGAATGCTTCAGACCAGGATTCTGAAACCAAAATCAAAACGTATCAAAAGCAAGGATGCTTACTTTGTCAACGCCCATCCGCTTAAAACCTGCTTGTAGGACCTTGAAATTTTGGATGTATTCGTGTTCCAACTTTGCCTGGAATTTCACTTTTTTGAGCGTTACGGAGCCCGGGAAGAGCATGTCCATAAATTGGCAGTAAACAGCACCTGGAAAGGAAAGGAACACAATGCCTCGGTGACAATAAAGCAGGCAAGGGCAAACTTCGGCCCTCCAGGTGTTTTGGACTTCAACTTCCACCATTCCTAAAAGCCAGTTAGGGTTTGAAGTCCAAAACACGATTGCCAGACTGCAGAAGAACAGCATTGACTAAGAGCATTCTAGCTTTAAAGCAGGCATGGGCAAACTTGGGCCCTCCGGGTGTTTTGGACTTCAACTCCCACAATTCCTAACAGCTGAAATTGTAGGAGTTGAAGTCCAAAACACCTGAAGATCCCAAGTTTGCCCATGCCTGATCTCGATCCTTCAACATGCAGCCCTCCAGGTGTTTGGGACTCCAACTCCAAGAAGCCCCTATTGTCAGCTTGTCCAATGATCAGGAATTCTGGGAACTGAAGTCCAAAATACTTAGAACAAGGGTCCTCAAACTTTTTAAACAGAGGGCCAGGTCACAGTCCCTCAAACTGTTGGAGGGCCGTCCTAAGTCCCTCTGCGGAGGTTGAGAAAGGATGAGATATAAAAGCCCTAAATAAATAAATAAATAATAAATTATAATTTGGAAAAAAAATGAATTCCTATGCACACTGCACATATCTTATTTGTAATGAAAAAAAAACACTTAAAACAATACAATAATTAAAAGGAAGAACAATTTTAACAAATAAAAAACATTAGTATTTCAGTGGGAAGTGTGGGCCTATTTTTGGCTGATGAGATAGGATTGTTGTTGTTGTTGTTGTTGTTGTGTGCTTTCGAGTCATTTCAGACTTAGTTGGCCCTGAGCGAGGGCCAGGTAAATGACTTTGGAGGGCCATATCCGGCCCCCAGGCCTTGGTTTGTGGACCCCTGAACTAGAAGATCACAGACTGTGCGGACTTGACCTAGAGATTCCTAAAAGGAACGTTTGAAATCAAATCGATTTTGTTGTCATGGTCGGGTTTGCCTTCTCCATAAACTATCCATTCCAACCAAGACAATCCTTTAAACCAGGCACAGGAAAATTTCGGCCCTCCAGGTGTTTTGGACTCCAACTCCCACCATTCCTAACAGCCTCCGTCCCTTTTCTTTTCCCCCTCAGCCGCTTAAGCGGCTGTTAGGAATGGTGGGAGTTGGAGTCTAAAACACCTGGAGAACTGAAATTTGCCCAGACCTGCTTTATACCACCCCAGTTCTTACAAATCCCTTTTCTTTCTCCCTGCCATTTAAAGCTTCCCTGGCCTGATCCGCAAAGAGATGTCAAAATAACAGCCACTTAGTTAGGAGTGAAAGTAATAAAGCTTCTTTAGAGTTGAAAGAAACCTCATGGGCCATCCAGTCCAACCCCATTCTGCCAAGAAGCAGGAATGTTGCATTCAAAGCACCCCTGACAGATGGTGCCTGGTTTTTTCCTCTCTGTTGTTTAGCTGTTATAATTTTAGAGTTTTTTAATATTGGTAGCCAGATTTTGTTCATTTTCATGGTCTCTTCCTTTCTGTTGAAATTGTCCAGCATGTGGACAATTTCAACAGAAAGGACGAGACCATGAAAATGAACAAAATCTGGCTACCAGTATTAAAAAACTCTAAAATTATAACAGCAAAACAACAGAGAGGAAAAAACCAGGCACAGATTAACACCTCCCAGCAACAGATTTTCCCAGGCCCAGGCAGGCCTTCAAATGCTAATGAAGGTGATCAGCTAAACATTCACACCTAACTGCAGCAGGGAAGAGCTCCTTGCCCCACCCCAGCCATTCCACAGATATATAAACCCATTTTTCCTACTTCCAACAGACCTCACAACCTCTGAGGATGCTTGCCATAGATGCAGGCGAAACGTCAGGAGAAATGCCTCTAGAACATGGCTCTATAGCCCGAAAAAACCCACAAGAACCTAGTGATTCCAGCCATGAAAGCCTTAGACAATACAATAGATCATACTATTCTATTCAAAAGTGACATGGTACATAAATCAAAACATAGGCATAAATCCATAACTAGGAACATAGGAACTTTTTCCAAACATGAATCCATGAACATGAGCACGAGACTTTCCCAAAGATCTTAAATATAGAGTTGAACATGGAACAAGAACAAGACCCAAGGTACACAGTAACACACTGTTGCCTGCTCTAACCCTTTCACTAAACAACTCTTTAAAGGTCCACAAGCCATGAAGCCATGCCTTTGACATCTGTTCTGTTTCAAGGATTTCTCACTGAGTGACTTCCTTAATCTGACTCCCTCCTCCTGGAGATCAAGTCTCATTCTCCTACTGAGCCCTATTCTTGACCTGTATCTTCTTCCACAGTGAGATCATTGGTTTCCAGGTGGAAGGCGGTCCCGGTCGGGGTTGGCTTGATGCACCTTCCTCTTGACACGTTTCTCTCTTTCGCCTCCATTCGTGCCTCTTCAAATTTTGCAGCACTGCTGGTCACAGCTGACCTCCAGCTGGAGCGCTCAAGGGCCAGGGCTTCCCAGTTCTCGGTGTCTATGCCAGAGTTTTTAAGGTTGGCTTTGAGCCCATCTTTCAATCTCTTTTCCTGTCCTCCAACATTCTGTTTTCCGTTCTTGAGTTCGGAGTAGAGCAACTGCTTTGAGAGACGGTGGCATCCGGACAACGTGGCTGGTCCAGCGGAGTTGATGGCGGAAGACCATCGCTTCAAAGCTGGTGGTCTTTGCTTCTTCCAGCACACTGACATTTGTCCACTGGTCTTCCCAAGAGATTTGCAGGATTTTCCGGAGGCAATGCTGATGGAATCGTTCCGGGAGTTTCATGTGACGTCTATAGACAGTCCACGTCTCTCAGGCATATAGCAGGGTTGGGAGGACAATAGCTTTCTAAACAAGCACCTTGGCCTCCCTACAGATGTCCTGGTCCTCAAACACCCTCTGCTTCACTAGGTTCTTGTGGGTTTTTTTGGGCTATAGGGCCGTGTTCCAGAGGCATTTTTTTCCTGACGTTTCGCCTGCATCTATGGCAAGCATCCTCAGAGGTAGTGAGGTCTGTTGGAATTAGGACAATGGGTTTATATATCTGTGGAATGGCTGGGGTGGGGCACAGAGCTCTTCTCTGCTGGAGCTAGGTGTGAATGTTTCAACTGACCACTTTCATTAGCATTTGAAGGCATGGCTGAGCCTGGGAAAATGTTTTGTTGAGAGGTGTTAAGATGTGCCGGTTGTTTCCTCTCTGCTGTTTTGCTGTTGTAATTTTAGAGTTTTTTAATACTGGTAGCCAGATTTTGTTCATTTTCATGGTTTCCTCCTTTCTGTTGAAATTGTCCACATGCTTGTGGATTTCAATGGCTTCTCTGTGTAGTCTGACATGGTGGTTGTTGGTGTGGTCCAGCATTTCTGTGTTCTCTGCTTCATTTGGAAAAAAGTTGCACTCGCAGAGCTCAGGCGGTGTTGTATTTCAGTTGTCAATGTTGGAGATTTGGTGATTAAAGGCATGATGTTTCTTATTCTTGTAAGCAATGCTTTGTTAGTTGGCAGTTCCACAAAATCATTAACATTTGGGTGCATGATTCATGCTCCCGTGAAAGTGGTAGTTACTCTGAAAGGGTTCTACAATCTTCCTCTGACTATATACCATTTGTGAGGCTTTATTGCAGACATGGGCAAACTTTGACCCTCCAGGTGTCTTGGACTTCAACTCCCACAATTCCTAACAGCCCACTTTCTCACAGAGTGACTTCCTTAATCTGACTCCCTCCTCCTGGAGATCAAGTCTCATCTCCTACTGACCTCAGGTGTTTTCCCAGGGGAAAGATCTCACCCTTCCAGCTCCTTACCTTCCATTGCCAAGGAACGACCAGGGGAAAGGTCTTCCCTACCTTCCGATGCCAAAGCTTCTCCATCTCCTCCCTGATCTGAAGCCATTTCTTTCTAACGAGACACAGACCCATCCTCCCAGACAGAAACATCTCCAAAATCCCCTCATTCTCCACACGGGAAAGCCCATCATTCCTCACAACCTCTGGCTGAACGATCCCCTCATCTTCAGACTCTGGCTAAACCACAACAGATAGTCCCTTAAGCCTAGTTTCTGGACAGGTTGGTGAAGGAAAAAACAAAATCCTACTTGTTTCTACACCTGAGTCCCAACACTTGCCACCAAGAGACCCTTTAAAGGGGAGCTTTGCAGTTAAGTAGAAGAAAAAACTTGGCTCTGATTTTTTTCTGAGCTGTATATTGGTCCCAGCGGAAGGGAATGGACTAATGGATTGCTTCTGCAATGTAACTAACCAAGCCTTGTAGGGAACGCATCCATAGTGATAGTTGCAAATGTTATGTTTTAATAAGCCATGCCTTTTAAAAGGATTAATATTGGATTTGATCAAAGGTGAAAGCCGAATAAGAAAAGCAAAGGGAGACTAAAGTGAGTCTCGGTGCAGAAGAGAGCAGTAAATGAAAGCTTCTCAAATGAGACAAGACAGTGAGTCAGACATCATCAGAAGCAGGTGCTGATGGCTATTGCGGGAATTCGTTTTCCAGAAATTGAGGGTGTGTGTACAATATGGCAAATGTACACTTAGGATGAATTTTTATTTATTTCGTATCAAAAGGGAAGTCACACTCCCCATGCTCTATTCTGCCTTGGTTAGACCACACCTGGAATATTGTGTCCAATTCTGGGCACAATTCAAGAGACAAGCTGGAATGTGTCCAGAGGAAGAGGTCGACTCAAATGATCAAGGGTCTGGAGAACAAGCCCTATGAGGAGTGGCTTAAAGAGCTGGGCATGTTTAGCCTGAAGAAAAGAAGGCTGAGAGGAGACATGATGAGGGGCATGTGTAAATACATGAGAGGAAGTCACAGGGAAGAGGGAGCTAGCTTGTTTTCTGCTTCCCTGGAGATTAGGACGTGGAGCAATGGCTTCAAACTACAAGAAAGGAGATACCATCTGAACATGAGGAAGAACTTCCTGACTGTGAGAGCCGTTCAGCAGTGGAACTCTCTGCCCCGGAGTGTGGTGAAGTCACTCCTGACACGACAAAAAAAAAAAAACAAACCCTGGTTTCTTGTGTGGTGCTGGGTGCAAAGGTGAATTCAGGTCAGATTGCAATGCTATCCAGCACTACAGAACTGCCAACAGCCCTGACATACTTTCACTCCTTGACTTTCACCCAAAAAATATTTCTCGCAGATTATGCCAAAAGAAATTATCAAGTCTCAACATATCTGCAAGACAAGGAACAAGCAGACAGTTCAACCAAGCGACAAAGAGGGACAACAGGCCTATTCCATTTACTCAACTGTAAAAAAAAAATCATTCCTAACCCCAAACATGGAGAACAATTCAGTCATAAACCAGCAAACACTCACCCAGTTGAGAGAGAGTTCTTGTGGCTCTTCAAAGAAAAAATAAACTGTTTTCATAGCCTGGAGGAGGTTTCCTCCCTGGGCCCTTGACTTACCTGAGCAAAGCTGTTCTATCTTTGTCAAGTTCAACTGTAGCGACTCGTTAATCCAGGCCAGCATGTCATGTCGACTCAAATTGTCACTTGTCACCGAGGTGGAATAAACATTAACTGCCATTTTCTGAAGAAAAACAAGCAAGAAAGCATTTTGTTTACATAGAGGCCAGTAAAGGGAGCCACCCCCACCACACCTTCCATGGTCCTATCAGACATTTCAAGGCAAACAATGCACTTTCCCAGACGCATGCCTTGTAAGAGGGGCATCCTCAGAATCATTGAACCAGAGACAGTCCAGCCATCGTTCTGAAATCCATCATCTGTCAATGTGCTAAGCCTTCACTCATAAAAAGACTTAGCCTACCTGCAAGACCACATTTCTGTTTAAGAACTGACACGATGTCTTCAATCTTTTGGGGAGGCCCTCCTCTCACTTCCGCCTCCTTCGCAAATGTGACTTGTGGGGACGAGGGAGAGGGCCTTCTCTGTGGTGGCCCCCCGGCTCTGGAACTCGCTCCCCAGAGATATTAGACAAGCCCCCACCCTGGCAGTCTTTAGAAAGAGTTTGAAAACTTGGCCGTTCCAGTGTGCCTTCAATGAATAAATGAACAATAATTCCCTGATCTGACCAAGTCCTGCTAAATGCCCCCGCAAGCACTTTATTTTACCTGTTAGTGCCATGATGGTGAACCTATGACACACGTGTCAGCACTGACACGCATGGCTATTTTTGATGACACGCAGTCACATGCAGCCGCATACAGAGGAGTACAGCTTATAAAAGCCAATCTAATTCCATCCTTAAATTTGTAAAAGGCTCTACAAATTTAACATCTGCACGTTTGAGCATTGTTCACTCCATAACTCAGCCTGGAATATACATTTTTTTCTAATTTAAACTATAAATATTGCAAATTTATGTTTTTGTTTCTCTCAAAGTTGACACCCCACCCAAGTTATGCTCTGGTTTTTGGCAAATTTTGACACACCAAGCTCAAAAGGTTGCCCATCACTGTGTTAGTGCCATCAAATCCTACTTACCCCTCGGATCTTCTGTCCAGATACATTAAACTGTCGTCTCACCCAGTGTTTTAATTTTTAATCTATTGGATCTGGCCCTGCCCACTGAGATTGATTTCCTCGTCTTAAATGTTGCGGTTTTATATTGTTAATATACTATTTATAATGGTTTTGCATTGTATTTTATTCTTTATATTTTATTGCAGTGTTTTGTTGTATATTGATGCATTGTATTGTTGGGCTTGGCCTCATGTAAGCCACCCCGAGTCCCCTTGGGGAGATGGTGGCGAGGTATAAATAAAGTTTGATATTATTGTTGTCGTTGTTGTATTGTCAAAGGCTTTCATGGCCGGAATCACTGGGTTGTTGTAGGTTTTTTCAGGCTATATGGCCATGGTCTAGATAATTATTATTATTAGGTCTAGATTATTATTATTATTATTATTAGCAAGTACAGTAATATCCCCGTAACCACTATATCTATATCTGCGCCTGGGGGGAAATGATCTCTCAAGAATGTGCTAGGTCCTCCAAGCAATTGGATCGTATCGTTTGTTGGAAGAGAAGAAGCATTTAGTAGTATATGGGCATTCAGGGAGAGAAGGAACTCTATGGTGCATACCTGCAGTCTTCATTTTCCCTGTGTTTCTTAAGTCTCTGCAACTCAAGGTATTTTTGCTTCCTTCCTTTATGGAGAAGTCACTTCCCTTTTCTTCCCCAAAGCCTTGAGTGCTTTATGGCCCTTTATTTGAGAAAGGAGTACCATCCTCTCTGCCTCACGAGGCCTTTCACACAGAGACATAAAGAGTCAGCATTAGGGTCTCTTGTGCCAAACAGAGGTAACTTTCTTTTGTCTATCTACTCTTTTTATCTGAAGTGTATTACCTGCAACAATCAAAGGTAAAAACCTTTTTAAAAACCTTACCAGAACATTTTCCTTCCTGTTTTCTACTAGACTAGAGTGCCCTGCCTACACTGCACTCTATTTACAGTATTTTTATTTACAGTACTTATATTCCTCAAAGGGGACTCAGGGCAGATCACAGAACACATGCACAGCAAACATTCAATGCTGATTATACAATGACAAGACAGACAACAGAGGTATGCTTCTATAGGGTTTTTTTCTCATCATTTGGCATCTTTTGGAGGCTGCGCTCGTTTTCCGGGCATAGGGGAGTGCTGTCGCTCCATCTCCTTGCAGAAGAGCTTTCTTTGTTTGCAAACGCCATGCTTAAAATACCTCACCACTTAATGAAGTTCCTATTCATCTACTCACATTGCTGTTTTCGATCCACTAGGTAGGTGGGCGGGGGACCTGGGCTGACGGTCTGGAGCTCACCCTGACCCGGCTTCGAACTGTCAACCTTTTGGTTGGCAAGATTTGCTGCAGCTGCAGCTGGTGATTAACCCGCTGTGCTAAAGCTGGCCCTTTTGTTTCACTATGCTACAGATAACAAATAGTCCTACAACTCTTCCCCGGAGGTTACTACAGAGCTGTCCTAGAGGACCTTGCAAATTCCTAGAAGATACTTATCGAAGAATTTCTAAGTCCTCTAGAGAGTGGTTCTCAACTTATGGGTCCCCAGGTATTTTGGCCTACAACTCCCAGAAATCCCAGCCAGTTTACCAGCTGTTAGGATTTCTAGGAGTTGAAGGCCAAAACACCTGGGGACCCACAGGTTGAGAACCACTATTCTAAAGCAGACATGTATGTTCTTCAGTACGTTTCTATACTCAGATTCCAGATTAAGTCAGCATTAGAGTTATTTCTGGAACATCCTAAAATTTCCTAGTACCTCACCTCACTAGAGAATGAATCCACTTTAAATCCTGCAGCAATTCTGGGGTTTGTAGTTTAGGGAGGAGCCTTTAACAGCCTCACTAAACTACAAACCCCAGAATTCTGCAGGATTTAAAGTGGATTCATTCTCTAGTGTAGTGAAGTCCATAGAGAAGTTCTCTCAGATAAAAAAGCATAGCAATTTCTTTGTGTTTCTTCACTAACAGCAAATGTGGAGGGCCGCCTGTTTTACCTGCTGCCCTCCCATCCAAAGCTGAATATGATTTGCTTACTTTCCCCAATCAGCCGGAATACAATGCAGTCGGGGTGTTCAGTTTGAGCAAAGCTATAATGGACAGCCTGGATTTCTCCAGGGCAGACTCGTCATCTTGACAAGATCCTGTCTGCAGTGAGTTTGAGTAGAAAAAAAAGTTATATCAGAGGAGTCACATCTCATTCCCTTTTTCTACTCCTTCAGCCTTGGCCTACTTTGTGCAGTAAAGGAGCGAGGATTCTGCTTAGCTTTGCAGACCTCCACATGCCTGAGTTTCACCATGAGAATGAAAGAAAGGAGGCAAATTCGCCTCTAAAACGAAGAGGGAACGGTAGTACAGTCTCCTGAATCTCTTACATGAATCTTTATCTCTTTCACAAGGTCTGTGTCTGCTCAGGGAGGGGAGATTTCATGCCGAGGGCAGTTTTTGCTTGAAAACAGAGCTCGGGTCGCCTCCTGAGCTTCATTGTGTGCAGTGTGAGCCTCAGATTGGGAGTGTTTTGTTCAGAAAGGGAACATCAACCTTACAGTAAGGAGATAACCTCAGAATGGAGCTTGTTAAACTAAAATTGGCCCCAGATTCATAGAATCCTAGAGTTGGAAGAGACCTCATGGGCCATCCAGTCCAACCCCATTCTGCCAAGAAGCAGGAATATTGCATTCAAAGCACCCCTGACAGATGGCCATCCAGCTTCTGTTGTAGTTCCCTGGAGATGTCCTAGTTTCCAGGGAAGCAGAAAACAAGCTTGCTCCCTCCTCCCTGAGACTTCCTCTCACATATTTATACATGGCTATCATATCTCTTCTCAGCCCTCTCTTCTTCAGGATAAACATACCCAGCTCCTTAAGCCGCTCCTCATAGAGCTTGTTCTCCAGACCCTTGATCATTTTTGTCGCCCTCCTGTGGACACATTCCAGCTTGTCAAGATCTCTCTTCGATTGTGGTGCCCAGAACTGGACACAATATTCCAGATGTGGTCTAACCAAGGCAGAATAGAGCATGGGGAGCATGACTTCCCTAGATCTAGACACTATGCTCCTATTGATGCAGGTCAAAATCCCATTGGCTTTTTTTGCCACCACTATCTGTCGATATTGTTAAAACAGTGCACAGTCTACTGTTGGGATTGCCTGAAGTTGGCTTAATTTTGCCCCCACAATCTAAGTTAACAACCTCCTCATTTGGATTTGAATAAAACACAAACAAGCTATTCTTTATCCTGCATATTAGGTAGTTGAATTATTCTCTTTCCATCCTCCACTGCAACTGCTCTGGTCAACAGATCAAGAGTGAGACTGAAGGATCTGAGAGATCCTCTGGGCATTTTTCTCTCCGTCCGGCAGCACAATCCTATACGTCGGAGAAGAGAGTTGTGAGCTGGACTTTGGGTAGATTTGACCCAAGGAATTGCTAAGTGCCTCCAGGGCAACCCAGAAATCTCTAGAGAGGTGTGTCCTCCCAGGTTGTTTTTTTTTAAAATGCGGTTTTTCACTTTTGCAACGAATGTGCAGGGCTGAGGATTACTGGAGATTCCCAAGCATCTTATTACTATTAATATTACTGGTTTCTCACTTTTGCAGAAGGCCTGTATCCTTATTATTATTGTCTCACTTTTGCAGGAGGCTTGTGTCCCTAATTCTAATAAAAGTGGAGAACTATTATTGGTTTCATGTTACTATCACTGATTATTATTATTATTGACCTCTCACTTTTGCAGAAGGCATGTATCCCTAACTCTAGCAAATGTGGGGGGCTATTATGTGAGGGCCATAATGGGCTTCATAATGGGTTGCTATTATCATCATCATCATCATCTCACTTTCTGCCATCTTATGTTCCTAATTCTATCAAAGTTGAAGGGCTATTATGTGAGGGCCATAATGGGCTTCATAATGGGTTGCTGCTATTATTATTATTATTATTATTATTATTATTATTATTATTATTATCATCATCATCATCATCATCTCACTTTTTGCCATCTTATGTTCCTAATTCTACCAAAGTTGGAGGGCTATTATGTGAGGGACATAATGGGCTTCATAA